CTAGATTAAAAAAAATATTTTGTTATTAACATTTATTAAAATATCTATTGTTATATAATATTTCTAATTAGGATTGCTTCTTACCCAATTTCCCCTGTTTTTTTATACGTAAAAGTCGCATTCAGTTTGAGTGAGAAATGGGCGTAGCTCAGTCGACCAAACGCCGTTTTCGCCCATTTTCCTGGGCGCCGTGCATAAGGCAAATTGCTTGTAAGTTCAACTCGTATTTTGCATTGTTCCTCACTTCCGACAGTTAAATTAAAGCCATTGTCTGAGTTGGTGTGGCCGTTAGTTAGTTTTGTGCGCCTAACGTAACAATTGCCTGGCATTTTTATCTGCAACAAACCGCTGGAAGAGCAACAACAAGAACAACAGCAGGCAGCGAAAACAGGAACAGGATTAGAGCCCAAAACAGTTGAAATACGACAGCGAAAACAATTTGTTAGGCCAGAAGTGTTCTGAAGTCTTCTTGACCAAGTACCTTACCCCTTTTTCCCTGGCCGAATTTAAACCATTCCATTTCCGTAATTCTGTGCCAGGAGTTTTCGTTGGAATGTTGGATTTGCCCATGAAGTGTGGCCTTTCGGGTGCGGTTTTAATTAGTCAAGCACGCGTCGAAAGAAAAGCCTCTAATCGAAAGAGGTAAATCTTGTTTTTGGCTCTGAATTAGGCAAAAATTACTTTGTTTAATTGAGGAAGTGGAGAGGTGAAATTGGTAGAATATTACAGTATAAAATTGCATTGCATTTTTGATTTCTTTCTACTTTCCACTAAAATGTAACTAACTAACTAATGATAAATGATAAATAATTTTTCAAAATTAAAATTTTTGTATTTTGATTTTGTGGCTTTGAAGTATTTATATAAAAAATACTTATAGCTAAAGTACTTATCACAATGTGCTCAAACTTATTAAAACTATTTATTTATTTATGTAAGTTAAACAATAATAATTACCTTGGAAATTTCCGACTTTTAATTGTAGGATCTGGACCTCATCTAGACTGAATTGGAAACCCACTCAATGTAAAAGAACAACAGCTGGGAAACGCATTAATTATATGGCCATGGAAAATAAGGTTAGTGCTTGGGGCGAAACCGCCCCTAAACCACCAAAGACACCGCCCACCGCAGACAGCCACCATGATGACACAGAAAGTGTTGAGCTGCAAATGAGGCAACAATGCGACCAAAAGCGGGGCGAAAAAAAAGGAAATGCCAAGTGGAAATGCTTCGAGTGCAGGCCATGCGTGGCGCAAACAAACTCGGAAAATGCAAAACGGATGTGTAAATAATTTAGACGAGTTGCCAGCGCAACCGGCGAGTGTGTGTATCTTTTTAGTTTATGTATCATTAAAAAATACTTACAGCGAAACAAAGCGAGAAGAAGCGAAGCATAATGAAAGGCAGTGGGAAAAGCGGAAAATGTGCCATTTGCCAACTGCAAGGCAAACTGACTCGGGGTCCCATTCCATAGGGTATATACATATAAACCCATATAGTAGCTTCGTACTTTTCCGGAACGTGCGAGAAATGCAATAATTATATGCACACAAACACACAGTGTTGCTTGTATAGTTACTTTTTTGACATGCTGCAAATTAAACAGCAGCAAAAAAGAACAAAGAACGGCGGGAAGAATATAGGAGAACGAGTGAGAAAGACGCTTGCCGAACTAAATTACTTTTTGCAACAACTGCATACAATCAAATGGAGGGGGATTAAAAACCAACGTGAAACATGTAACGGCGATATCACCTTTAGTTTTTACAGTCGTAAAAACTGGACTTCAATAGAACAATAAAATTTAAAATTAACATTTTAAACCCTTTAAAAAGTTATGAAATACCTAGGAGAATAACATTATTAGGAATAAAGGTAGAAAATCAAAGATATTAATATTTAAAAAAAAATCGTTTTGCATTCTAGTTTTTTTTTCGTCCCCACGTTAAACTAAAAATAGTTTGTAAAACATGCGAACGAGAAAGTAGTCTTAGTGTTAGAATTTTCAAATAAAAAACTAAAAATATTTAAAAATGCGTTTAATAAATTTATTATTAATTTAATCATAGCATTAAAAATCGCAAAAACACTTCTTGTTACTCTCAGTGCACTGAATTCTCAGTTGCGGCGGCTTGTCAGTGTGGATAAAGGATTGGGGGGCCATCCATGGGGATAGGACTGGGTGCAACCTGGCAAACCTCCGGCGGCATTTGCATACCTGATGCTAAAAAACTATGTTAATGTGTGAGCTATCCGGGCTTGAGGATACAGGATTGAGGCGAGCTGGCAAGCAAGTAACCCCGTTCCTGAGGAGAACCAGCTGTGAGTCCGCCGGCGGGACAAACCGCAGACATTGAAAGTGTCGCCCTCTCCGCTCGTCTGTCTGTCTGCCTGTCTGTCTCTATAAATCTCTACGGATGTGTTGTTAACTGCCGCCGGGCTCCTGAATCACTCCCCGGGTTTTTCCGCCTCCTGGGCCAACGGGGGCGTGGCAGGGAGGTGGCTCAATTTGCACGCTTCGTTATTCAATTAGACACTTGGCACACAAACAGCGAGTGCCGAGGAGAAAGGGCGATGCGATGGGAGGAAGGGCACTGACTACAAGGGACGCATAATTTTGATTGATGGCCCAATAATGGCGGTGATTTATCATATTTGCATGCTAACATTTAAGCCAGCCAGCGGCGTATCTGCTCTCGAAGTCAGACAGCGCATATGTCCGGGTATTAGCTGCAAACCATAATTTAATTTAACCCTTTCAATTTAAAAATGTAGTAATTGGAATTCATTGAAAGGGCTAAAGCATTTTTTACTCGATAAATTTAAATTTAAATACATTTTTGTATTCTGTTTTGTAACTATCTAGAATTTTTTTGTATTAATTAAAATAAAAAATAATTAAATTACTTTAAATTTTAAGTAATAAAAAAAACGTAGGTCATACATTTTTACGTCTTTTTCTAAGACTTTTTCTTGATAATGGTCACTGAAAAGTATGCTATGCACCTGAACAGATGACACCAATACAGCTGCAGTTGTATGTGTGTTACACATATATGCACACTACATATGTACACCGCTAATTGGTCTTTTGCTCTCTGCAAATGAAAGCGTTGCGCTGGCAACAGACACGTGCTGCCGTGGTTCCAGGGCGTATACGCAATATTTGTAGTTTTTTATTGCACTTTCTCCTGGTGTGCATGTTTCTCCACTGCGGCTGTATGTCTATAAAATCCAGCTTAAGCCGCTTGCTACCAACCTACCTGCGAAATGTATGAAATTTTTGCAGCAACTCAACAACGCACAGAGCGACAATGCAACTCACACTCATCCACCTGTACACAAAGAAAAAAAGGTTTTAGGGATATATATTTGTACTTTAAAAATAATCAAAAGAAATGCATCAATATATAGCTAAGATTAAAATAATCTTTAGGATTTAAGTTAATACACTAAATGATGGATAAAATATATTGCAATTTTGATATACATTTTTTAGATCTCAATAGTATTGAGTCAATACCATACTTACTTCATATCTCAAAATAATGTATAATTTTTTTTTTAATTTAATTAAATTTTCTTTAAATGTACAAATACAAAAAAGCAAAAGTGGAACGCATTTTTGCCAGCAGCTTTAGCTGCTGTTGCTGCTGCCTGTGGCTTTGCCGTCGGCTAGGGACGCTGGTAAACACTCAAATCCAATTAAATTTAATACGACTTACTTGGCTTTGTTGCAGGCGCATGTGTGACAAAGGGAGCGGGGGAAGAGCAGAACGAAGTGTGCCGTTTGTTTGGCATTTGGTTGCTCTCGTTCTGGTTTTTCTTGTCGCTTTTTTTTCATTCACAGGTTTGTTTTCATTTTAGCCTCTTTTTTGCCTTTTTCATTGTTCTCTTTCGCAGTTTTTACCCGGTACTTCTAGAGTATATAAGCAAAGACATATATTCCTTTAGCTTACTCAATAAAAAATTTTAAATTGTGTTTTTTTAGATAATTATCTGAAATAAAATTATATTCTTTCAATTTATTTTTTCAATTCACAAAATATAAATAAATGTTGCTTTCGAATTTAATTTACAATTTAAAATTTATTAAATTTAAATTCAAACTGTTCAAGTAGCGAGCAATTTACAGTCGCAAGTATTCTTACTTGTTTTGTAATGATTTTACGGAGTCTGCTTTCGCTCGGTTTACCTGAGTGCTTCGGCTTAATTAAAGCAACATTTGGCAAATAAAATTGGCCCCTTAAAATGAGCTTAGGAGAGCTAATTGAGTTTTGCCAACGAGACGGAGAATCTGGCTCTCCGGGAAGTTGATAAAGTCAATTCACCGTAAACCGGCTAAAAAACAACAAAGTATTAAAACACGAGGCAATTAATATCGCCCGACTGTCAATGAACGATGCAATGGAATCCGGTCCGATTCGTTCAGTTTGAAAGGGGTTATTCATTCAGCAACTTCTTTCCGGTTGTCGTAGAACAGGGTGCAACTGGCAGTATAAATATGCATAAGCTCCAGAAACCTCTTGGAATATTCATGGAAGTGTGTGAAGTGCCAGGAGCTGCAATCTATGTCATATGCAAAACAAAGTCCTCGAAAGCGGATACACTCGAGGTGTCAGTCGAACATTTTTCACAAAATCTATATAACAAATCTGGAATTCTTTGCATTGTTTTTTTTAGATTAACAAATGCAATTAAAAGGGACAAGTTCCAAATAAATATTCATTCAAAATTTGACAGTTTTGGAATTGAAATAAATGAAATTAAGAGCTTACATTCAGTAAAGCCTAAATTTCATTCAAAAATAATTGTTTTAATAAAAATAAGTCTTTTATATAAAAACACTTTATATTTATTATAATTTTATTAATTTCCTGAGCAGCGACCTAATACATTTCTTAGGTTTCACATTAGATCTTAAATATCTTAATATTTAAAAATACATTTTAAAATTCGTTCAACATATTTTCGTAAATACTCCTATCATTGACCATTTATCCCAGGCCCTTAAGACTTTCCAGGGTTCGTGATCCAACCGTTCCAGACCTTTGAGGCACCGTGTTTGGCTCTTTTCCTCGACTCGCAGCAGGAGAATTGATTGGAGGATTATCGGCCATCAAAAGTGGCAGCAGAAGGATCAGGCAGAGCACAACAAAAAGGCGTTTCATCTTGGGACAGATCGAACGGGAAAGTAACTGACAATCGAAAGTCGAATCGCTCTTTTATACGAGCGATTAAGCCGCCGAATACACTCGAACAAAGCACAGCTTCGGGGCCAGTTTGAGTTCAAAATTTAAGTGGAAATTGTATTCAACGTGGATTTCCGGCTGGCAATTAAGAAAATTGGCCAACTCAACGGTGGCTGGCAACGAGTATATAATGGATTGTAAATATCTGACACCTGCCACCCACTTAACCCCAACCCCTCGGTGTGGCCTTAATCCAAACGCAAAACAATGCCAACAATTTACTCCGCTTAAACTGCCACCCTCCAAGTTCTTCTCTTCCAATTACTTTTTGCACGATTTGATTTTACATTTAACGATTTTTCGCACTTAATTAGAAGCCAGTGTCGATGTCAGTGGCAGGCGAAGATGGAGGCGGAGGCAGCTAGCCGAGGGGTGGCCATGATTTGATTAAATGTGAAGATGAATTTTAATTAAAATCCTCCCCCAAGCCCTTGGCTCCCATTCACCCTTTGAGGCCACAAAGTTTTTGACACTCAACGCCATTCAACACCCCCCAAAAATTGCCCCTTCCTAATAGAGCAATAAAAGCCGCAAGTTCATGCCAGACTTAGTCATCGTAATTTATGCAAAATGAAAATTAAAGATCGTCGGAGCAAAAGTTTTTAATGCAAATGACAGACTAATGAATTCCCAAAACTACTTACAAGCAATTTGCCCGAAATTCTCTCGCTGTTCGTCGATACCATCAATTTCAATTAATGCCTTTAAAGCTCTGCTTGTCATCAATCCCTTTGCCAAAACAGTGAATAATTTGGCATAATTTGCCTTTAAATGGGAAATGGCTGCGTGACAAACAATACCGCTTTGTCCAGGCGAATAAAGCCAGCTGGAAGACTTTGGCTAAAGTTTTTTGAAACCAAAAAAGTAAACACAAAGGAAAACAAATACAGCCGAGCAATCACACACTCACTCATACAGAATTTTTACGGGCAGTCACACACAGTCCACAAAAAATACAAAATGGACAAGGAATTTCGGCCAACAGGCCGAATACTTAATGCGCTTTTGCCGATGTGCATTTTAATTTTCTTCCTGATATAAAAATTATATCTTAAATGTTATAACTTATTAATTTTGTTGCGTAAATCAGTCGACAACTAAACACATTAACTGTATGCCTATGATTACATACATCATAAAATAAAGGGATAAACTATGAATAAACAATTAACAAATGCTTGCGCATACAAAAAATATTTATAACAATGATATTTTAGATATATTAGCTGTAATGCAAAGCTGTATATGAAGAATATAAAAAGTAATCTTTTAAAGAAATATAAATGTTTGTTTCTAATGTTTGAAATTTTACCAGGTACTTTTTAGCATTTTATTCTATTTAGATTTCCACTGAGTTTATAACCAGATTGAAACAGCGGTCTAAAATACCCTGTTATCCAGAGGGAACATGACCAATTTCCAGAACGCAGTTTAGGGGGAGGAGTTTTGGCTGTCGCTTCCAATGGGCCTTTTTTAAAATTACGAGCCAACAGTTTCCGCAGTGTTTTTTGTCATTTCCATGCGCTCATTGTCAGTTTTAAGTAAGCAACTTCCCCGTCGTTGTTTTGTTGTTTTTTTGGCAGATGCCGAAAGTTTTGTGACCAAAACTCTGCCTACAAATGCAGACAAATATGGAAAAACTCATGAAATGCAATAAATTTTCAAATATATTTTGTGTGCGCGGCAGAAGAGTTTTTAGTTTGTCTGTTTTTGATTTTTTTTCTCCGTTTTTGCGTGCAGGTTAGTTTTAATTTTTTTTGTTCAGGCCTTCTATAGATTTTCATTGTTTTAAACTGCAAACTTTTTTCTTGGTGCAGTGCACAGAACGAACTGATAAAGCCACGTTTTGCAAACAAATTCAAATACCAAAAAATAGAGATAGAGACTGCGACTGGCGCACTCCAAGAAGTGACGGAGTCTAAGGCCAAAAGAACCATATAAATCAAATGTTGATTGCGTAAAGTCAGAAGACCAAATTTACGAGTTGCTCCAAAGCTGTCCAAAAATAGCAGATATCTGTGGACTGAACAAATATATATTGATTTGGGACCGTCTGCAATTAGTTAAGTTATTTGTTAATAACTTGTTTTTAATTCACAAATTCCAAGCTTTAACTTAAAAATAGGGAAAAGGTATTATTGGACAAGAATTTGTTACAAACAAGAAAGGAAGCTAGCTTCGGCCAGCCGAAGCTTATATACCCTTGCAGATCATTCCTATTAATTAACAAATCGCAAAAATGTTAATTTTCTAATATTTCTCATTAATTTTCCGATCGTTCCTATGGCAGCTATATGATATAGTCGTCCGATTTTGATCAAATTAAAATTGAAATTCGGAAATATTTAAAAAGAGTCATATCCTAGAGTAGAAGATAATACAATAAAAATCAAAGAAGCTAGAATTTATTTCCTATTACTTTTCCATTAATTTTCCGATCGTTCCTATGGCAGCTATATGATATAGTAGTCCGATTTTTTAAATAATTAATTCGAAATTCAGAAATATTTAAAAAATAACATCCCCAAAAGTAGAAGGTAATATTTCAAAAAACACCGAAGCTAGAATTTTTTAAAGTTTTTTTCTTCCGATCCTTCCTATGGGAGCTATAAGATATAGTTGTCCGATCCGGTCGGCTCCGACATATATACTACCTGCAATAGAAAGAAGACTTTTGCGAAAGTTTCGTCCCGATAGCTCAAAAACTGAGAGACTAGTTTGCGTAGAAACAGACAGACGGACAGACGGACAGACGGACAGACAGACAGACGGACAGACGGACGGACAGACGGACAGACGGACATGGCTAGATCGACTCGTCTTGTGATGCTGATCAAGAATATATATACTTTATGGGGTCGGAAACGTCTCCTTCACTGCGTTGCAAACTTCTGACTGAAATCATAATACCCTCTGCAAGGGTATAAAAAGGTAATTAAAAAATTATTTAGTGTTATTACAAATAGACTATTACATCAAGCAATATTAAAATTTTTTCTCTAAAAGGTGTGCTGAAAAATTAAATAAAAATTGTTTTAATTTTTTCTTGCTAATTCGTAAAAATGAATTAATTTTAAATTGGTATATCAATATATTTGTTTTTTTTTTCACTTAAATTGAACTATAGATTAAATCTAAAAACTTGTTATATACATATTTTTTCACAGAAACGTACTTACTCCGTAAAATGAATAGTGTTTACTATAAAATGCAATACAATCATTCATTGATTTCGCTTACCAACCATTAACGTCACAAGACAAAGTATTTAAACCTCAAGTCATGACTTTGTCGAATGAAAAACTTCTACTACGAAGCTGTCTGTCACCCTCTTGTCAAAGACTATAAATTTTGAGAGATTTTCTCCAGAATTGCCCCATCGCTCGACACAACAACAAATCAAATCAAATATCGCCCATCATCTGCCCACTGATAGCACTGATAACTACTCTTTTTTGTCGATAGAGTTCTCCTCTGATAAGAGGACGAATGAATGATCGGTGAGTCGGCTGTTGGCTATATAAGCCACGATACTTTGGTGTGAGCCTCATTAGAAGCCCTGGGCCCAAACGGAACGGAGCTGACTAAAAAATGCTGAAACTATTTGCTGCGGTTCTGCTGCTGAGCGGCGTAGCCTTGGCGGCCAACGATTACGATGGGTGAGTGATCGCGATCCGGCGGAGGAGGAGTGTTTCCACGGGCAATTAGTCAACTTAAATCAATTTAAATTTAGGGTGCTACCTTCTTTTAAAGTGTAAATCTTATAAAGTAATTGCAACAAACATTTAGTTAGCCAATCTTATTTCTTTAAAATCAATATCAAAAGTTTTTAGTAATAACAATTTAAGTTCCATGCGTTTTATTTATTTTCACAACAGAAGCTCAAGATTTTTTTAAAGATTAAAAATAATATAACTTGTATACCCTTTGGAAATATATTTCTTCTTGATAAAAGAAAGATTATGATTAGGTTTAAGTTTCAATAGTTACATTTTTTTAACAGAAGCCTAAATTATTATTAAAGTTTAAAGACAATATAAAATTCCCCTCAGTTTTTAAAAATTAATTAAAATAATAAGTAAACCAAACTTAACAAACAATATTAATTCACACACATTTTTTTTCAACAGTTACAAGATCTACGACATCCATGCTCGCAATGCCTTCGAGAAGCAGCTGCTGCTGCGTTTGTCCGGCAACGAGGAGTACGACTTCTTCGACCTGCCCCGCTCCCTGGACGCGCCGAGTCGCGTGATGGTGAAGCCCGGCGACCAGGAGGGATTCGAGCATCTGCTGGAGAAGTACAACGTGGACTTCTCGGTGGTCAGTGAGGATTTCGGAGTGGCGCTGCGTCAGGAGCGCGAGGATAACCAGAACCAGCGGTCGATGAATCTGCGCTCCGCCGGACGCAGCGTTAGCTTCACTGCCTTCCATCGCCATGCCGAGATCAATGCCTACCTGGACGAACTGGCCGCCGCCTATCCCAGTCGTGTTTCCGTCAAGGTTGCTGGAAAGTCATACGAAAACCGTGACATCAAGACAATCACCATCTCGAATGGCGATGGCAAGACCGGCAAGAATGTGATCTTCCTCGATGCTGGCATCCATGCCCGCGAATGGATCGCCCATGCTGGAGCTCTGTACGTGATCCACCAGCTGGTGGAGAACTTTGCCGTCAACTCGGAACTGCTGAAGAACTTCGACTGGGTCATCCTGCCGGTGGTCAATCCCGATGGCTATGAGTACACCCACACGAGCACCCGGATGTGGCGCAAGACCCGCAAGCCAATCAGCAGTGCCTGCTACGGTACCGATGCCAATCGCAACTTTGACTTCCACTGGGGCGAGGTGGGTGCCTCGAGCTACTCCTGCTCCGACACCTTCAAGGGCGAGACGGCCTTCTCCGAGCCGGAGACCCAGCTGCTCCGCGATCTCCTGCTCGAGCTGACTGGACGCGGCAAGTTCTACCTGACCCTGCACTCCTATGGCAACTACCTTCTGTACCCGTGGGGCTGGACCTCGTAAGTAGATCTATATTTATAAAGTAGTGGTGGCCAGCAAAACCAGCATATATACAGTGAAAGAACGCACGACTTACTGCTTTCCTGCTTGACAGCGTACGTGAGCGTCGAAACGCAAGCAGCGCAGCGGCAGAGAAATTGCCTATCTACCACTGGTCTAGACCCTTAATTCTTCTAAAAAATTAAATATTTTTGCAGGGCTCTCCCCACCAGCTGGCGCGACAACGATGAGGTGGCCCAGGCTGGTGCGGCCGCCATCACGAAGGCCACCGGTACCAAGTACACCGTGGGCAGTTCCACCAACGTTTTGTATGCCGCCGCCGGCGGCAGCGATGACTACGCCTTCGGAGTGGCCAACTTCCCGGTGTCCATCACCATGGAACTGCCGGCTGGCGGCACTGGATTCAATCCCACCACCAGCCAGATCCTGTCCTTCGTCGACGAGACCTGGGTGGGCATCAAGGCCATGGCCCAGAAAGTCGCCGAGAAGTACTAGGCGAGTGCAATAAACGAGCCATTGATATTTTCTAATCGCAACGTCTTCTAACTAATTGGAAATTCTATTCCCGTTCCTGGCTTTTTCATGCTCGATGAGATAGGCGGGCGTCCCGTCGAGAGGGTCATATCACTCGAGTTTCGGCATTGACACACTGGGCGGGATTCTACGGACTTATCGCGGTCTGTTAATTGAGCTCATCAAGTGCGACGGACTTCAAGTGGTAGTCTAGATTATCATGGATAACCAGAAATAGCCTAATTAACTGCTTAAATGACTCTTAGGCAATTTTATTCAAGTTGAATAGTGAAGCTTCTTTACAAAGAGATCGTAATGTTAAAATATAGGAGTCATGACAATCGGCGCAAATAGGAGAAAATCTTCAAAAATTCAGAACAAAACTGAAGGGTGGAATCAGTTGAAATAGCGATAACAAGAATATTAAATTAAGTAAATAATATTTTTTGTCCACAGCATAAAAGTATCAACTGTAGAAAAACATATTTACGTCATTGCTACGAATTCCCCCGATAGTTGATAAATAGGGCTATTTTGATACTAATTGGGGATAAGGGAATTAATCAAAAATGTATTCCCATAGTAATATTTACACAATTCTTCGTTCTTTTTAGCCTTTATAAACATAAACGACATAAGAAAGTTTTGACTTTTAGCACGTCCTTATCGGTAATTTATAAAAAGAATTCCGATAAAAAGGTTTAGAGAAACTTCAAATTTAACTTAATTATTTATTGAAAGCTTTAGTGTACAAAAATAAAACTATAGTACAGATGGCTGCCATATCATTACACACATTTGGCCAAACTAATGAAAGTTTTTCCATACTTTTTGTTTGGCTAGCAGGATGTTTCGGCCATGTGTGCATCAGGATGTTTTTGCGTCATATTAACCCGATTCCTGGTGGTATAGAGACATGGTTAATTTATCATCTGGCTCAAACGTTGAGGACTCACCCCTCCTTCAGCCATTGAAGCGTGCTGCGCTTGAGGACAAATAGCACAAAAATGGTTATACCAAAGGCCGCATGAAAGTAGTCGGCAAAACGCAGGACCTGCGGCCAAAAATGATAGGTTTGCAAAACACTGAGAAATAAATCCAGGCTCCAAGTGACTCCCAAGATCGTAGATAGCCGCAACCACATTACGTAACTTTAATCAATAAAAAAATATTTCAGATTCTTGGGAAACAAACTCAAAGTTTATAAAACCTTACGTCATGATCTCCATCACTGGGTTGCTTTTCTTCAGATCCCTTATTTGCTTTCGTAGAATCCTTACCGTCAGGATAGTGAACATCATGTTCAAGAGGCTAACAGTCAGCATTAGGCCATAGTAGATTCCATAGAAAATGGAAACATTTCCCTCTTTTAACCAAATGGAGTACTGGCACATGTACCGTGGGTTGATCCCCCAAAAATAGTTTAAGGTATAGATGAGTACGGTTAGCATCGCAGCACTGTCCCACACAAAGAATGAATAGGTTCTAAATCGGAACCGTGCAGGCTTACTCTTGTCGAACCCAAATCTCTCCCAAAATACATGATTTAAGGCAAAGAACCAAAGAAAGGAAGCCATCCAGAAGAAGAAAGTCATATAACCTGGAAAAAATCACAACAAAACGACTTAGAAAGTTCGTTTGTAATAATTTTTAGACGACCAACCTGCCAGAAAGTGCACGCCTTTCAACAATTTCCAAGAATTCAGCACCCAGAAAAGGCATTTCATAAACATGCAGAAGAGACAACAGATGAAGCACTTTCCGCCTAAGTTTTGAAGTTTATTTACGTATAGATAAACAGCAATCGTAAGAATATAACAAATCAATGAAATCAAGCCGACTATAAAATAGAAAAAAAAGTAAAAAAGTAAATAAATTTGATAACCTTTTTATGTACTTACTTTCACGGACCGCCGGCGGCAGCAACTTCGATGAATACCTATAGATTTTGTACTCCACCTTTTCAGTCCAGTTGAAGGATTGAACCAAAAAGTGCTCGTTCTACAAAAAATACCAGGTAAGACGGCGAAACATTTGTAAGACAAATCGAAGGACAAACCTCAATCCATGTATATCCCCTGATGTTTAGATCTTCACAGGCATAATCTCTTAAGATTATGTGGTCATGGAAGGTTTTACCCATTTCTTCCATTTCGGATATCGCAATGTCAAAATCATCGCTACAGGAGCCAAGAGGAGTTTGCTTTTTTCGGGGGCAGCAAAACCGGATGCATTTCCTGTTTTTACAGACACAGGCTCTTCTATGGTTTTTCACTGTCACAATAGATCCATTCACCAATTCCATAGAGTCATATAGTCCCGTTTGATTGACGGGAATAATGAAGTCTCCATACTTTAATGTATTATTCACCTCTTTAATATCCGAAATATTCACCGTATCGTAGAAATTGCAATCGGGAATGTCCGCAATTGACTTATTTAGGACAATTAAAAAAACAAGTACTCCAAATAGGTTCAAAAGCTTAAGCATTTTGGGACTTCAAACGTGATACGCGGAGAGAAAAACTCGACTGAGGGTCTATAAGCTCACTTCACAAATATATAATTATTCGAATTGAGTCACTACTTATATTCCCTAGAGAATACAATCTCGGACATTGGCTTTGGCAGAGGGGTTTTATAATTCTGAATACATTTGAGGGCACCCACTTGAGATCGACAACCCTGCTCATAAAATCTGGTCTCGAACCATTTACGTCATTGTAAACATTGCGATTAGAAACCAAAAGTAATGTTTTTCAGTAATGGGAGGCAAGGGAGCTGTTTGTTGAAATTTACAAAAAATCCTAGTTCCCTTGATGGTGGAGGGTCTGTAATTGTTTATGCAATCAGTTAATTAATTTAAAATTAAAATTTCCTACGAAAGTTTTTGGTCGGACATTATTAGCACTTAAATTTTGGATAAAACCATTGCTCATTTATTTCTTTAAACAGTTCAGCTTTATTGCTAGTCGTTGAAGTATTTATTGCAATTATCAACCGAAACGTTATCTGGATGATAACTGCAGCTTGCTATCACTTGAGTGTAGTCATAATGGTCAAGCAAATATCAAAGTAAAGATCTTTTACAATGGATACTTTTTAATGACCCTCCGAGCCATGGCTGTAATGCCCACCCAGGTCTCCTTAACTATGTGATCTATGTCCGAGGCCGGGGGATCGAATCCAGTACCGCCAGCGGGCAGTTCCATTGTAAACGAAATGGGGAAGCCCGCATTGAAGGCGTAATCGTCACTGGCCCCAGCAGCAGCATAATTAATAGTTGTCGTAGAGGGTCCGGCCGTATAGACAGTTCCTGTGGCCTCCAGAATAGCATTTTTACCTTCCTGAGCCACCTCATCAAGGTCTTCAACGGTATCGGGAACAGCTCTAACAGGTATGGATCAGAATCAAAGGTAATATAACCGGAGAGGAAAATTATAAAATAATACTTACGCCGTCCAGCCCCAAGGGTACAGAATTAGGGAGCCATAAGAATGCAAAGTCAAGTAAAACTTTCCTCGACCCACATAGCTATGGATGAGATCTCCCACCACTAGAGCCTCTGGTTCTGAGAAAGCCTTCGCACCGGCATAGGTATTATCACAAGGATCCAGCGATGCACCCTCCTCATTCCAGTGGAAATCAAAGTTCCGGTTGGGATCGGTACCGATGCAATCGTTGCTGCTGGGCCTCCTGGTCTTTCGCCACATACGAGTATCCGCCGAAAGTTGGGTGTACTCATAGCCATCGGGATTGACCACGGGAAGGATGACCCAATCGAAGTCCTGCAGCAGATCGGCATTCTCCTGTGAGTTATTTACCAACTGATCGATCAGATAAACCGCAGCTGCAGGTGAGATCCACTCGCGAGCATGGAAACCACCATCCACTAAGATTACATTCTTATTTCGCCGGGCATCTCCATTGGTTATAGTGATGGTTTTCAGCCAACGACCCTCGTAACTCTTGCCAACGGTTTTTAGGAAAACCCTCGTGGGATATTTCCCCGCAAGATCTTCGATATACTGGTTGATCTCATCATGCGAATAGTATCTCTCCGTTCCCAATCTTCCATTGTAAGGAAACCACTGGCGCAACATGCGATTCGTTTCGAATTGGCGGCTCAGAGTGAGGCCAACATTCCGGTTGAGAATATCATAGTCCACATTGTTGTCATCCATCAGCTTTACAAAGTTAACCTGCTCATCGGGATGCACCATCACCTTGGCTGAATTGCCGCCTTTGAAGCCCGGGAAAACCTCATAGTATGATGCATTCTTGACCAATTCGGAAAGGGCTTCTTCCAATGCCACCGAACGAGCTTTACTAGATAACTGGTATATTTTAAAGCTACGAAAAGGTGGTAATTAGAAATAGCATTTAGAATATAATTATTATCCAATATCCTACCCTTCGTATTTATTGGATTTCTGCAGTCCATCTGAAAAACTCAGGCAGCTGAGAGCCAGCAAAAGCCACCAAACTGCCATCTTTCCAAGTCGCAAGCTATTTGAGTAATACAAATTCAAAGCTTTCGAAGAAACTTCCCCGAACGACAATCTCGAATCGTTATCACCAAATCGAACTATATGGAAGGTCGTAAAATCAAGTGAAATCGATCGGAGAATATGATTGCCGACAATAAAAATAACGAAAATTTATCAGCGTGGTTCCCAATTACGTTCGGAAAAGTTGAGTGAATTTAATTCGACTTTGATTGCATTTGTTTTTTAAGAAGAAAGGAGTTATTAATAAGTGAGAGTTAAAAAAATATAAATGTTTCTTGTAAAACTGCATTTCAAGGAATGCAATTCATGTTATTATCAAAGAAATTGTATATTTTTTTTAAAAGCGTACTTAAGTAATACAAATGGTGATTTATTGGAAACTATTTATATTTATTTTAGTACATCTCGATCAGTTTCTCAGCCATGGCGCGGATACCAATCCAGGTTTCGGTGACGAACTCATCGATGCGGGTGACTGGAGGATTGAATCCAATGCTGCCAGCTCCTGGCAATTCCATGGTGATGGACACATTGAAACCGGCATAGTAGCCATAGTCATCACTGGCACCAGCAGCAATGTACAGGACATTGGTGGAGGATCCGTAGGTGTACTCCGTTCCAGTGGCGTTCTTAATTGCCTCAGCTCCAGTGCGAGCCACAGCATCCAGATCCTCCCAGTTGTCGGGCAGATCGCTAAAAATTAAAAAAATATAAGTAGAAGTACATTTTAATGATTTAATTATTTTTAAGAATGACTTACGAAGTCCATCCCCATGGATACAACAGATAGTTGCCGTAGGAGTGGATGGTGAGGTACATGACACCCCTGTCCGCCAGTGAGTGCATCAGATCCCGGACTACAATAGTCTCTGGTTCGGAGAAGGCCGTTGGGCCGGCATAGGTATCAGCGCAGGGGTTCGAGGAAGCTCCCTCCTCGTTCCAGTGGAAGTCAAAGTTCCGGTTGGGATCGGCTCCATAGCAGGTCTGTCCGGCGTACTGATAGGGCTGACGGGTCTTGCGCCACATGCGGGCCAGAGTTCCGGTCTGGGTGTGCTCGTAACCATCGGCATTGACCAAAGGCAGAATAACCCAGTCGTAATCCTTCAGCAGATAGGCATTCTCCTCGAACTGTTCCACCAACTGATCGATGACGTACAGAACAGCCGCTGGGGAAATCCACTCCCTGGCATGGAAACCGCCATCCAAGAAGATCAGTTTCTTGCCGGCCTTGCCATCGCCATTTGTGACGGTGATGGTCTTCAGAACTCGGTGCTCGTAGGACCAACCCACGGTCCTTACATACACACGACTGGGGAAACGCTGGGCCAGGTCATCGATATAGTTGATGATCTCCTCGTGGCTGTAATAGCGCTCCGTGCTCAGGCGACCCTTGCCCGTGATGGGGGCCAAAAGTCGCTGCATCTGCCGCTGGGCAAACTCCTCGGCAATGGAAGCTCCCAGGTTTGAGTTCACCAGACTATTGGTGATCTTCTCTCCCTCAACCAACTGCTGGAACTGCTCCAACTGGTCGGGACTCACAATCACCCGAGAGGGATGTCCCAACAGACGGCTCTCACTGATGAAATCAAATCCCTCCAAACTGAGCTGGTACAACAATTTAGCCTGGTCTGCATTTGAAGGAATCACCTCATAAATGCGGTAACTGAAAAAGGTTTGAAAATTAGTATATTGATTGAGTGAAGATAGTGGCTTGGTATAAAATTAAAATTATGAAAGCTCTTTTAACTTCTTTGAAAAATTCTTCTTATCAATGTCAATGAAAATTTGTATTTAAAAAATTATATCTTAAAACTAGATAATGTCTCCCTAAATAAAAAAACTGACAGTATGGAAGTCAACATTGAGGAGACCTCTTTGTAGTTCGAACTTAGAACTAACCAATATTTTCGGCACTTTAAATTATTCTTCCGAAATTTCTTAGTGCTTATGTAAGTTTTTTTATCAAACCATTTAAATGATGATATATTTGATTTCTTAGGACATTAAGCACACCTCTCCTCTTCCCAAACTTACCCCTCGTAATCCTGATTGGCGGCCACAAGGGCGGCGCCCAGAAAGAGCACTAGCAAACCCAGGGAGAACTTCATCTTCGCACAGACTAAGCAACCGCGTGGCTGGGCAGAGCCACTTAAATAGCCAGCCAAAGTCACCCGGCCACATATCTAATCGGCAAATGGATCAATAAATAATAAAGCACTCCAAAACTCCCGCACGGGTGACCCGCAAATCAGAGCTGGCGCAATTCACCGCTAATGTCTCTTTATTTACAGCCCGATTACGCCGGATAGCGCCTTATCACCTCCGCGGCCATGGCCCGCACTCCCACCCAACTTTCCGTGACCAATCGCTCGATGTGGGAGACCCAGGGATCGAATCCCATGAATCCAGCAGCCGGCAGCTCCATGGTCATGGCCACAGTGGCGTTTACCACGCCCAGAGCGAAGTCCGCCGTGTCGCCAGAAGTTGGATATAGCACATAATAGGTACTTCCGTAGCTATAGATTCCATTGGTGGAGTGGACAATCGCCTTGGCACCGGCATCCGCAACAGACATCATGTCCTGGTAGTGATCCGGAAAATCACTGGAATAAAATAAAATTAAATATCTTAGAAAAATATACTTATAAAATCATTGCCTAGAAACCGATTATATATTATGCATCTCTAAGCTAACTTACTAATCAAAAAGTTATAAATCATGAATCAGAAGAATTTAAACAAATCTAGTTCTCCATAAAAAAATATAAACTTTAAAAACTGGGTTTTTCCTCAGATAGCAAGGTGACTAGTTGATGTCACTTTTCGGATTACTTTTCGTCCAGACAAAGCCTTCAATAAATTATTTCTTTATCGCTTACATGAGAACACTTAAATTTATTAAACAACTATTTTTGCATTACGAAACTAATACGAAACTTTAACGAGGACAAATTAAAAATAAATAAATTATAATAAATTTAAAAAATCAATCAAGCTAAGCGAAACAAATAATCAAATCTCTTCAGTTATTCCTATTCCTATATATATCATCAAATTAATAAGAATAGATAATCCTACCTGGTATAACCCCAGGGTAGAAGGAAATAGTTTCCGTAGGAGTGGAGTGAGAGATAAAAGTTAAGTCGTCCCCTATAATGGAGCATCACATCTCGCAGAACCTGCGACTCGGGTTGGTCGAAAGGGCTCTCCCCTCGATAAATATCCTCGCAGGGATCCGAAGAGGATCCCTCATCGTGGCCCCATTCGTAGCCGAAATTCCGATTGATGTCCGTACCAACGCATTCCGGATTATTGGTAGGTCGACGAGTCTTACGCCAATAACGAGAATCCGTATGAGTGTATTCATATCCATCAGCATTGACCACTGGCATAATCACCCAGTCGTAGTCCTCTAAAAGCTCCTGGTTTTCCGCGTAGTTATCCAGCAGCTGTTGGATGATATAAAGGGCCATCGAGGGTGATATCCATTCCCGGGCATGCACGGTACCATCAATTAGGATTACTGGTTTATTACCCTTTCCATCTCCATTTGTAATTGTCAAAACTTTGAGGGCTCGTCTTTCGTAACTCCATCCGAATTGCTTCACCTGAACTCGTTTGGGAAATCTTTGGGGTAAACTATCCAGGTAATCGTTAATTTCCGAGTGGGTATAAAAAGCTGCAAGAACATCGATTTGGGGCATTTGGATGAGTAGCTTTTTCTTCAAATTCTCCTCTCGTTGGGATTGCACTAAAGGTGCAAGGTCCTCAATTAGAACTCTATGTTCTATGTGATATCTACTAAAAGTTTCAACTAAACAATCAACTTCTTCAGGCGGTATCATCACCTTGAGTGAGCTCTCATTCCTTTTTTGGCCGAGAAAATCCCAAAGTGGCTTTTCTTTAGACCACTTTCTTATAAGATTCAGGTCTTCGACTCCTTGAGGTTTCAGCTCGTACACCTTGAAGTCCTTGTAATCCTGCCAGGCGAAGAGGACCAATGGCTGCACTAGCAGTAGAGCTAGTAAACTTAAGAGCGACGAAGTCATTATTGTCCGAAAGTCCGATATTGACTGGACTAAAACAGGTGTAGGGGCTAATCGCATTACCCATTTTTATCACTTTATTGGAGACGCTGCCGCCTGCTTACGATACCAAAAAGCCGCTTATATGTTTTTGTTTATGGCATAGACAAACTAAGTAGATCCCCCTTCTGTGTTCAGGGCTTGAAAAAGCTTTTAAACAAACTAGTTCCAGTTCATTAAAAATAATTGTTTAATTTAAATATTTAACTAAAAAATAAAATTAAAAAAAATAAAAAAAAAAAAAATAAAAATAAAAAATTCAATCTAAGAAAAAATGTTTTCCGCAAAACCACTTAGGGTTTTCCGAAACACAGATCACACCAAACTCAATGTCAAATAGATTTATAAAAAAAACACAAATTGAGGCAGAAACTTTAATGAAGATAAAAACATAATAACAATCCAATTTTGGTATTCTGTTTTCCATTATGCGAATGCATTTTTAAACAAAAAAAATGTTCAATACTCTCAGTAGGTCAATATTTAATTACATTTTTTAAATTTCATTTGAAGTCGACAATTTTGTTCACGTATTTTGTTTGGCGTAGAAACTCAAAATGATGGATATCTGTTTTCCATTAAACAATGAGCTGTCCAAAAAACTAATGAAGCAAAGAATTTATTTTCAAAGGCAGATATTTTTCTCAGGCATTTAAATAAAAATTGCACAATTAAAATATTTTTTCCAAATTCACTTCTTTAATGCTTAACAACGAGGTCACTAATTATTTTATATTTAACAAACAATAAATTCAATTGCTTAAACAGTTTAGGAAATGCGGGAGCCTCATCTAGTAGAGGCTGACGTGCCGGATGAACTCGATGAAGCCGGCGAATGTCTCCTTGCAGACGTGGATGATGTCGTGGGCGGGCACGTGGAACTCGTCACCGGGCAGCTCTAGCGTGTAGGACAGGGGGATGCCCAGGTTTCCATAGGCGTAATCATCCAAGCTGCCGGAGGCCTCGTACAAAATGGAGGCGGAGGTTCCGGTGGTGTAGCGGGTGCCGCGGTACCTGCCGATCTGGTTGGCGGCCCTCAGAGCCACCGAACGCAGCGTTCCCACGGTGGGTGGCACGGTATTTCTACACAGAGAGAAAATTTAAATTAATATTGAGATATTAAGAAAAGTATTAAATATTACTTAGATGTAAAGATGATATAAATATTGAAAAGATATTTCAAAATATATTTAATATTTTTACTTAACTTAGACAACTTAAAACGGATTGAAAATCTCAAATATTTAGCATCATTACTTAATGAGAAAAAAAGAATAACATTTTAAAACTTTAGCACCTTACTAAGATATTTTGTAAAGCTTAATATTTTTGGGACAGTGCTAATAAAACAGAATTAAATGGAAGCATTGGCAGAAATATTCGGGTTTAATTGCTTTTAGCAAATAATTGAAAAGTAAATTGAATTTTCTTTCTGGGCCACCCGCCGGCCTGGCCTTCATCCACAGCCGAGGATTTTCGGACATGAAACATGGAAATCAGGGAGACTGCACTTTCCGCCCATACTCACTTCGCATAGCCGTAGGGATAAAAAATGAATTTGCCAAATGAGTGAACATCCAGGCTGAGTTTCACACGGTTTCGATTGAATTCCAAATATCTCACAACGGCCGAGGTCTCCGGTTCCGAATTGGGCGATGTGCCCGAGTAAACCTCCGAGCAGAGCTGTAGTTTTATGTATGGAAAGGATTGGAGGATTAAAATCGAGGGTCAATGGCGAAGGTCAAAGTCGGGGTCAACAAGTGGCTTACGTTCTGACTGGCTCCCTGGTAGTTCCAGTGGTTTCCAAAGTTACGATTGATATCCACGCCGGAGCAGGAATGACCCGCATAACGGTGACGGTTCTTGCGCCAGAAACGATCCTGAAAAAATGTTATTAAAATATTTATTAACATGTTTAGATAATACCTAACTATTATAATTTATTTTACCAGTTCTGCTCAACGTTAAAATAAATATCTAAATATAAAGTATAAAAGTACATAGCTACACGATAATTCTAAAAATATGGCAAATTTCTTTTAAATCCTCTGACGTTTAAACACTTTTAAGTGTCACTTTTCTCAAAAATAATTGATGTGCTTTTTCTCAGTTTCCTTATAGATATTAAAAGCGTATATGTACTTTAAGATAAATGACCGAGTCTTTTTCAACACATGTTTTCAATCTTTGATATATTTGTTAAGTAAAATGTTTTATGTTGTAATCATTTGTAAATTTCATAGCTTTTGTGAAACAAGATATTCATACTAATCCAAGGGCTAGCAAATTTTAGGTTAAACAATAAAAGATTGTGTAAAAATTTTGAAACATGTAAATTTTAATTTGAAAAGGGATTCCACACTCCTCATTTATTATAAAACATATAAATATACCTTTCCCTTACTTACCGTCGTGTGGGTGTACTCATAGCCATCGGGATTGACAAGTGGCACCAGGAAGATCTCCACATCCTGCAGGACCCTTGTGAAGGCGCGCAGATTGCTGAGCAGTTCGTAAGCCAAATAGAGAACCGTCTGCGTGGTGATCCACTCCCTTCCATGGGTGGCTGCCTGGATATAGGCCACTCGACGGGGACGAATCCTACTGTTCAGGGAAATGGACAAGGCAGCTATATGGCGACCCTCATTGGAACGCCCCAGGGATTCGTAGCGGCAGTACTGCGGATATCTGGAGGCCAGTCCGCTCATGAAGCTCAGCACCTCATGGTACCGAGGATAGTGCGAGAAGAAGCCGCGAGCCTGGCGACGAGTCCTTCGGCGTGGACGCTCTGCCTCTTCGCAATCCTCCTGCTGACACTCCTCGTACTCGCCATCGTAATTGTCCTCGGCATAGGAACTGTTGGCCTGAAGGGCCTCCATCAGCTCCATTAGGGGCTGCATCTGGTAGCTGACTCCCAAACTGGACAGACGAGCCTCGAACTGATTCTTCCGCTTGGGGCTCACCGTCAGCACCGAGGAATTTCTGGTCAGCAGCCAGAAGTCCAGCTCCGCGTCGCTCGTCTGCAGATCCACCATGTAGCGGAAGGCATCCTCATCGCCATGTTGCACAGTGTATTTGGTATAACTGAAACCATGATAAAGAATTTTAGTATTTCGAGTATGAAAATAAGGAAATTATCTAATTTTTCTATCATTATTTTTGTATAAGTATTCTTGTATAAGTATTTCTTGTAATCAGCTAATAATATTGGCAAACAAAATGTTTCTTGGTTCTGATCTTTTTCTCCTTGCTTTTTAAAAATATTTTTTATAATCGTCTAAGAAAATTATATACATAACCATTTTAAATGTCAGAAATTCTAAAACCAATCTTATCCTAAAGATTGAATATTTAAATGTTAAAACCAAGCCAATAGATGTTTTCAAAATGAAAAACCTATAATTTATATTATTTTTTCAATATTTAAGAAGATAAAATTTATCCAATAAACAATTTAAAAGCCATAATTTCTAATGAGTATGTCAAGGTTGGGTGACCTATTGTTTTGGTGGATATGTGTTAATTAATTCATTGTAGAGATACGCTGTGTTTGGACAAATACATATTGGCATCCATTTGACAGGCATTTAATTAATCTAACAGCCAAACATTTTTGCACTTTTTCGCTAGTTTTTTAGCAAACCCATTTTTGGGATCGAAAAGTGTGATATGCTTATTAGCGGTTCATAATTAACTGATACCCCGCCAGATAATGATAATCTAGCGACGGGAAATCCCGATGATTGCTCCACATGTCTCCAACTAATTGGACAACAAATTAATTTATAGCTCGCCCTCGCCTGGCGTCAAAATGAGTTGTTGATTCATAAATTTATGCAAAGCGACTGCTGGCCGCCGTTTGTTGGCTCTTTGCCACCTCGTACGAATCGGTGGCCAATTTATCATCTCTTGAAATTCCACAACGGAAAACGAAAACACACACAAGATACAAGAAATACAAGAAATAATAATGAAGCAACACAACTCTTAAGTCCCCCTGCATATTTATCTCGCCTGCATTATGGGATTGTGTAGGTGGCATGGGGCATATGATATGGTATTAGGTATTATAATGCAGACAAAAGCTAATCACGTGAGCCAGCCAACGGCATTCGATGATAATTTAATAAGGCGCTCCTGCTGTTGGCCAAAATGAAATAGCCAGCGGGGCTCATTTTTCATCTTTTAAGTGTATGAATTTTTTTTTTCGAAATTTTCCCAACGCATTTTTAACCAAATCAGAGCCTATTGTCCATCTTAATTCGACCTTGGTAAAATTCATATCACTCTGCATGTCTAGCTTCATATTTTTGAACTTGAAAATGGTTAGGTAATGAAACATCTGGCTTGTTTTGATCGAAAGAATCTTTTAATTTCGATTCGGAATTCCAGTCGGAAATTCTGCAACCACAATGCCCTCATCCATCACTCATACGCCACATGGGCGGCTGACAGGCCGGGGGGGCGTGGCATGTTTGACAAACATTTCGCACTGCGATCGCTTGGCAATTACAAATTGTGCAAATTATCAACGGCATTGTTGAATGTACAACTGTTGGCCATTGGCCAAACGACAAAACGTTTAGCGACGTTTATTATGACGACTTCTAATCACGACCAATGACCATGGATTCGGCCAACACTTTGGAGGAAATATTAAGGTAAAATAAACCTTTGTTTATCCTATGATTAGATGCGGCTGATGGTGTTTGCATAATTAAAGACATTAAACACAATACACCGGTAGCTCTAAAATCTATTCAATATTTTTATCACACAAAAAACAATGCCTAGCTCAATGATTTTCCATTGCAACAATAGTAAAATATATTTAAATATAAACATATATAAAAAACAAAAAAATATATATACATTTTATTGAGTTTTGTTTAATGTTTCCGGTTTTGTTTTTAATTTTTATTTTCTTAAATGAATAGGTGAATTGTCATATTACTTTAAATATAGAACTCTTGTAAAATAGAGAAAAAATTAATAAATTTAAAATAAAAAAAAAATAGTGTTTGAAATCATTTTATTTTCTTAATTTTTTTATCTGCAATATATTTATGTATTCTAGTGATCTAAGCATTTTGTTTCCAAGGAATTTCTACAAACATACATAAAACAAAAAAAAACAAAAATACAATAAAAATGCTGCGATTACTTCAGGATATGACCAATTGGTTCTGTCATAGCTATCGTTATTTTTGGCTGGCCTCCATAATGGCCATTCCGTACCTATGCTACCGATCAAAACAAGACGATTTCAATATGCTGGATGGCTTTATAATGTACGCAGCTGTGTTCATAGGAGCCTTTGGATTGATTCAGGACGAGAGGATTGGTCGTCCTCGATAGCGCAACCAGATGAAAAAACCCTGATCGTTGCCAAAAACCCGTTTCTCAGCTAGAAACACTTAACCACTGGCCGAAAAAATAAAATTCAATTAATGACTTGGCCTAAAGAAGAGCCACTTGATTGATGTGTATTACGTATTATTTTTTGCTTCTTCTTTTCGGTAACGATGTAAATTATAATTAATGCGAGTAGCCGCTGATGATTACCCTTCGTAGCCGGCGAGATTGTTGGCGAGGCCGAAACCCGCCAATCCAACGAGGCAGAAAGTCAAGCTCCACACGATTCCCTGCCACATTTTTGCCATCTATATACACAGATATATATATATAGTAAATACACTTCCACTCTGAGATGCTTCCACGATCTTTGGCTAATTATGTATTAAAATATTCAGTTGCATGGACAGGCACACGTTTTTGTATGTTTTTTATGCACTTTTGTTTGGCTGGTTTGTTTTATTGTTTGCACGCTGCACTTGTGGTTTAAGCGATTGGGCAAGAGTTTTCGAGAGCTTTTAGTTGGAGCGATTAGCTCTGGGTAAATATGGATGATCACTGTTCAGCGGACGCGATCCGTGCGTTCCATCTCCGGTCCGGCGGAAGACTGACGGGCGGTTTGTAAAGCGGCCGAGAAAGAAGACGAGATGCTGGCCAAAAAGCAGAGACCAAAAAATGGTCTCGGATTCGGAACCGAGCTGATTGTTTAGAAAAGTGAGTGTCAAGGTCGGACTTTGCGACCAGTTTAAGTTTTAAGTTCCGAAATAAAAAAGCGGCAAACGCGTCACGAGACGAGATTTTGGGCACGCGTCTTGACCATTTGAAATATTTCGACTTTCGGCTAAGAACTTCTTGTTATTTTTGCATAATTTATTCACCGGTTCGATTCCCTTTAATCTGAACTTTTTCTTTTCTTTAATTAATGGGTTCTCTTATTTGATTGTTTTTTTTTATAAATCGAAAACTTGTTTGTCCATACTTCTGATCACTTTTTGTCGCACTAACAATTTGTTCTGGCTTATTTTGTGGATTTTGCATCCGCATATGGCGATTCGTGAATCGATTCTGAAGCCGTTGCTTGTTTATTTTCTGGTTTTTATAGAGGAACTCGTATACTGGCGGCTTCCTAATGTCATGATGATGAGTGTTCTGTTGCGATTCGATTTGAAAGTTCAAGATGTGCTCGTGTCTTACGCGCAGATGGAGATGGGCCATACTATGGAGCACTGAACTTTCGAATTTGGCCAAAAACGGACAAGGTCAAGGGGCCCAAAATAGCCGGAAGCAATAACCTGGGTTCGGTTCGTTTTGGTTCATTACAGTTAACATCTAGCGTCTAAATACGCATTTATCGAGTTCATTAATTCGTCAAGAGATCATCATTGTGAGACGCTGCCAGAAGGCAGGTCACTCAACGTCCAACTCATCAACTGATATTTATATTTGATTTGATTTTGCTTGACTTTGCTTTCGGATCGGTTCGGTTCGGTCCGCTTTTGTGTGTAATTATAACACTTGGCTATAGCTTCAGGCACTTCCGCCTGCAGTTTTTCGCTTTTCGATAGGGAGTTCGGCAGATGAACAAATGAGCCGCCATTCGCATATTTCCGGTGGAACTAGTTTATCTAAAATAATTTACATTTAAAATTTGTGCGACTTCTGCGGCTTAATGACTCCACTCGGCTTAATGCCAGCTCTCTAGTCGAGTTCTAAATCATTTTAGTTTATTTATTAGCCAGCTCCAAACAAGACCATTATCATCGGCAGCAGCAGCCCAAAGGGCATTCAACTTCCCCAGTAAATTAATTCACTATCTCTGCTCTGCGATCGCATTAACTTAAAGGCTTACATATATTCGTATAAGGAGAGATCTATTTGATTTTTGGTATTGTTCGGCTCAAGGCGTGCTTTTGTTATTATCGCGCTTTCGGCGGGATTATTTGCATCTGAAAAACCACCGGTGACAATAGATGCGTTTGGCCTTAACCATGAACATGAAATCTTAAATCTTTTGCCTGGGAACGGAACTACGGATTGCACAGAAATAAATTCAGATGATCGATGCAGCGATTTTTAATTCAAGAAAACATTTGATCTTAACATGTGCAGTGCGATATTATTGTGCATACTAAATAAAGGGAATAAATGAATAATAATACCTTTGAATCTGTTTTCTTAAAGGTTAATAAATTCTGTCTATTTTGTGTGCATTTTTCTTAATGGAGTGTTTATTGGCTCGAGGAGGGGGGAATCTTGTTGCGCTCGCACAGTAATCAAAATAATCAGAATATTGCCTCACAAACTATGCCAAATTGCACAAAGTTAAATTGCCCTGCCACATGACAAAAATCTGGCTTGTTGAGGCAGGTCCAGGCTAAAACTTTCCCAGGAAATTCGAATTTCTTTGGGCATAATTGTTTGGAATTTCGTTAATTCGTAAACAGTTTTATGCTACATTACATTTCGTCATCGCAACTCGAACGAAAGACAGGAGACAGCCGTCAGGCTAGAAAAAAAAAAAGAACCAAATTCCACAAAGTTTGGCCCTTTATATTTGCCAACATGCTAATGACATAATGCATACTTGAAAAGGGTTTCCCCTTTAACTTTTACCCCTAAGGAGGACGACCAACCGACTGACTTACTGACTGGGAAAGGCTTCACTTGCTCCATTCATCCATTTGCTATGGGACTTTGCGTGTTTATACCAAGTTACACTAAAATAAAACAGGAAAAGGTCTTTAAAGACAAGCTATTATAAATATACGACTTAAAAATATGCTCATTCAAATTATATTTTTTTTAAGTTTTATAAAATAGCATCTGTATTCCTTATTTAAAGAATTAAAGAAACAGAAAAATTTATTGTTAAAGCTTATTTTATTTAACTTATAAATTTACCTTGACTAAGAAGAGTATTTTTGAAGGATTTTTCGCTTTTTATTTTAGTTTTCAATCTTTAAAATAAAAACCTAAATAAATCTCTGAGCTACTTGAACAACTTAGGAAAAAATACTTAAAGTTTTATGATGATAGGGTATGCAACAGAGAAAGGAGTAACAATGCATTATGTAGACATAGCTAGACGTAAATATATGGCAGTCACTGTGTCAGGAAGTTGACTAAAAGACCGTTAAATGAAAATCAACACGAACATGGTTCCTGTATAAATCAACTGGTTGCGTTGCTCCCGCTATATGCCATACATATTTATACCAATTTATATGGATTCAGTTAAGGATACGGCCCAACAGTTGTACGAATTTTTGTGTGTGGTTCTACACCGACCTGCCGCGCACTTTTGACTTTTGCGTTGACATGACATTTGCCAGGCCATAAGAAATATATTACACTCCGCAACAAGTTGGCGGAAGAGTTGAAAGTTATTTTTATGGCTACCATAAGGCGGAACATTTGTTTAATCAGCAAATAGGCACATAAAACTATATTACTATATTTATTTATCATTTGTTGTAATATAATAATTAACGTTTTATTAGAACATAGTATAGATGGCGTCCACCTGTTTTTAGTATATCATTACTTTACGGAAATTTTAACAATATTTAAAGTCGACAATTTTAACACTATTAATATTGTTTATTATGAACACATTTTTTTTTTTTTTGCAGCCGAGTGTAATCAGGAAGCCGAGATCCACAAATGAACTTCGCTGTAAAACGCTTAACCGGAGGAGGACTTGAACTGCTCCTCCTCCAAACCGTTCCTCGTTTCCCAGGCTGCACGCCAGCTCCTGGAGTCCCTGTTTATTTGCACTGGATGGTGCCTGCTGTGCTTTTGGACGCCCACGCCTCTGCTCCTGCTCCTTTTCCTTTTCCTGATTTTGCTCCAGACCCCAACCAGTCAAGCTACCCCGTCCTCCTGTCTGACATTTAGCATATTTGCGTTTTGTGGCAGCTGCAACCGGGCTAGGGGATTCCGAACCGGAATCCAAATCCAATTCCGCATTACATGCTACCGTGCCCAACTTATTAAACGTTGTCGCTGTCCCATTTACCCACTGCGAACTCTGCACTCAAAGAAAAAAAATCCCACAAATTAACATTTCAATGTTCTGTTTTTTATGGTAATTAAAATTACTAATTACTATATTTTTCTATCCTATCTTATCATGTTATTTAGTTTTGAGTTTACTAATAGCGAGTAGTAACCAAATAAAACATTTAAACTATTACAAATCTTTAAAAAATAGTAACAAAATAAAATGGGTAAAAATTAAAATAAAATTGATATAACTTATCTGAATTGTTTTTAAAATCTTCAATTTTTGAGGGCTCTTATTTAAATGGGTTCTATTATTAATATTTGATGTAATATAATCTGGTTTTATAATGACTAAAAATCAAGAATATGTTTGAAAAATGTAATTACATAATTATGTTATAATTATATACTAAGATTTTTTAGTTAATTTCATAATTTCAATCAGGTATTTAAGCTTACCAACAGTGTATTTAAGTACAATTTTTCAAAGTGCATCATCAGGAACGACTCGAGGGGAGTTGGACCTTCCGTGGGAGTACGATTTCTGCCATTTAGTGGTACAAAACCCGGGCGGCCTCTGTTTAAGGCCCGCACAATGGAAGACAAACCCAAGGAGAGCACACGGCTCGCTCTGCTCGTGGTCGAGCGGCTTCATCTGAACATCAAGTGCCAGGTGAGAATCCCACCCAGCAGCAGGCCAGGCTTATTCCGCTTGGGTGTCAATTTCAACTGGAATCCCAGTTTTCATTTGAGTCTCACCCATACGATAGGCAATATCCTTAAATTCCGAAGTGATAAATAATTTTTCTTGTTTGTTTCTCTTTTAAAAATCCTTTGTTTTTCTTTCTCTAATGGCTACCGTATCCAAACGTAACAACCAGACGGCAAAGGAACGAAACCGAGATGCTCCCATAACGCCACTGCGCCGGCTGGTCATCCCACGACCGGACATCCTGCACACCTATTTGGACTACAGGCAGATCAATCAGTATCTGGAGTACCTGGCCCAGCGGTATCCCCACTTCGTACGCATGCACAACTTGGGTCACACGCACGAGAAGCGGGAAGTTCGAGCTCTAGAGATCAACTGGATGAACTCGGATAACGTGGAGCTATCCCCGCAGATGCGGGAGCAATCACCGCGGCCCTTCGATCTCGCCGCCAATGGACGATCCACCCTTCCGGTGGTCCACCAGGGTGAGCACAGCCGGAAGACGGTCTTCATAGAGGCGGGAACTCATGCACGTGAATGGATCACCATCTCCACGGCCCTTAATTGCATCTACCAACTAACCGAGCGGTACACCAGGAATATAGAGGTGCTCCGCAAGCTTCGCTTTATCATCGTGCCGCTGGTAAATCCCGATGGTTACGAGTACTCTCGCACCAAGGTAATTTTACACTACTTATATTAACAAAGGATTTTTAAACCAAATATCAACGGATATTTTTAAATAATTAAATTAACTATTTTATCAGAGACTGTATACTAAATTAAACGAAGAAAAGTATAATTCCTCTTGATTTAACACACAAAAAAACACAAAAATGTAAAATCGAAATGGCCATGTAAATGTCAGGTCATGCTAACCCATATCGTTTTTACATGAAGTACTCTTTTCGACCAGGTCAAATTCACCTGGCCACATATCAAATTAAAATTGATCTTAAATAATGTAAAATCGATCTACGTTTCATATCAATTTTTTTGGGTGCATAATTTAAGTTAAAGTTGTGTGATTGTTACCAATGCAGCGGCTAATGTCCACTTTTAATTCCCCAGAATGCCAAGTGGCGCAAGAACCGGCGGCCCCACAAATCCAGCAAATTTGTGGGCACTGATTGCAACAGAAACTACGACATCTTCTGGAACAGCGGACCCAGCAAGATCAACCGCAACACCTACAAAGGGGAATGTCCGTTCTCCGAGCCGGAAACGCGGGCCATGAGGAATATGCTCAACCGGATGAGCTCCAATTTGCTCTTCTTCCTGTCGCTTCACTCGTACGGCCAGAGCATTATGTATCCGTGGGGCTACTGCCGTGAAAATCCGCAATACTGGCGCGAACTGAGCTCCCTGGCCAATTCGGGAAGGAGTGCCATCAAGTCGTACAACGGACGGGAGTACCGAACGGGGAGCATTAGCTGTCTGACCAAGCGAACGATTGCCGGATCCGTTGTAGACTATGTGTATGGAGTGCTTAAGGTGCCGATGGCTTTGGTGATGGAGCTGCCGTCACGGGAACTCGGCTTTCAGCCGCCCGTCGAGATGATCAGTCAAATTGGACACGAGAGCTGGTACGGAATTCGTGAGATGTGCAAACGCTCCTATGACCTGCGCCATCAGATTGTTCGTGAAAATGAACCGCAACTTCCGCGTCCGGCGCACTATGATCCGAGTAACGAGGGCGGGGCAACTGAAAGTCTGACCATGTCTGTGGAGGAGTCCACCGCGGCAGCAGGCGGCGATTGTGCCAGGACCAAGCCGAAAAAGAAGCGGACGAAGCGCACGGCTCTGGCGACGCACGATGAGATCCTCCGAATTCAGAGGGGTTTCAAGGCAAGTGAACCGAGTGTCCTGCCCGAAGGTATTCAAGCCCTGCCCGCCGGTCTCTTTCCCCGGCAGTTGGAACCGCGTATTGCACCTGTGAGGCGATCCGGACTCAGTCGTGATGGAAGGGGCGCTGGCGATGGTGTAATCCTCACCAGCCGTGGCAAACCTCCTATCTCGTCCACAATGCCGCTGGGAGTGTTTCTATAGGCTAAAAATTGTGTTTGTGATTAGTGCGAAAATGTTATAGATTTACGTTTTAAATTAAATGTGTAGGCTTTATTCAAATCCTACAGAAATGTCAATTTAAAAATTTAATAAATAAAATGTGAAAACAAAACTTTAAAATGAAACTTAAATATTTCATTTAAAAACCAGAGCATGTAAAAAACAGTTGACTATTTCTAGATGTCTCAAAATAACTCTCACTTTGGGACTCTTTGAGCAAGGGTTTGTTTCCTTTCAAAGGGTTTTCGGTCTTTGCTCAACCAGTACCCGATTTTTTGGTTTCAAAACGGTTTCGGTTGATCAAAGACCGTTTGAACTGAACGGAGAACAAAAACGGTCTTTTGACTTTTTATACCTATGTGTTTGAACACACAGAATATGTTCTATACTCCAAAAATGTTGTTTGTTTTTTCCAAATATTTTAAACTTAATTACATGTATTAAATTTAATTTTTAAAAATAATTCCATTTTTTATTTATAAAAATCTTAAAGAAAGTATTTTGGATTTTATTGTGTCTTAAGCTTGAACGCAAAGTACAGAACTTTAGAAGACCAATATTTCCAGTTATGTTTTTACCTAATGTAAAATATGAAAAACCGCGAGTTCTTCAGAAGATTATGGAAGATGAAGATGATTTACTATTTTTTAGACGCTTTATCAAACAAAATAAAAAACCGCGAGTTCTTCAAAAGATGATGGTCATTATGTATATTTACTCGTATAACACCATCACTTAGAGGCTATATCTTACAAGACTTAAATCCGCGAATTCTTCAGGAGATGATGGCCATTGTATATCTTTACTCGTATAACAGCATCACCAATGGCGTTTTATCATAAAACTTGAAAACAGCGTGTTCTTTAGAACCCGCGAGTTCTTCAGAAGATGATGGCCTTTGTATGTCTTTACTCTTATAAAAGCATCTCCAATGGCGCTTTAGAAGATAATGGTAACAGTAATTGTAATGCACCTGGTGCTAATAATTAAGTTATTTACCATATATGTATTTTCCAGAGCATGTAAACAGTTGATCGTTTTTTCGTTTGCTGTCATGGTCTGAAGAAACCGAAAAAAATTTAAAAATTTGGTTTCGGTCTGAGCGAAACCCTTCACTATATAGTCTGTTTCGGTTTTCGGTTGACCGATCTCGACTGAAAATAAATTTTTTCGGTCCTTCAAAATGCCGATTTTTGGGACCGTTTGTATGAAACGGTCCCAATAAACTGTTAGTAGATGAACAAAACTTTGAAATGCTCAGTAAAAACGGTCTTTTTTGACAGTTCTGCCTTTCCTTTGCCTTACACCTTTAAAAATTTAAGAACATTTAAATTTAGAACATTTATTTAAAAATACATATAACCCGACGGCGACCAACAGGCCGGATATTATCGTTGGCTTCCCCGAGCAGGGTGAACGTGCTGAGATCCTTAAGGCCACCACAAAGGTGAACATATTTATTTTTTATTTTCTTAAATAATTTAAATTATTATTATAATTTTCTTTTCCTCCGCAGAACGGAAAGCGTCCTGTGCTGGCAGAGGATGTAAGTCTTGAGGAGCTGGCTGCCCAAACTGAGGGCTACAGTGGAGCAGACTTGGCAAGACTGGTTAAACAGGCTTCTATGTTCTCCCTGCGTCAATCTCTAAACAATGGCGAATCAAAACTAGACGATCTGTGTACGCACAGATCGCCGAGTTTTAAGCATAGAGGCCTGTTTAACCAGTCCTGCCAAATCTGCGCCAGTGTAGCCCTCAGTTTGGGCAGCAAGCTCGTCGAGACTAACATCCTCTGCCAGCACAGGAAGCTTGCCGTTCTGCGGAAAAAAAGAACAGTATGTTAGTAAATTATATTATTTAAGAAACTAAAAAATAAATTCGTTGATCTTTAGTTTATCTAAGCTGCTGATCAGCTGCGACACAATGCGACGCTCCATATCCTTCGAGGCCCACTGGCGGTTGCCACCGATGGCGTCGATTTCGTCGATGAAGAGCACGCAAGGCGAGTAGCTCATGGCCTGCTCGAAGACCTCGCGAATGCGCTCCTCGGACTCGCCGGAGATGCCACCAATCAGCTCGGTGGCCGGCACTTCCAGCAGTGGCATTTTAAGTTGCTAAGAGAATGGTTCTTCAATTAGACTACAAAGTAATTTTTATTTAATCAGACTTACCCCACTTATGGCACGGGCTAGGAAGGTTTTGCCACATCCTGGCGGGCCGTGCAGCAAAAGACCCCTTGAGGGCAGCAGTCCCAAGTGAAAATAGAACTCCGGCGACTTGATATGGATGAGCATCTCGCACAGCTCCTTCAGGGTGGAATCCATGCCGCCGATGTCACGGAAACTCTCCGTGGGATGGTGCACTTCCAGCTCCTTTTTGAACTTCCGCTGGCGATCACGGTTTTGGTTTTGGTTTGGATGCAGCTGCTGATACAAATTGCGATGATCCTTGCGATCCTCGGAGTGATGATTTTTACCCCTATGACCGACACCTGGTTGAACTGAGAAGGAAAGACTTTAGTGATTTTCTATGGGGGATTTTCTAATGCGGGATATCACTTACATTTGTGTGCTGACTCGGGACCCGAGCCTGGAATAGTATTCAGTTTAGCTGCTAATAGAGAATATTATTAGATGTTAATAAAGTTCCTCTGTTTTTCTATATAGAAACTCACTTTTCTTGGGAGCCGCCGTTGTCTCCGGCAGATCTTCCATTAGGCGTTTCAGGGCATTCGGCTGAACTGCCGGTGGAGCAGGAGCTGGGTGCCCATCTCCGTTGGTGGTGTTGGTATTGGAGTCATCGTCGTTGTCGTCCCCACTGGATATATCGATGGGTTCGCTGATGGGCTTGGCAGCCAGCGGCTTCCTTGGCTGGCTGTACAGGCTGTTCATCATGTTGTTCATCACACTGTTGGTGGGTGGCGCCTCGAATTCCTCGCTGATGCAATCGGTTTCGGAGCTGCTTAGCTTGTCCAAGTTGTAGCTATCGGAGATGATGGAAAATGCTGGAAATGGAAAATTTTCAATCTGACAGCTAGTTAAACCAAAATGGCAGCTTGACAACTAAGATAACTTGACAGACATTCCTGTTTTTTAGTATTTTCATATTTTTAGTATTATGCTAACTATAATTTTTCTACCAAATGATGACTATATGAACCCCATTCCGACTTTGCCCATTGTTTACCTTGATGTACCAACTGCCTGAAGGGTCCAAATTTTCGTCGCGAGTACTCCGGGTACTTTTGCATCAACTCCCTGGTCATCTGCTTTACATCCAGGTAGGTTTCACCGATGTGCTCCTCGAGGTACTGAAATCGGAAGACCAAACGCAATTAGCACACGATGCAGGCAGTCTGCGACCTAACCTTGTTTTTCCTGTGCCCAAATTCGCCGCCCTTACAAAGGGTTTTCAGTTTTTTTTTTTTTTCATGGGAATAGTGCCGGCTATCGGGCAGCTGCCATAGGGGCCCTATGCGTCCGGGAAAGTTGGGGACTTGGACCCACCTTCTTCACTCGAATCGTTATCAGATGGTCGTGGAGCAGAGGCTTGGCTTTCTTCATATTACTCGAGGATTAATTCTGACCAATATTCGCATGGGAACCAAAAAATCACTTTGCCGCTCGCTAAATGCAAACGACGCCGTCGCCTCGATATCTTTGCTTCGCAAAACGTTTCCACTCGTCCACATTTACCATTGTGATGCGAATTAATCGGGGGTGGTCACAGAAATCTCTTCCAACCAAAAGAGAACGGTTTTCGGCTAGAAATAAGTTCTGAGACATTCCCTATTGATGCGCATAAGAAACCAACCTCCGTTCAGAGCTACGCGATTTTTGTGTCCCCCCGGTAATTTAATTTCCCATTGTAAGTCGCGGTGTAATATTATTAGTAAACTTACAAAAACTAATAATACACTCCATAATTTGAATTTAATGTAAGGGCTCGTATTAAACTTACCAAAAAAAGCGTCCAGAACCAATAACGCACTATAAAGAACACGACACAAATTTTTTTTTTTTATTTAAGTTACTTCCTTCCTTGAACTCCACAAAGTTTATGTCAAAGTTTTTGACAGCGGCCGTTTTCATGCCTCACAAAAAATTCCCAAAAAATGACCGTAAAATAGCACACGGATTTTACCAAATTGGCCGAAATTAGTATATTTTTTTAGGCCAAAAATTGTTAGATTGAATACTAGGCCTAAATATTAAGGTTATTACATTGCTGAAATTGTTGAACGTTTATTGTACACCTGAACACCAATTCAAAACTACGTCGCTCGCTAAAAAAATTTTCTGTGGGAATCGAACTCGTGCTTACAGCACGGGGTACCAACACACTAACACCCAGCCCACATGTCGGGTTGGATCTATGTGGAATAGTTCATAACATCTTGTTAAGTCGTTTTGCTAATATATAAAGGACATAAAGTCCTAAGGTTGCTACAACTTTTTGTATTTATGCATACCTCTTGTAAACTAATAACCGCGTTTTTAAAAGTTTATACAAATAAAACACCTTATTTTATTAACTCAATATGTGCTTCGTGGCTTTACCTACAAGCACAAATTTAAATCTTTTTAAAATTCCGTACAAAACGGCTGCAATCGCTCTTTGAGTGATATTTTTAAGCGAAATAATATCGCTCACATAATAAGCATTATTTCTGAGCGATATTTTTTTTCGCTTACAAATAATCATTAAAGGGCAATTTTTATTTTTCCACTTATAATGATTACGGTTCCTGAAATAAATATCTATTTAATTTAAAAACTCATCTATACCCCCTGCGATTTAAAAAACAACATACCATTTCCTTTCTATCCATTTTTTTTCCAAATTAAAAGTGTATAGTGTTTGGGTAACATTACGGTTTTGTATTGAAAATCATATGTTAATCCTCGCAATTCACAATCTATTTGATTCGCGCGTGTTCTTATCGACTAGTACAACAAATCCATCATTGTTGAGAGTGTTACTTATCATCGAAGGTGGGTACCCTAGGTGCAGCGTACTTCAAGCGCAGTTTATCGTAGATTTTGCGATCCTGACAAGTAGTTAAATACACAGTTAGGAAGGTTATGGGAGAATATACTTTGAGGCATTCTTACCTGTTCGCTAACTGAGGGGCGCAACTGCTGTAGAGCCTCTTTGAAATGCTGACTGCGTACGCACAGATCGTCTAGTTTTGATTCGCCATCGTTTAGAGCTTGACGCAGAGAGAACATAGAGGCCTGCTTAACTAGTCCTGCCAAATCTGCGCCAGTGTAACCCTCAGTTTGGGCAGCAAGCTCGTCGAGGCTTACATCCTCTGCCAGCACAGGACGCTTGCCGTTCTGCGGAAAAAAAGAAACGTATGTTAGTAAATTATATTATTTAAGAAACCAAAAAAGAAGTATATTTACCTTTGTGGTGGCCTTTAGGATCTCGGCACGTTCACCCTGCTCGGGGAAGCCAACGTACAGAATGGTGTCCAAGCGACCGGGACGCAGAATGGCCGGATCAATAATATCCGGCCTGTTGGTCGCCGCCAGGATGTAAACACCCTTGCGCTCCTCGACGCCATCCATTTCGGTCAGCAATTGGTTGACTATACGGGTGCCTGAATTATTTCCATCGCCCCCATCCGAGCGTTTGGGACACAAGGAGTCGAACTCGTCGAAGAAGATAACGCAGGGTGCCGAGTTACGGGCACGTTGGAAGCAGGCACGCACAGCGCGCTCGCTTTCGCCAACATACTGGGGAAAAAAAACATAGTTTAGCAAGAAAGGAAATATCAAAAATCTTAAGAAACTCACCATATTCATTAGCTCGGGGCCCTTGACGGATATAAAATTGATGCCAGCCTCATTGGCAATAGCCTTGGCCAGAAGAGTTTTGCCGCAACCTGGCGGACCGCAAAGCAGAACTCCCGAAGGAGCATTCAATCCCAGGCGTTCCAGCATCTCTGGATACTTAACAGGCGCCAGGACAGCCAGCTTAAGTTCTTCGCGAATTTTCTGGAGTGCCCCAATATCATCCCAGGTGGTGTCCGGCACAGTGATGAAGCCCTCGCGCTTGGCCGAAGGTTGCATTACCTTAATGGCGTCCACGAAATCGATGAGAGTGAGGCAGAAATTCGGATCAGCGAACTCCTCAGGAGGATTGTCCAGAAAATTGGTCAGCTCGGCCAGCGTGGGCTCGTAGTATTCGTCATTGGATGAGTCTACTTCCTGCTCAACGGTCTTTTCAGGCTCTTTAGCTGGCTCTTCGTCCACCTCCATGGCTGCCTCCTCTGGTTTCCCCGGTGATTTGCCATTGGTGGCTTTCTTGGGGGATTCAGTGCTGGCTGTGTCGCCCCCTGCTTGTACATTATCATCGGTTTTTTCCTTGTCACCATCCGCATCTTCTATCTCGGCTTCGGTTTCAGCCACTGCCTCTTTTTCAGCTACTTCTTCAGCTTCTTTTTCATCTTTTGGCTCAGCCTCAGTAGTTTCTTGTTCAGCCTTGTCGCCTGACTCCTCGACGGGCTCATCGTCGTCCAAAGTAACCGTGGTCATGTTCTTCTCGCTGGCAGCGTGCAGTTCACGGAACTTCTTCATGGACCTACGCTTCACCGCCACGGAAGCTGCGCGCCCGACCAAGGCCATCAGATCAGCGCCCACATAACCAGGTGTTAGTTCGGCAATCTTATCGTAGTTAAGCTTCGGATCAATGGTCAATCCCTCGCACTGAATGCGCAGGATCTCACGGCGCTCCTTGCGCGACGGTATGTGTATGGCGATCTCATGATCGAAGCGTCCAATGCGACGTAGGCCGGGATCCAGAACATCGGGACGCGTGGTGGCCCCAATGACCACCACGGACTGACCAAATTCGTTGATCTTTAGGTTATCTAAGCTGCTGATCAGCTGCGACACAATGCGACGCTCCATATCCTTCGAGGCCCACTGGCGGTTGCCACCGATGGCGTCGATTTCGTCGATGAAGAGCACGCAAGGCGAGTAGCTCATGGCCTGCTCGAAGACCTCGCGAATGCGCTCCTCGGACTCGCCGGAGATGCCACCAATCAGCTCGGTGGCCGGCACTTCCAGCAGTGGCATTTTAAGTTGCTAAGAGAATGGTTCTTCAATAAGACTACAAAGTAATTTTTATTCAATCAGACTTACCCCACTTATGGCACGGGCTAGGAAGGTTTTGCCACATCCTGGCGGACCGTGCAGCAAAAGACCCCTTGAGGGCAGCAGTCCCAAGTGAAAATAGAACTCCGGCGACTTGATATGGATGAGCATCTCGCACAGCTCCTTCAGAGTGGTATCCATGCCGCCAATGTCACGGAAACTCTCCGTGGGATGGTGCACTTCCAGCTCCTTTTTGAACTTCCGCTGGCGATCACGGTTTTGGTTTTGGTTTGGATGCAGCTGCTGATACAAATTGCGATGATCCTTGCGATCCTCGGAGTGATGACTTTTACCCCTATGACCGACACCTGGTTGAACTGAGAAGGAAAGACTTTAGTGATTTTCTATGGGGGATTTTCTAATGCGGGATATCACTTACATTTGTGTGCTGACTCGGGACCCGAGCCTGGAATAGTATTCAGTTTAACTGCTAATAGAGAATATTATTAGATATTATTTAAGAACCACCCTCATTTGTATGGAAACTCACTTTTCTTGGGGGCCGCCGTTGTCTCCGGCAGATCTTCCATTAGGCGTTTCAGGGCATTCGGCTGAACTGCCGGTGGAGCAGGAGCTGGGTGCCCATCTCCGTTGGTGGTGTTGGTATTGGAGTCATCGTCGTTGTCGTCCCCACTGGATATATCGATGGGTTCGCTGATGGGCTTGGCAGCCAGCGGCTTCCTTGGCTGGCTGTACAGGCTGTTCATCATGTTGTTCATCACACTGTTGGTGGGTGGCGCCTCGAATTCCTCGCTGATGCAATCGGTTTCGGAGCTGCTTAGCTTGTCCAAGTTGTAGCTATCGGAGATGATGGAAAATGCTGGAAATGGAAAATTTTCAATCTGACAGCTAGTTAAACCAAAATGGCAGCTTGACAACTAAGATAACTTGACAGACATTCCTGTTTTTTTTAGTATTTTCATATTCTTAGTATTATGCTAACTATAATTTTTCTACCAAATGATGACTATATGAACCCCATTCCGACTTTGCCCATTGTTTACCTTGATGTACCAACTGCCTGAAGGGTCCAAATTTTCGTCGCGAGTACTCCGGGTACTTTTGCATCAACTCCCTGGTCATCTGCTTCACATCCAGGTAGGTCTCACCGATGTGCTCCTCGAGGTACTGAAATCGGAAGACCAAACGCAATTAGCACACGATGCAGGCAGTCTGCGACCTAACCTTGTTTTTCCTGTGCCCAAATTCGCCGCCCTTACAAAGGGTTTTCAGATTTTTTTTTTTTCATGGGAATAGTGCCGGCTATCGGGCAGCTGCCATAGGGGCCCTATGCGTCCGGGAAAGTTGGGGACTTGGACCCACCTTCTTCACTCGAATCGTTATCAGATGGTCGTGGAGCAGAGGCTTGGCTTTCTTCATATTACTCGAGGATTAATTCTGACCAATATTCGCATGGGAACCAAAAAATCACTTTGCCGCTCGCTAAATGCAAACGACGCCGTCGCCTCGATATCTTCGCTTCGCAAAACGTTTCCACTCGTCCACATTTACCATTGTGATGCGAATTAATCGGGGTTGGTCACAGAAATCTCTTCCAACCAAAAGAAGAGAACGGTTTTCGGCTAGAAATAAGTTCTGAGACATTCCCTATTGATGCGCATAAGAAACCAACCTCCGTTCAGAGCTACGCGATTTTTGTGTCCCGGTAATTTAATTTCTTATTGTAAGTAAAATTATTAGTAAACTTACAAAAACTAATAATACACTCCATAATTTGAATTTAATGTAAGGGCTCGTATTAAACTTACCAAAAAAAGCGCCCAGAACCAATAACGCACTATAAAGAACACGACACAATTTTTTTTTTTATTTAAGTTACTTCCTTCCTTGAACTCCACAAAGTTTATGTCAAAGTTTTTGACAGCCGCCGTTTTCATGCCTCACAAAAAATTCCCAAAAAATGACCGTAAAATAGCACACGGATTTTACCAAATTGGCCGAAATTAGTATATTTTTTTAGGCCAAAATATGTTAGATTGAATACTAGGCCTAAATATTAAGGTTATTACATTGCTGAAATTGTTGAACGTTTATTGAACACCTGAACACCAATTCAAAACTAATTCGATAATTTATATTTATACGCAAGAATAACAATATAATTGCTTTATAATTAATGTTATTTTCAAAAAGTGATTAGAATTTCAGGTCTCGCTCAATTATTTAGTGTGAACACTGCTATTATTCCGCCAGTAACTGTGTATCGATAACCACCGTGCATGCCCACCTGCTATCGATTAGTCCGCGACAGCTCGAGTCAGCTGTTCGCCGTTGTTATCTCGCTCCCGCCCGCAGCAGAGCCGCTCACTCTGCTCTGCTCTCTCGCTCGCTCTCTCTGTGGTCGGAACAAACTGAGTAGTCGGAATTTTAAGTAACCAAACCAAATTAAATGTGCTTTTACATCAACAAACGCTGGACGCGCAATAAGTGAGGTGTTAATTATGCGCCGCAGCAGCAGCCAGCAGTGAGAGAATGATGCACTCCGCCTGATTTTTTGGCAGCACAACTGTTTGGATTGGCTAAAACGCAGCAAAATTAAGGGAAATAACAAAAAAAAAAAAAAAATCAGCCAGAAGAACGTCGAACGTCGAAAAAAGAAAGCGCGATGTGCGACGGTGAAATTGGCGATCCGGTGACTCAGCCACGTTCCGAGGGCGGTGGATTGCTGGACGAGCCGGCGGAGAAGCACCTGACCAATGGATCGCCCGAGCCGGAGCCCGTCGATCCCCTCCTGGTGGCCCAGTGGTCGCTGGAGGATGTGACCAGCTGGGCCAGCTACACAGAGCACTTCTCGCGCATCCTGCTCGACTGCCTGCGCCAGGAGGCCATCGACGGCGAAGTCCTGCTCTCGCTGACCGAGGAGGATGTCCGGGACCTGCGCTACCGCCTGGGCTACAAACTCACCTTCGGGGAGCTCAAAAAATTCTGGCTAGCCACGCTCAAACTGCAGCTGCTGGTGAAGAACAGCTCCGCGGAATCCGTGATGCTGGGCATCGAGAGTCATGGCGGGAACTCGGTGTACATGCCACTGTCCAATGCCGGCGGCGGTCCACCATCCTCCTCCACCTGCCCCTGTCCGCAGGTCGAGTGCCCCAGCTATGTGTCCGATTGCGACACCTATTTGCGCATGGGCGGACGCTATGTTCCGCCGGAATACTTCAAGACCGCCATGAGCTTAGGTGAGTAGACCAGACCACTAGACCATCAGACCCCCTTCAATTACGAAGGTCAATTGTCCATTGATTGCTTCTCCGGGCTTATCGGTCGTGTGCCAATTCTCGAGAGCTTTTCCCTATAACGCAATTCAGCCATAAACTTGCCCAGCGATAACCGAGAAATAAGAGGTTTCCCCATGGGAATGCAAGTTTACGCATATGGTGAATAATAAGTCGATAAAACATCTACTATTTCATTATTTATCAGATATATAAGCTGAAGACGTAATAAATTTCCGATTTCCTGTGCCCAGAAATGCATTTGTCACTCCTTAAATATAGTTTAAAAGCTTTTTGGTACATATATTGCATTATCAGACATTCGCCTTTCATTTCAGTATGATAATTTAAATTGTATAAGTTTGGTTTTGTCTAGGAATTAAATAAACACGTTCAATACGTCACTACTAGAATATTTAAGGTTACACAGCTATTCTAAGCAATTTTCCAGAAATAAACACTTCCCTGGTCACAAGTTGTCACCAAAATAAAGGTCTGAAAAGCCACTACACACCTATTACTATAGGTTTACCCCAAAGTTCAATGTCACGAATGCTATAAATGAACTGTACTTATTTTCTGGTTTCCATTTCCAGCCCAAATATATCATTTAATGACCCAAAAATAAAGGGCTTCCCTTAGAGTTGAAAGGCTATTTTCGTAAATACGTCACTCTAATATTAATGATAGTTTTCTGGACGCTAGTGACGCTTTGCTTTTATTTGTTTTGAGCACTTTGGAGGTTACGTGTGGAGACGCCGCTCGCATTTATTTGTACAAATGCTCATGGGGAGTCTCGCCTCTCATTCTGGCTTACTATTTTCATTATGTGTGCGGGATTGTGTGCTTTTTGTGTAACTTTGCGTGCATTAAATTTCAAATTCCGATTTGTTTATGATACCCTTCAAACGGCTGACTTACTTTTCGGGGAAATCGACAAAAGTTTAGCGACAAAAGAAAACATAAACACAGTTGTCAACCGCATTTCGATTTTTATCAAGTACTTATAAAAATACTCTTCTTTGTTTGATTGGAAATAATATAAATTAAAATTTAATATTTCACGTAACATTAATAGAAACCCGATTTTTAATCAGTATTTTGTTAAAATGTCCATATAATGCACTAAAGATTATCCTGTCATATTAAATTTCTCATTAGAAAATATATATTATTTATTAAAATGAGCAAAGTCCAGACCAAACAATGGACTTATCTAGGCTAATTTCCTATCAGAGCCATTATTTTTCGATAATGCATTTATCATTACAGGCTGTGTTTTGTTTTCTTTTGTCATGGCCTTTTCAATAGATAAGTCTACATTTTGGCAGATAAAGCCACGAACAGATAATTCTTGGTTTAGGCAGTGAATATTACACTTTTATCGCTTTTGAAATGGGGCCAAATTCATCAAGAATAAAAATAAAAATTTTTCTTTCCTTTGTTATAAAGGTTTGCGCTTCATATAGTGTATATATTATAATACAAACAAAGATGATTATCAGAAAATCGCAAAGTGTACTTTTGTACTTTTATTCCCCGATCTCTGATGCTTTAGTCATCATTGTGAATCAACTTATTTTTCAGTTCAGTTTTTAGTTTTGTATTGAAACTGATATGCCATAATATAAATCATTTTCTTAAAAGTCTGAAAAAATGTTCTTATATTTAAAGTATAAATAAAGCACATCAAATTGAATCTATCATTTGAATTTGTTCTAGTCTAGAACTTCTAGATTACAATAGCCAATTGCCGATTTCACAACTACTTCTTCCACGTGCTGAGTTAAGTTAGTCACAGTTTGGATCTGCCTAGTAACCATGCAATTTTCCCTTACCATCTGCAGGCTACTCGTTCGTGGTCACCTGGATAACTTCATTAACGATGGTTATCGTGCACGAACGAGTTCCGGATATGAAACGCTATCCGCCGCTGCCGGACATCTTCCTGGACAATGTGCCGCACATTCCATGGGCCTTCAACATGTGCGAGATCACCGGCTCGCTGCTCTTCACCATTTGGGTGGTCGTGCTGATCTTCCACAAGTACCGATTGGTCCTCCTGCGGCGTTTCTTCGCTCTGGCGGGCACTGTTTTCCTGCTGCGTTGCGTCACCATGCTGATCACCTCGCTGAGCGTTCCGGGAACGCATCTGCAGTGCAGCCAAAAGGATTTCGCCATCGATGATCCGAATGTGGACATGTTGGGTGCCCTGATCATACGGATGTCGCGGGCCTATCGCATCTGGAGCGGCCTGGGAATGTCCATTCAGGGCGTGCGAACCTGCGGCGATTACATGTTCAGTGGTCACACAGTGGCCCTCACCCTGCTCAACTTCTTTATCACAGAGTGTGAGTTTCGCTGGCTTTCGATCTTAGTAGCTATCTTATATATTAATCTTTAATCTATGAATCTTTAGATACGCCGCGGAATCTGTACTTCCTGCACACGCTCACCTGGCTGCTCAACATGTTCGGCATCTTCTTCATCCTGGCTGCCCATGAGCACTACTCCATCGATGTGTTTGTGGCCTTCTATATCACCTCGCGTCTGTTTCTGTATTACCATACGTTGGCGAATAATAGGGCAAGTATTAAGACAGATATTTGAAGAATTGAATAATATTTTATAATGACCCCTTCTTTCCACAGGCTCTCATGCAAAGCGACTCCAAGAGGACGCGTGTTTGGTTTCCCATGTTCAGCTACTTCGAGAGCAGCGTCGATGGAATGGTGCCCAATGAGTATGACACTCTAGGCTCCCTTATCGATGGGATTATTGAACAGATCTTCAAGGCCAAGGACCAATTGGCCTTAACCATAAAGCGCACCTGGCTGGATGCCCCGTCGAGCGATAGTTCAACGACTCACATCTTTGGCTCCGATTCGGCGGATACATGTTTACACAATGGAACATCATCGGCATCCCCTTTCTTTAGTCCTCACCAGTCGATGGTTGGGAGCCAGACACATTTGAATAATGCTCGATCAACGGCTGCCATGCCCGCGGCTGCTCCTCCATCGGCGGCAAAGAGTTTACAGGCTCAGAAGAAGACCTTTAGGGACGCAAGTGTTGACCCCTTCTCCAGGACGACGTTCGCCGCTGGCCTGGAACCCTCCAAGGAAAAGAAACAGCTCTGATTCCCACAGCCATTCGCTCTTCCACATCAGTTTATCGATGACGTTCTTCGAAAAGCAAACATGCAGAAATCAACCATACCGACTGATATTTTTATTTCGAAATTACCATTTTTCCCTTTTACAGCTCCTCCTCCTCTTCCTTTTCCCCCTCGTATTATTGTATGCATTCTACCATTCGTAGTGCCTTCCGGGTCGTAGTTTCCCCCACCTAGAACAATGTTGTGTCCCCAGATCTTTTCCTTAGTTTACATGTGGAATTTGAATATCGAAGTTTTCTTAGCCGGGAGACGCTCCACGTCGGCTTCTAATTGATAATGATAAGATAACCCTCCTCATTCCGTTCAATTGAGTTTTGAACTAAATGTATTTATTATTGAAGACTTTTAATGCATTATTATGTAATTGTAAGCATGTGAAACAAGCGTATTTTTAGTTAATTAGTGATAAGTTTGGAAAGTTTCTGTTGAACGCACAAAAATTAATAAATCAAATGAATATTCTCAGAGTCTGGAGAAACCACTGTGAAGATTATTATTTGTCATTCATAAATGGAAAGTTTTGCAACGTGAAATTAATTTATTTTAATCGGGCATCGTAGTTTTATTTTTTTAGCCTGTCTCCGAATCTGAAAAAAATAGCCCCAGGCTTTGTTTAACCGAATGTAAACAGTAGATGAAATTTAAAAATGTTTAAAAGCTTACTTTACCATCAGCTTACTTTTAGAGCAACCTGAACCAATAATAACGCTTTATTGAGAAATTTGGGGTGGGTTTAAATTATAATGGAGGTTACAAACAGATGAAATTTAAAGATCTTGTACAAACAGAATTAAAAGCTTTAAAAAGAAAAGACCAGCTGGCTTCTACAATTCATCATTTTATTTTTGTTTGTTTTAATATAAAAATGGCATTTCTTTACTAATTTTAAGTTTAAATTACTAATATAAAGTATGTATGATTGCGGTAATTGAAAAATATATATATATCATATATTCTTGTATATATTCTTCAAGGTGTGAAAAAAATATTTGTAATGAACATGAAACTTCTTCTGTCAAGCGTATATTATAAGAAAGCGTTCAATTTGACTTATTGAATATATTTTTTTGTGTTTTTTTGTTTTCCGGTATTCATTTTCGTAGGCTGCAAAGCAATTCGAAACATTTCAGTTGTTTTTTTTTGTGTTTACATTACTTTGCAATAATTCGCATCAAAGGAAGAAACAATTAACAAACGATACTCGAGAAAATAGACAAAGTCAAGCGTTCGTTTCTCGGCTTAGTACAACTAATATGCAAAAATAAACTATGAAAGGTGTTCTTCATGAGTAGTGAGTTATCTTTGTTGATTTAATGTTGGCTCCCTTCGCTGGGGGCCTTCCGCTCATAAATAACTATTTCAAAAAACAATATAGTTTGATACGTTTTACATCATACCTTATTTGCTACAAGTACCTAACATTATATTTACCAATTCTGTCGGTCTGTTATGTACGAAGCTACGTTTGAGGTTTCATTGAATCGTTCTCTCTACGGATGCACCATATATGTCTGCAGTGGCTGTGTGCTTATAGTTCTTCATATCAGATATTTGTCATTTATTTAGAATTTTCATTATGTGAAAAACATAAATTTAACAAGATTTGTTGGTTTCTTTCTTTTGTTGTTGCTGCTTGCTGTTAAATAATTCATCCCTTTGCTGCTAACCGATACAATATATATGTAAATCTAGGCATAAACTATAACTGCTTTCTTCGCGTGTGTATTTCAAAATATATTAAACACGATGTATGTTATAGTTTGTTTTTTTTGTTTGTTTTTTAGGTTTTTTGTTGGTTTGTTTTGCGTTTGCTTTAGTTTCCTTATTTGTTGTTTGTTTTAGTTTTAAATGAGGGCTGTTGTTGTCGCGGTAGATCTACCGTCACATAAGATCGTAGTGCAATTATTAATTTCTTTTCTGTGAGGCTCGAGGTCCTGCACAGCCTTACGACAGGTCTGAAAGGATACAATATAGTTAGTAAATATCTCACTGAGGACGTAAATCTAAACTCACAGCTAGGCGCTGCCTCGTAGCGACGCTGTATCTGATCGTATGTGAACTTGACGAAGGCATCGTACTGCTCGGCCAGCTTGGTGGTCAGCACGGACTCGTAGCGCTCCCTCAGCTGATTCTCCCGCTCCTTGATCATGCTCTCGCAGATGAGCTGCACCTGCTTGAAGGTGAACAGGGCCTTTTCGCCGTGGCGCATGATGTCCGGTGGGCTGTCCGGGCGGCGCGGGCTCTCCGGTCCCATCTCCGATCCGCTCGACTCCGAGTCCTGCATGCGTTCCAGGGCCGACGAGGTGATCGGCAGCTGTTTGCGCTTGTGCAGTCTCTTGATCTCGTTGCACAAGCTCTCGGCCATTTTGTCTGGAATTTTATGAAAAGGTAAGGTGTTTTAGAATACACATGAACAAAAGGTGTGAACATTTTTAGGGGTGCAAGATGATTACAATGCCTGAACCAATTTGTGAACAACTCGTAGATCTCATATTACAGAAAATTCTGATAATTCAGTAGTACAAATTTTTAATTTTTGTAAAACAATAAATACTTTGAAAATTTCTTAATAGACCTAATATTCATATTTAATTCATAGACCTAATATTACAGAAAATTCGAAAAATTCAGCCTTACAATAATCATTAAGAATAACATTTAAAAAGGTGATACATTTCCCCATTACTTTGAAAAATCTTAATAGACCTAATATTCAAATTCAATTCATAGACCTAATAATACAGAAAATTCGAATAATTCAGACTTACAATAATCATTAACAATAACTTTAAAAAAGTTAATAAATACTAAGCATTGTACTAGTATTACTTTGAAAATGTCTTAAAAATCTTAAACTTAGGATAATTTAAAAAAATTCTTAAGACCATAAATTAAATGCCTATCATGTTAAAAACCTACTCAATAATAACCGAATTATTCTACATATAATGGCTTTAAATTATCCACAGCATCAAGATTATATGAAGGACCCATCCCTTATCGCAAAATCTCTCACCTGGCGACATCTTGGCCAGCGACGCCTCGCTGAACGGACTGGGCTCGGTGTTGTCCTTGGCGAATCGGTTGGTGGGCGTGTGGGGCAGTCCCGCCGAGGTGCTGGGACCGTCGCGGGACGGAGACGCTGGCCCGGCGTTGCTCCCGGCCTGGCCGAACGGATTGCAGCGCCGGCGCTTGGGAGGACGCTGGTTCATCGACTCCCAGTCCAGGGCGCGTTTCAGGGTTGCACAGGCCATCGCTATGATTGAGGTTCTACTTCTCGGTGCTCTTCGGATGGATAGATGGCTCGCCCGATTGTGGCTAGCTGCTGATGATTATTGCCTCGACTTCGGATGACGGATGCTGCAGATGGATGATGATCGAGCGTCGGCTGTTGTGGACAAACAAACAATGAATGAGTAAGGTAAAGTGAAGCGAACACCTTGCTGCCGGATAAAACACCACAAACTGGTTTCAAGGAAAAACAGGATTCACAGGCGTGCACTCACGCACACGCAGCCAATAAAAGAAAATGGTGCAGCGATTTATGGCGATGCCAGTGCTGGCAATTTGGCCTTTATCGCTTTGAGACATAAGTAGCTGGGAAAATGGACGTCTCCTTATCTTATCGCTTCTAGGGGCGGTGATTTTCGAAATAACTTAGAGGGGCAAGATAACTAGCAGATGCTTTAAGGGTACAAATACAGGGCAATCTTTTAAAAGGTTAATATGGCAGAAATGTAAGGACCAATTTATCAACAAACTTTAATTTGTAATGCTGATAAACCTGCATAAATTACTTTTTAAAATGTTTTAAAAATGCTATTAAAGCTATAATTACGGCCAGCCAATCTCTTTTCCAAGAAAACGATTTATAAAATTAAAAAGTCAGTAAAAAGCTTTTAGAAGCCAAGTTCGCTTAACATTAATGACTTTGATGACGTTTAGTTCGGGACAGGGCGAAAGAGAAGTGAAAAATATTCAAGACAGCAAAAAAAATAGAGTGACTGTTTGTAAAATCCAGTATTGGTAAAGAAAAAAAATTTAATTAATTTATAATTAGGCAATTTTTTTAATACAAAAAAAAAAACTATTAAGTTCAAATCTTTAGCTATTTTTGGGCTCCTAGCTTTTTGTCGGCTAGCACCGACAACTCCGATGCCCTGCAAGCAGCTGCTCTCGCCGCAGGAAAAGGGCGATACCGAATCGGAATTCCGAATGACCAGCAACTCCGAACGGAGGGAGAGAAACGGGCAAAGAAAACGAAGAAGCGAAGTGGCGCAGCACAATTAAAGGACGGCCGACAATAAAAACCACCACGACAAAGGCAACTACAGTAAATGCATAGCAATGCAAGACAAGACGGGGGAAAAAGGAGCTGGGGAAAGTAAGCCAATGGCAGAACAACCACCGCAAAAAAGGAAACTACGCAGGATAAGGATAATAAGCGTGTTTTTCTCTCCTCTTTCTCTTCTTCTTCGCTGCAGCGGCAGCTGTACCAGCTGTTTTCCGCACCAACACACGCGCACTTCCCCGTCGATTAACCTCAACACGTGTGTGTGTGTGCGAGTTTGCTGCCCTCTTTCTAACAATAATTTATACTTTTTTTTAAACCATACTTATTACGCTTTTGTGTTTTACGTTTTACCCTTTTACGTGACAAATACCAGAGATTAGTTTAAAAAAACGAAACCGAAATGACAGCAGCCAAGCGATCACACTAGTTGTCTCGCTCTGGCCTGCAGACACACACACACACAGAGACACGCACACGCACACCGTTGTGAGTTGGAATGTTGATTTCATGAAATTTTAAAAATGGTCGAATCGCATATCATTATCAGCTTTCCAGAGGAAAAACGCTGAACACACTTTTCACACCATCGCACTTACGTTAATGGGACTTTCGGGCCTTTTCGACTCTCTTTTCGCTTTCTGCACCACTTCACACGCGCTTTATTTACTTTTTTATTGTGCCACTACTCCGCTGGCACATACGCACGCACATTCACGTCCCAACTTCAGTTTAGGTGGTTAATCTATATTTTCGGGTAGAAATTAGTATTGCTATCGCTAGCTGGTTGATTGAGCAGTATTCCAAAGGCCACTGAAATGCACTGTCGATAGGTGTTTGTCGTCTGCGACTCGCTTCTGTTTAATTTACAATTTTTCGTCTCGGTTCTTGGCAAAAATGGACGATTTCGTGCGTGACGGGTGAACAGTGTGACCGCAGTGCGACCGTTGCAATTGACCACGATGCTCGCGGAAGAATACCAAAAAATACTTTTTATTGTACTGGAAATAAAGTTGGGGTATTCTGTCAAACGGATGAATTTTCGGGTTCTTTTATTTGTTGTCAAATGTTCCATACAAATAAAATTTTAAAAAATGTATTATTCATTAATATTATTATTTCACAATATTTACTTTTAAATTTATATATATAAATTGTAGTTCTGAGAATACTTTGTAATGGTATATTTGTAGTATTTTTAAAAAAGTATATTTTGCCATACCGGATAGTATTCTAGGGCCGTCAGTTAGCGGGCACACTATTCGATTCAACTAAAGTAGGAAATAATTTCCACTCCTGATAAATATCAAATAATTTTGCACTTTTATAAGCGTCGCCAGCTCACTTTTCTATCCGCGTCTTCGCAGTTTTTACAGCCAATAAATCGAACGACCTTGCCCAGTGCGTGTGCCTTCGTCACCAGTGAAAACATTACGTAGGGGTAACGGAAGAAAGCAGGAAAAGAAAAGATCTAAAAATATTTTTAATCGCCGTGAAAGTAGCCAGCGGATTTTAGTCGCAAAATATCATTTAATTAGAGCTCCGAGGACATAAATAACTGCGAAAATGGTCTTGAAAGTCTACGTCAGCGGCATGTCCGGCAACAAGGAGGTGAGTTTGTGGGCGTGGCGGGTTTCAAACCGAAGATAGTGTCATGTTATTGGAATGTTTGGCCCTGTTATTAGCAGCAAACAGAGAAGGAAAAAATAAAAGAACAAAACCAAAGTGGTGACGAATGCATTGCAAATTCTATTTCTTCTGCTGCGTTTCTGCCTGTCTGTATGTCTGTGCGTCTGTTGGCGATGATGTAGTGTGTGGTATGTAAGTTTGTGTGTACAGTCAAAGAAAAACAAGTGGGTATTTTCGTGAGTGCCTGTGTGCGACTCTTGGTGGTGGCAAGAAGCAGCACAAACATACATTTCATTGCCCATATAAGCTTATTCCACTGTGAACTGTAAATTGTTCATGGAAGAGAGAGATTTCCATTGATCGCAGTTGCGTGGGTTGCGTATGTGTGTGTGTGTTTGCATGCGTGAGTGTGATTCACTCACCTTTTTCCCCTCCCCTTCCCTCTCTTTTGCCTCCTTTGTTCAATTAGCAAAGTCTCTCCTCTCCCAATAAGAACAAAAACATAACGGTCATTGTGCGGGTCACAATGCTTTTGTTTTTGTGCTGACAACACTCTTAAAAAAAAGAGTGAAGGAAATCAAAGGAAGAGACAGCTCCTTATCGCAAGTTAATTACCAGAGTGCAACAAACCATTTTAATGGGGGGCTTTATCATATCGCTGTTCTTGGGTTGTTTGTATGTCTTCATGGTGTGGGAGTGGGCTTTGCGTGTGCTTGTGAGCGAGCGTTTGGGCTTGCCGGTAACATTTTACTACCGATAAGTCATCGCTGTAATTAACAGTGTTGGCCAACAGCTTTAAAAGTGGTTACACTGAACATAATTTTGTTTAAATTTGTTTACAAATATTAGTAATTAATTAAAAAGCTTAGTTCCTGAGTTTCAATTTTTATTATGTTTTCACTAAAATTTTGTTTTAAATATTTGGTTTTTTTTATTTCAATATTATATTTATAAATTATAATATTTACAATAAATTCAAGTTACAGACATATATTTTTTTCAAGATTGAAAATAATGATCTTTTAGCCGGTAAAAGGATCAAAATGAGTCAGCTTTACCTGCTGATTTGTATAAATAAATAGGTTTCTTAAGGTTTAGAAACCATGGGTTCTATTTTTTACTAAATGTTAAATTTAACCAACTTGCTTAAAAGTTATTTTTATATTTATTACTCAGTACCTATATTTTAACCGCACAATCACTAATTTTTTGCAGGTCAAGAAGCGCCAGCAGCGCGTTCTGATGATCCTGGACAGCAAGAACATCAAGTACGACACGGTGGACATCACGGAGCCCGGCAAGGAATCCGAGAAGGAGCTGATGCAGAACAAATCGACGAGCAGCGGCGGAACGGTCAGCGACCCAGAGCCCCGCCATCCGCTTCCTCCCCAGCTCTTCAACGACGAGGAGTACTGCGGCGACTACGACGCCTTCGACATGGCCAACGAGATCGACACACTGGAGGTGTTCCTCAAACTGGTCTCCGCCGATACCACGGCGGTTAGTACCGCCCAAATCGAACTGAAGCAGGAGAACGGCGAGGCCAAGAAGGAGGAGGCCGAGGCGGAGGAGAAGAAACCAGAGGAGGAGGAGAAGAAGCCAGAGGGCGGCGATGGCGATGCCAAGGACGAGGCTGCGGAGAAGGCCGAGGTTTGAGCTTGAGCTATTTTCACGTATTTTCCGTTAACTGTTACGACGCAACAAACGATCGATGTCAGCACTCATCTGGCAGCAAAGCAATAGAATTAACAGCAACATCTTGGAACTAAAGGCCCAAAGTTAACAGCAGCTATAACCCGTAATGTTATCTAACAGCACAGACACTACCAACTCTCTATTTCTATATTTATAACCCTTGCCTTGCCTCCGATTTCTACGCCTATAAGGTTCGGGGGAATTGGAATTATTTGTTGGGTTTTTTCCCTCTTTCGATTATTTTTATAGGAAAGAATTTTTTAACCTTGAGATTTCTTATATTTTAATGAAAATTTATAACCTAAGACTAAAAGAAATTTTATCATTTTATCAGTGCCAATTTCCCCAACTTTTATATGTCTAGAAATTGGAAGCCCATTTTCTTATCGTGTTTAACTTTTTAACGAATTCATCATGACGACTGCGGTTCTTAAGCTAAGATTACGAGCGTATTTAAGCGAGGGCGATCGATTGTGTTAACCCCCGGAGGAAAAGACAATTTTAATCAAAATATTTATATTCATTAACTTACATCCAACACCTTTGTATGTACCATTTATACACACCTGTAAGGACTCTGAAAACACGCCAGCACTTAAGCCTAAGTTGGATTAGTGTAGAGAGCTGAATATTTTTAATGCAGCCGTTATGTTAATGCTAAAACATAAAAATGCGCTGCCCCTGTAATAAAAGGAAATATATTTGTATTAACTAAAAAATCATAACCAACAGCAAGCTTGTTTTTCTAACACTAGATAACACACTTAAACTTTAACACCACAGCATTAACTCAACAGCAAAGCTAACGAAAAGAAATGCACACTAAACAGCAAAGAAAAATTTTTAATGAGGTTTTAAAAAGTCGGTCCTTAGGTGCAATGAACATGTTCTGGAAAAACAGTATCAAGAAATCGCAAATTTATATCTTGATCATCGATTTTCTTGAGCATTTTTGTCGTCCTAACACTGAACTTTATAAAACTTTTCTGTGATCTTCATACATTACTAATGATTGCGTGATTCTTCAAAGAACGAAGACGAGGACGGCGAGGACAAAAAGAAAACAGAGGCCGAAGGTGAAGATGGATCCGAAAATACTGAAGAAAAGGTAATAGATCGATAGATAGTGCATGAAAAATCCATAACACTAGAGTTGTAGAGCTTGTAGAAGCTAAAAATGCATGATTTTGCACTACAGTAGCCCAGCAAATGTAGAGATCCCATTGATCTGATCTTGTATACACAATTTCCAACTTCCTTACCCAAAAAACACATCAACAACCCACAAACATTCGCACGACCCACAATCCTACCACCCATAAAGACTGAAACCGCAGAGGGAGATGATACCAAAGAGGAAGTTGATACAGATAAACCGGAGGATGTTGATGCAGATGAATCCAAGGAAGATAATACAGATGAATCCAAGGAAGATAGTACTGCAGCAAAAACCGAGGGAGATGATACCAAAGATAAAACCGAAGGTGATGAGGGGGATGATACCAAAGATAAACCCGAAGAAGATGATGCAGAAAAATCAGAGGAAGTTGATACCAAAGAAAAAACCGAAGGTGATGAAGATGATACCAAAGATAAACCCGAGGAAGATGATACCAAAGATAAACCCGAGGAAGATGATTCCAAAGATAAGCCCGAGGAAGATGATACAGAAAAATCCGAGGAAGATGATAACAAAGACAAAACGGAAGGTGATAAGGGAGATGATACCAAAGATGAAACCGAAGAAGTTAGTACTGAAAAATCAGATGAAGAAGAGACTAAAGATAAATCCGAAGATGATGCCGAAGATAATACCGAGGATAAACCCGAGGGAGATGGTGAAGTAGTTGATGATACCAATAAGGAAGTTGATACGGATAAGCCGGAGGAAGCTGATACAGAAAAATCCAAGGAAGATGATTCAAAAGTAGAAACCGATGATAAAGAAGGTGAAGATGATACCGAAGATAAACCCGATGAAGTTAAAACAGAAGATTCTCTGGGAGATAAGGTCGAAGAAGAAACTGAAGAGAAATCAGAGGAAGAAAGTACCAAAGAAACTACCGAAGAAGAGCAGAAAGAATCCACCGAGGCAGAGGCCCCTGAAGAAACGGCGGCAGAGGACACGCCCGAAAATGAAGAAAGTAAACCGGCTGAGGAGAATTCTTCTTCAGAAGAAAGCGAAGAGGAATAACCGCTGACTACCAAAATCGATTAAACGACCTGCACACACTGACATCATAAACACCAATGCACAAACACACACTCGCACATAAAAACGCACATTTAGCCAAATAATACCGAAAAAGTTTTGTAAATAGAAACAAGAACCCACTAATAACGAATTTGGTGACGGGTAACGAAACCTAGATTAAGGCTTTATGTGACTTTAATTTATAATTTTCCCCCTTTTCACTCAATAAATTACGCGCTCCTGTCTACAACAACAACAAAAGAAGTTAACAGCGACAACAACAGCAGCGGCGGTTAAGGCCTCCACTTCAGATTCCCAATCGGAACTCTTATTGGACAGCGAGCGGGCAGCGGCTGCGCAGTAGACGTCGACGTCAACGCAGGACGATGGCTTTATTCATTTAATTAAAATCTATTACTTTTAAAAATTATTCGGGCTTGTTACAAGTTTCAGTCTTTTTTAGTGTTTTTTTTTTTAATTTTTAAAAGTTTAGGTTTTATTTAATCGAAATTATTTAAAATTAAATCCGTTTAATTGTCTTAGCAATGAAAACAAAAAACAAAAATGTTTACTTTATTATAAATTTAATTTTCGCTTGGACTGAAAACTTAAAATAGTTTCAAAACTAAAAACAATTACATTTGATAAAAGGTTTACAATAATTGAAGAAAACGATGAACTAAAAAATCGGTGAAAAACATCTATAACAAATTACATAATACTTGTTAGATAAAATAAATAACTTTAAATGATTTAAATTAAAGTTATTGTGATGCTACTTATAAAATTATAATATAATTTAATGGATGTGACGTTAAAATTCTATAAATTCAAGTTGATTTATCATTGAAATTCGTGAAAACCCTAACAAGCCCGAATACTTTTTTGACCAAACAACAAAAGAGTAGTAATATCAATAGACGTTTGTATTTACGTGTCTCACTTTTAGTTCTTGTATCCAAATAATTAAATATACAGTACATTATAATTATGTTTAGTACAGTACACGGTAAAATGAAGTTATAGTTATTTACGCACTAGTTCGGGGTCTTTTCCATTACAAAACTAGTAAAAATGCGAAGGAAGGGTCGCATTGGTTGATGGGCCTCCTCCGCCACGCGAAACTCATTTACTAAAAGGAAAACAAAGAGGCTTTTCTTCCGTCCCATAGAAATAGAGAGGAGGTTGAGGTTGATTGGGGGTTCGGGAGGGACGTCCATCGGTCTGTCCATCTAGAATCTAGATCTAGTCGCTGTCCTCCTCGTCGGACGTGTCTGTGGTGTAGTCGCTCAGGTTCTCCTGCTGGTCGTTGTGCTCCGGCTCCGATTCGCTCAGGTCCCACTGGGGATGGTCTGTCGGTGGTGCGGGCGCCTTCTGCACGTCCAGTTTCAGCTCCTGCTGCTGGTCCATGCCCAAATAGGAGTCTGAAAGTTCAGTGTAATTAGTAATTTTCTCACTAATACGCCTTAAGCCATTTGAATTAGAGCCCTGCATGAATGGATTCAATGAATTATTTTGAATTTTTTGTTTTATATGAATTAATTAGAACTTTGAGTTTAATAGAATTGAATGAATGAGTGGCATGAATTCCGAAAACGGCTATTTCTTTTGAAGAAGAATGGGCCATAATTTTGTGATTAAATCTGCATGAATTTTATTTTCTAAGCAGTTAGCATTGATTCGTTAAAAATTTTTAAAAAATTTATAAAAATTATTCATTTATTCATTCAATTCGAAATGAATTAGAAAAACATTCAATGAATTAAATAAATCAGAAATTTCATGGCATACTTATGATAAAGCAAAAATTGAGTGTTTCACGCAGGGCTCTAATTTAAATCAAAGAAACTCACCCGATCTCAGGCACACGGTGAACGTGTAGACACCGGGCCAGCGTGGCGCGGTGAACTTGAGCTGGATCTCCTCCTTCTCGACCAGATTGGTCACGTGATAGGGCGCCGTCAGCAGGGTGCGCGACTTGCGGTCGCAGATGTAGGTCCACCAGTACTCCTGCTTCTCCTCGGGGAAGTAGGGGCAGTGGACGGTGTGCGACAGCCGGGACTTGCCCTCGAGGCGCTCCCGCTTGTTAAGCTTAGCCTGCAGTCGCTCCCACTCCTCGTCATCGTCGTCGTCCAGCGAGGAGTTGTTCTTGCCCTTCTCCTCGTCCTCGCTGCCACTGCCCACAGCCGATTCCACGTCGCTGCCCTCGGCATTTCCGCCCTCCGATTCGGCATCCGAGTTGCCCGCCGCCGCAGCTTGATCTTCGGTAGCAGTCGTGGTCGTGGTCGTAGCCACCTTAGCCGGCACCTTCTTCTGATTGTTCTTCTGATTCGCGGCTGGTTTCTTGCCACCCTTTCCCTTGCCTCCCTTGCGTGGTTTTGCCCAGGCGGAGGCCTTCTTCGCAGGCAAAGCAGCAGCGGCAGCTTCATCATCGTCACCGGCAGCCTCTTCGGTGGCCTGCTCATCCTTGATGCCCTGCTTTTCGGGCACCTTGGTGTCCCCGAACAGTGACTTCATATCCTTGCGCTCCAGCGTTACGGTGACCGTAACTATGGCCCCGGCGGTCACCACATTGGTGTTCTCATCGTCGATAACCTCGCAGCGAATGGAGAAGTCGATCAGGGGCATCTTGCCCAGCACTTTCATGGTGTTCTCGTACTCAAAGTCCGACAAATTCTTCAGCAGCTGGCGGCTCTCCTCCGGCTTAAGCTGGGCGAATTGCTGCAGGTTCTTGACGTGCCGCTTCTTGTTCATGAAGTACAGATGGTCCTCGGTGAGGTGCGGTAGCTGCAGCAGCGGCGACTTGAACTCCCACAGTCCTTGGATAATCATCGGCGACATCTTCATGCAGTTCTCGATCGTTTCGATGCTGGGCAGGCGGGGCACACGTCGTGCATAGGCCATCATGACCAGCTGATGGACGCAGGAGATCATCTCTTGAACGAGATAGGGGCACTTCTTCACCACAAACTGGCGGTCACGCTCCAGGGTCTCCGGATTGAGGGGCATGCGACTGAGATGGGCATGCAGGATGGCGCGGGCCTTGATGGAGTACATGCGGCACAGCGGATGCTCCTTGCACTTCTCATTCAGGTTGGGTAGCTGCCGAATGAGCTGTAGGGGAAAAAGGGTTAATTAGTTAGTAATTTTTCGGGGGGAAAGATCAGAGAATCCACTTACCGCCGGCACCTCATCGTTGTCCGACTGCCGCTCCTGCACTTGCGAGTTGTGTCGCTTGTCAAACTCCAAACTGGCCGCCAGCACCATAAGTGCCCGCTTGAGCAGCATGTGCGGCGTCTTGTGGATGAAATAGAAGTACATCTGGGTGGTGTCCAGCAGCACCTTGTCGCCGCTGAAGCGAATGGATCGATACCACCAAACGCCCACCGCCGAGGGCATGGCCACCATGAAGACCAGGCCATACAGACCCAGAACCCAAACGCTGTTCTCCTTCTCCACGATCCACGAGGGCAGAGCGATGCCAAAGGACATGGCACCCGGTCCATCGGGATTTCCGTACTTTTCGTAGTTCTCCTTGGCCACATCGTCGGTCAGCGCCTGATAGGCCTTGCTCAGCATCATGAAGGACTTCTCGTCACCCGTCTCCTTGTCCGGATGCAGAACCTTGGAGAGCCGGTAGTAGGCCTTCTTAATCTCCGCCTGCGACGAGGTGGGCGGCACATTCAGGATCTCGAAGGGATCGAAGCTGGCCATCTCGTAGTCGAACTGCGAGACGCGGTACGTGAGAAAGAGCAGCAGGGCCCAACCCAGTACGATGGTCAGCTTGATGGTCCATGATGTGAGAGCCCTGTACGGCTCGGCATTGGCCAGAATGGTCTTCTTTTTGAGGCAGTCCGGGCACTGGCATTCTTCCTTTAGCTTGCCATTATCTGCAGGTATACGAAAATTTTATTAATAAAAGGGTGCTTTGGAATTTCTGATATTATTTAAGGATTATGTAGAATATAAAATAAATTGTTATTAAATTGTTGAAGGTATCTTGTAACTTCCTGAACCAAAAGAACATTAAATTCTGTTAGGGTTTAAATTAATATCAATTTAGTTTTAAAATCACTTACATCTGTAGGTTATAAGTATAACACCTTTTTTTCATTAAGTCCCTAATATTTTTTAATAATTATTTTTGTGATAGTTCTTAGGGATATTCCCCTGGCGTGCACAATATGCTCTCTATAAAATTTGGAACCGCCTTTAAGGGAAGTACAAGATCGATTATGTAGAATTTAAGAAATTGTTAGAGCAGAAGTCTTGGTTTGATTTGTTCCTGAACCCAAATACCATTAAATTATGTTAAGGTTTAAATTTATATAAATTTAGTTTTAAAATCACTATCTGTAGGTTATAAAATCTTTTTTTTAATTAAACCTCCAAAATTCTTTAAAATATTATTTTAGAGATATTTCTACGGGATTTTACCCTGACGTGTACCATATACTCTCTAAACATTTTTAAAACGACTTCAAGCGAAAAACAAACTCCGCATAACATTAAAGATCAAGAGATTATTATTAACCTACTAAATATTCATTTACCGGGAATGCCAGCATTACAGAAATGAAAATCTCGGGAGAGAGAAAATCTGAGAGCGATGCAGATTACTCAGTACGTGTGTTTGTGCAAAGTACACACGTTTACAATCGCTTCAAGATCGCGGACAAGTCAAAGGTAACTTGTTTTCGATCACGACCAGCGATCACGGTGATTGACGCGTTATCGCGACTTTTGCGGCGCATGAACGCGCGTGGAGTTTACATACAAAGATGTAGAGTGCGCTGTCCCAATTGGGAAATGAAGAGAGCTCGACTGGCGACTTGCGGTAATCGCAGCTTTCACCCATACGAAGACGCTGAGCTGACGTTGTTAGAATAACTTATTGGAACGTGTCCATTTGCGGCGGAAAGAGAGAGTGCGAGGGAGAGGGGTAATCTCACATGCAAGTCTATGTCTTACTGGCACTCTCACACACACCCACGCACAGCTGCAGGTGGAATACAAAAAAAAAAAAAAAAGAGCGGAGAGAGTGCGATTAAAATCGGCTGGGCAGCGGCACTAACCTTCTTTCTTTTTACGTGGCCAATAGTAAATGGTGGTCGGTATCAATATTAGCGCCAAGAACGATAACACAAAGTAGTAGAATGTTCCGCCGCTCTCATCGTACTGGAACTTTTGACCCGCCATCTCCGAAGGCGACTATATATATATCTTGTATTTTGTCTGGCTCTGCCACTGGCCTTTCCTTTCCGCTTTCCCTTGCACTTTTCCTCTGGCAGCTCCAGCTGATGTTGCTGTCGCAGTGGAGTTATCGCTTCAAACGCTGCTCCCCGTGGATTTTCGATCACCGGGCGGCGAACTGCGGGGGCGGGCGGTCGCAGGGGGCGGGAGCTGTTGCTGCTGCGAGACTTCGCGAGATTTGCACGCTGCGAATTTAAAAAACTCTGTATTTACACCGACGCATGAGACTGACACGTAGGGTTGTTTGGCTCGTGCTGGAACCGATAGGCGGAACTGGAAGCGGAGCCGGTTCGATTGCACGGCTATCGATTGGCAGGTGGCCACTTTTAATAATTAGGATTGCCAGGTTTCGTAAATTTGCAAAATTTATCAGATTTTCAATTGAATGTTTTACAAAATAATACAACTTTTTACTTGATATTTATAGATTACTAAAAATCTGCAATAAAGGGTGTCTACATACATTTTAGCAGCAACTGTTAAAGCTAGAAAAGTGCTAGTGAAATCACTTTATTAAATTATTGGCACAATCTGGCAGCACTACGAATTCGCAAGTAGTTTTGATGGCTTGCGGCAGGTGATTTCACCTGTCTTTTCTATAAAAGCTGAATAGACGATCCTCTAAAACCTTTTTACCAACCTCGAAAAAACTAAACTAAAGAGGAAAATATGCGGAAAGCAGGAAAATCACTTAAGTATATTTTACCAGCGGGAAAGTAAGACCAGTTGTGGGCTGGCCCAATATGCCTGTTTTCTCTGGCTTGGCGTTTTGGTATTTCAAGTGCGATCGTGGTATTCGTAAGCGGAAGACGGAATGTGCGCATATAACTTGGTGATTACCCGGTAAAAACTTCATAAGCTGTGCAACTGCGGCAACGAGGAGTTCAAACTTAGGAGCTGAAGAATGGCAGAGGCTGGAGAAAACCGTGGTACCAATCGCACCGCCCGCGAAGTGCAGCAAAACTTCGCCGAGTCCCTGGGTTACGCCGAAGAGATAATCTGGGATTTGTAAGTACTGCGCAATTGGCTTTTCGGTTCCCAAAACATTTACAATTTCAGGTTGTCCCATGAGCAAGCCCACGTTCTAAAGAGAAAACTAAACGAACTGATTCGTGATCCTCCAGGACTTACAGAGGAAGAATTGGCCGCTAAGAGCATTGCTGAAATCGAGAAAGAGAGAAAAGCCCTATCGAAACTCACCGCGGAAAATGAGAAGGCCCGTCAGATAATTTTCGATGCCGTTTGGGAGCAGCGTAAGCAGGGGATCCGGATTGGGTAGTATATATTATATATCGGTTGCGTAAGACCTTTTTTTCCTATCCAGGTAAATACACCAATCGTCAATCGCTAACTGCCATCATCTACGTAATGGTGGTGACTGACGAAAAGGACGTCAATCGCGCCGAGGACTCCAGGACCTTCTCCTGCCATCCTGTTTTCCGGGCCCGCCGATGCGTCAGTGAGTATGGATAGCCCTGGATTATCTTGATTTAAATCTGAAAAAGTTTAAACTTTGTTAAATATTATTATTCCAAGTTCCAAAGGACTGAAACAATCTAAATCATCAACACATTTATATTCCCAGTTCTTTTTTTAAAGCCCATATATTTTACTGACTAACGAAAGCTCTAATCTAAATCACACTATCTTGATTCCCCTAACTCGTTAAATTCGAAACTAGACTTTTTTCAAAAAGTGGGATATATACATATAATCATCCCATATTTATAGATAATATAAAGTAACCTCTTCAAAATCTTAATTCAACATATTTCCCTAAAAACAATAGAGGTATACAAATTCCCAATATTTCTAGGTTAAATTCGAAACTAGAACGGTAAGCCATTTTTTTCCACAAAAGTGGGATATACATAGTCTTCCTATATTTATAGATATCATAAAATGACCTCTTCAAATTCTTAATTTAACTTATTTCCCTAAAAACAATAGTGGTATAAAAATTGATAACCGAAGAGATAAGATAGGGAAACTAAGCTTGTAAATTACTTACGGATAGTAAGTAATAGTACTTATGGATAGTAACCTACTAAAACTGCCAAATCCTCTGACTAATTTTGCAATTGTTTATAATAGTGGTATAGTGGTATAAAAATTCCCAATATTTCAACGATATAGGCAAAGTTTTCCAACTTGATAAGCAAACTGATAAGATAGGGAAACTATGCTTGTTAATTACTTACGGATAGTAAGTAATAGTACTTATGGATAGTAACCAAAAACCCCCTTTCTAATTTTCTAATTTTTCCCCCACAGCCGGCAGCAGTGGCCGCAGCAGCGACAGCTCCGATTGCTGCAATCTGTTCGTCGACGAGACCGGCCGAGTCTATCAGAACTGGGAGCAGTATGTGGCCACCAACGAGCTGCCCGAGGGAGTGATGGTGGCCCCCGAGAAGGGTGTCTATCGCCTGGTCAGGGACCATGTGCGTCTGGACAAGTACATAACCCCCGCAGGCAGCACCAACAAGAAGGTGCTGGGCTACCTGGATACGGGTTCGGCGATCGGAGGCTTTGCCGCCGCCTGCGTGCCCATAGCTGCGCTGCTGACGCTTCCCGTTTCGGGTCCGGTGATGGCCGTAGCCGGAGCCGTGGGTTTGGCCAGTGCAGGATACGCGACAGCCCGTTCCGGCGGCAAGTTGGTGGATCGCAGCCAGCACGAGCAGTCGATCAATGTCACCAATCGCGAGGCACGTGGCCATTGGCTGGGCGTCCTCGCTGGCACCGTGGGATTGGGAGCAGCTGGAGCCACCACAGCCGTGACGGCGGCCACCAACGCGGGACGCGAAGTGGGAGCGGTGAGTCCTTATATACACAGAAAAAAAACCGATATGAAATTGGGTTATTTCTACCTTATTTCATATCAATAAAGAGCCGATATGATTTATGCCAAATTTAAGATTCAAACATATCAACATGATATTTTATCATATCATAAAAAATACCAAAATTAGTATTTTTTGAGCAAATAATATAAAAAAAGATTAAAATAATAATCATTTTGATATGAATAACTTGATCTTTAAAAAATATCAAATTGACCATTACCCTTTTTTTTCTGTGTATATATATTTATTATTTATTTATAGACAGAAAAAAAACCTATATGAAATAGGGTTATTTCTACCTTATTTCATATCAATAAAGAGCCGATAGGATTTATGTCAAATTTAAGATTCAAACATATCAACATGATATTTTATCATATCATAAAAAATACCAAGTTTAGTATTTTTTGAGCAAATAATATAAAAAAAGATTAAAATAATCTTTATTCATATCAAAATGATATGAATAACTTGATCTTTAAAAAATATCAAATTGACCATTACCATTTTTTTTCCTATGTATATATATTTAGTAAGAAAATCTTAAGCTATTAAAATTTGTTTTTCAGATCACTCAGCTGACTGTGAATGGCATGAACATCTCCTCCATCGTGGTCTCGGGCACTGGAGTGGCCAACGGTGTGCTGGACTTGATTTTGGTAAGTCGCACGGCGTTTCCAAACTCCTAAAGCAGCTAAAATTGTATGCTGCTCACAGAAAGTCCAAGATGGTGACGATATTACTGGCATGGATGTGCTGCAGCTGTCCGCTTCATTGGTGCTGCTCACGCACAGCGTCTACAATTTCAAACTGGCCTCGACCATCATCGCCGAGACGTCCAACAGTAAATTATCTGGCTATCGTGAAACACTCAGTAATCGCCAAAGGTATGAGAATATTAAGTACTAGATTACCCTTTACTTATAAACCCTATATCTTTGCAGACGCTCCTTTGATAAGATGTCCAAGGAGACCATTCGGCTGCGAGGCACCACACGCGGCAAGCTGGACATTATTCGAAACGTGAACGAAATGCCATCGCGCCAGCAGTTCAATGATCTGTACAAAATCAATAAGAACTTGAACCAGGAGGGCGTGCGATACTCCTTTGCGCCCGATGGCCAGGGCATCCTGCTAAATGGCGAGGTGCAGACGACGGCCGCCGATTTGCGGGCCAGTGTGCAGCATAACCAGGGACCGAATGTCCTGGGCCAAGTTAGTCAGCAGATTCCGGCTAGCCATGCCGAATCGGGACGTCTAAATTTAGACCAGCTAACTCAGGGCTCGCGACTAATTGGACCGCTGCCCACGGCAAATCCGCGAAACGAACCCAGTACTTATGCCGCCGGGGTTTTTGCTTTGGAGCTCAGCTCCGTGATGGTTGGCGGCGTGTTGTTTGTGCTGGAGAACTACGGCCGAGTCCTCTTTGAGCACGTGATCAATGCCGAGAGCTTCGAGAATCTGATCAGCGGCATGGCCGATAATCTGGAACCGGAGGTCTTTGATTTTATCATGAGGCTCACACGAACCTTCATGGACAGCTTTCTGGACGAGCTCACCACGGTGCTGAAGTTCTTCATTTCGACGGAGTCTGTGCTCTTCCGCATCCTGCAGCAGGTGCTGAATAACTACAGAGACATGCCCTATGAAACGGTGGAGCGGCACACTGGCGACATCATTCGAGCGGTCAGGGCTTACTTCATGTCCCTCAATCCGAACGCCTACGCGGAACTTCTCCAAAAGTGCACCACTTGTGTCGGCTACTTCAGCATTTGTCCCTTGTAAGCGTAGGGATTTATGATTCCACCTTTTAAAATTAGTGATTAGAAGCCATCAAAATGTGATGATTGGTGCCTTATTGTTGAAACACAAACGAAATTCACAAAGTTTTTATATGCATCTGTGTTAATTACTTTTTAATCCTTTTATATATGAAATTTACATTTAACTAAGAGCACAAATTGACATTGTTAAAATCGAAATAAAAACCAAATTCGCAAGACGAAACAAATGTGTATTTTAATAATTAAAAAAATTAAAATGAAATTTAAATCTAACCAATTTTGAGCACAAATTGACATTGATAAAATCGAAACAAACAAAACAAATTCGCAAGGCGAAACTAAAGTACATATATTTTAAAAGGAAATTCGAGTCCAATAGAAATATATTCATTTTAATAACAGGTTTTCAAAATCTTGTGAGTCCATATCTTCTCATTGAGTCTCATACATACAAACGTACCAAATTATTTATTAATCATCTATAAATTCTCTACTTGTATTAATGAATTTAACAAGGGTTAGAAAATAACTTAAAATATCATAAGTATTACATTTGTATCTGATATTCTCAGAGTCTTATAACTGTTTCAAAAACTAAACGATATTTCACGATCAGGCGTGCGCATAAACATGGTAATTGCGTACTTAGCGATGACAAATACTGACCGCATCGATATATCGATAACTGGCGCTACTGATGCTATATGTCGCCATCTTTTATTAGAAATGGGCAGCTGTTTCAGTTGGAGCGATTAAAAACGCGAAATAAGCAACAATAACAAAAATCTTCACTGTGTTTAACCCAAGCTTCGTTGGTAATTAAGTGCCGGTAAGTAGTTAATCAACTGGGGAACTTAATTGGTCGCGGCGAGAAATCGATAGGCGCCCTCTTGGGGGCTCTCGGCCATCCGCTGTGGGTCGCCACCACTGAACTCTAACTTTTGTGCGTAGGAATGCCCAAAAGAAAGGCGAAGGCCGAGGACTCCGAGGATCTGCAGTCGTTCCTCAACAATTTCCACAAGGAAACCGAGGGCAGCGGCGATGACAAGGTGGTGCACACGATTCTAAAGGCCATTAGCGCAGAGGATGAGGATGAGGAATTGCAGGAGGAGGAGGAGGCTCCTGGGTCGGAACAGGAGGAGGAGCAGGAAGAGGACGACGACGACGACGACAAGTACTTCATAGATGACGAGGGCAATTGCTACATCAAGACGACGCCCAAGAAGCAAAAGGAGCTGCAAAAGAAGCTACAAAAAGCGGCTGCGAAGCCCGGAAAAGCCACACGATCGGTGGTGAGCAAGGCCACCAATAAATGTGGGTATCCAGTGGTATCCAATCCTAAGCATCTCATTACTTGATTCTTCCCCCTTAGCCATCAATCTGCGCCCAGCCAAGTCGCCACCAAAAGCCGCCACAACGAAGCAGCCACCGGAACCCAAGACCATCAGCGTTCGTTCTACAAGAGCAGCATCTGTGGTTAAGCCGAAGGAGCTACCACCTCCACCTGCTCCCGCTCCCAAAGTTCCCGCCACCAGGGGCAGGCCGAGAAAGAACCCCATTGCCCCAAAACCCGAACCCATGGATTTGGAGCGTGAGATCGAGGAGCTGGTGGATGAGCCCGATCTCGGTTCGGTCATCACCGATTTATCCGACTATGCAGTGGACTCTGCCGACGTGGAGGCAGCCTCATCCGTGCTGGAGGCCAACGAGAATGAGGTCTACGAGTTCGAGGAAGGAGTAGAAGGAGCAGCAACGGAGGAGGAGGACAAGAAGGACCTAGACTTTGTGGTCAGCGGCAAAGAAGTAAAGCTAAAGCCAAGTTCTGCCAACCAAGCGGGACAAAAGTACGTATGCCCGCACTGCCCGTACACGGCCAACAAGAAGTTCTTGATGTCGCGCCATTGCCGGAGTCACGACTACGAGCCGGCCTTCAAGTGCCACATCTGCGAGCGATCCTTCCGCTCGAATGTGGGTCTGCAGAACCATTTGAACACGCACATGGGCAAGAAGCCGCACAAATGCAAGTCCTGCGAGAGCGCCTTCACCACCAGCGGCGAGCTGATACGGCACACGCGCTACAAGCACACCAAGGAGAAGCCGCACAAGTGCACGGAGTGCAGCTACGCCAGCGTGGAGCTGACCAAGCTGCGTCGCCACATGACCTGCCACACGGGCGAGCGACCGTATCAGTGTCCGCACTGTACGTACGCCTCGCAGGACATGTTCAAGCTGAAGCGGCATCTGGTGATCCATACGGGCGAGAAGAAGTACCAGTGCGACATCTGCAAGTCGCGCTTCACGCAGTCCAACTCGCTGAAGGCCCACAAGCTCATCCACAGCGTGGTGGACAAGCCCGTCTTTCAGTGCACCTTGTGTCCGACGACGTGCGGCCGAAAGGCCGACCTCCGCATCCACATCAAGCACATGCACACCTCCGATCAGCCCATCACTTGCCGGCGTTGCGGCCAACAGTTGCCCGATCGCTATCAGTACAAGTTGCACGTGAAATCGCACGAGGGCGAGAAGTGCTACCGCTGCAAGCTGTGCAGCTACGCCTCCGTGACCCAACGCCATTTGGCCTCGCACATGCTCATCCACCTGGACGAGAAGCCCTTCCGCTGCGAGCAGTGTCCGCAGGCCTTCCGCCAGAATCAACTGCTGCGCCGGCACATAAATCTCATGCACAACGATGAGTATCAGCCGCCTGTGCCGCGCGCCAAGATGCACAAGTGTCCCAGCTGCTCGCGGGAGTTCACCCACAAGGGTAATCTTATGCGGCACATGGAGATGCACGACGATGCAGCGAAGGCTCGCGAAAAACAGCGCCGCCTCAAGATGGGCCGAAATGTGCGTCTGCAGAAGGATGGAACTGTCATCACGGTGGTCGGTGATGAATTCGTTGACATAGATGAGGAGGAAATTGGAGATGAGGACAACCCGGAGAGCTATGACCTGGCCGAAATCGAGCCAGAGGATGAAGAAGATGAAGATGGTGAAGAAATCCTACCCACTACAAGGCCCGCACCTGTGATTATCAACAAACAGGCCAGGCTGGCGGGCTCCGTGAAGCAGCCCAGGATTATCAATCGTCGCCTTAGAGCTCCCGGCGGCACCAAGACGTTTCACATAAAAGAGGAGCCCGACAACTCGGACTTCACCGTGGAACTTCAGGGAGATGACGGCGAGGTGATGGTCGTGGAGCTGGTCAACGGTGACGAGGAAGTGGTCGTCAAACGTGAGCCGGCCCAGAAATCGAATATTAATGCCAACAACTGCTTTGGTTTCGAGGTGGGTTTAAAAACTGGTATCAGCCATTCCATTATTAACACATTTTTCTCTTTCAGGAGGACGAAGATTATGAAGATTTCGAGGAACAGGAAAACGGAGTCGATGGCGCTTCGCAGGAGTTTCTTCAGCTGATGGACATGATTGAGCAGGATTCTTAGTCTCCTGGAAAAGAAAAAGTAGCGATAAGTAATTAAGGCTAACTTATGTACATACCAAGGATACGATAACGAGATTCAACGTTATATTGTTTTCTATTTAAATAAATATTCTTAAATTTAAAAACCTACATTTATTTGTGTTACCTTTGCCGTCTGTCGAATGTCTTTGAGATTTAGTTGTTTTTATATGCCAAATAAATAGAGTCCTCCGTGAATCATTAAATTTTTCGAATTGAATGAATGAATAACTTTTATGAATTTTTTTTAATCGTCAGATTTTTTGCTTTCTTTTGAGAACAAAAAGTGCCAAATTTTTAACAAATAAATGTTAACTGCTTAGAAAATAAAATTCATGCAGATTTAATCACAAAATGATGGCCCTTTCTTCTTCAAAAGTAATTGTCGTTTAAATTATTTCGGAATTCATGCCATTCATTCATTCAATTCTATTAAACTCAAAATTCTAATTAATTCATTCATATAAAACAAAAAATTCAAAATAATTCATTGAATCCATTCAATGGATATTTTAAATGATTAAAAAAGATCCCCAACTCTTCCTGTTAAGTTGACAACTTGGCATAAATATTTATTTAAATACATATACATATATTTCAATGCTTTCATTAGTGGTATATGGGCAAAATGTTAGGTGCGCTTGCGTTTAGCTGCATCTGGGCGTGCACTGTAAATTCTCGGCTATTAGTTGTCGTTCCTACCATAAAATGTTCGCATAGTTTACAATTTGTTTTCGTATTCTCTTCAGCAATCTGGTTACTCCTCTTGTTCTTTTTGATGTGGTTTCTCTTGCCGTTTTTTTTCAAGTGTATAACTACAATAAAAATATATATATTTATATATAATATATGTATATACTTTTTAGGTGGTGCAATGTGCAAAAATCTGCTGTGCAGTGCATCATTATTATTATTTCAATATATAGTTGCTTTTCTTTTGTGTTGATTTTTGTAGTTGTTGCATAAAACGTTAACAATTTGTCGTTAATAGTACATATGTATACGAATTGCCTTTTGTATAACAATTAAAATGGAACAACGTCGATAAAGGAAGTGCACATTGAGTTCCGAGTGAGTTAGATTTAAAAATGACACTTAGAAATCGAAAATTGCTTGCAGAATCGAGTTACGAATACGAAACACACTTAGAAATACAAGAGCTAAAAAAAGTTGCATATCCTATAATTAAGTTAATGCTCTGCGAGATTTGCCTGACCCCATTCATTCTCTGGGCAAAAGGAAGGAAACTAATCGAGCCGTCGTGGCCACCGTAACTATCTAAGTAACTTTAAAGCGAAACTAAGTTAAAAATTAAACAAAAACAAATTCTTGGAAAGCTGTGCTATGGCTCTTTGCTTTTTGCTCTTCGCTAGCTCACTGATAAGCTTGGCTTATATCAATTTACTTTTGGCTTAACAATTCTCTGTGTAAGGCTGCTGTTGGTTTTCTTTTCCATCCCTGTGCTTTCTGTTTCCATTACATTCCTCTAAATTTATCCATACATTTCCGTTCTCATCGCTCTAGTTTTGGTTGAAAATAAAGGGTTCTCTGTGGGTTTTTTCCGGTTGGCCAAGGGGAACATAAATCTCAGAATATCTTCAGCTTCTGCAGGAAACGCAACAACGGCGCACTGAGGCAGGCGGTGGCCTCCTGCTGCTGCTGTCTCGGATTGGCGGCAAAAGAGGCTCTGCCGTTCGCAATTCACGACTGCTCCCTCTTTTGCCTCTTTGGCTGCTAATTGCAATTGAGCGTGTTCTGGTTGGGGCTGCTGCGTGAGACGTTGTTGTGATTGATCTGGTTCGACTGCGTGATGCTGGCGCTGTCGCTCGTCTTCCACGACAGCAGCTTGTTGAGGAGGTGGTCCATGAAGGGATTGTTGCCCAGCCGAGTTACCTGTGTGGGATGAGAGATTATAGTAATTATTAGTTGGGAATAAACAGCTTGTTCTAGTTATGGAATATTTATATCTGATAAGGATGATTCTATAAACTAAATTTATAGCAATAATTTGTAAAACCAATAAGGTATAGACTAATTCTAAACCTGTTCTAAATGTATTTTTATACGTTATTGCTCTTTGTAAGTATCTAAAGTATCTAAGTTCCAAGGAACCCCTAATTCTAGTTTTGGAATGTGTATTTTCAGTTAAACTTATAGTTATAACTTATCCAAGGAATATACAAATGGAATGTAAAGGTTTATACTATATAAACTTTTATACTTCATTGCTCACAAAAAAAATCGAGGAATTTCCTTTAAATCTAGAAATTTTTTTTTTAATTTTCTTGATCAAGAAAGGTTTTCTATATTTAAAGGCAAATTTTCTAATACCAAGAAATTTTTTTCTATTTTCAAAGGTAGGCCGAGATTTCTAAAATTTAGAAATTCATTTTTATGAGTGCATCCAAAGTAACCAAGTTCCAAGGAACTACTATTTCTCTTAATGCTCCTTCAGTACTAACCTCCGCCCGCGCCTCCGCATCCAGCGTCTCCAGAACCTTGCGTGTATACTGAAAGCTGCCCAGCTTTTCCAGCAAGGTGATGCAGTACTTCTTGACCTCAATGTCGTGCGTGCGCTGGCGTAATATGTCTGTGGATATAGCCATAAGCCCCCGGCTTGATGAGTGGAAAGCCTTTTGGGTGAGGTCAGTACGCGTGCTGGTACTTACGCAAAACCTGTTTATCCTGCTTCTGGGTGCGAACCGCATGGATTACTGGGAAACCGAACTTGCCCTCTGTCAAATCCTCAGCGAAGCTCTTGTTTTCCGTGTACTACGTGGAAATGTCATTTATGATTAACCGATTTTGGCATGTAGTCTCTTATCCCCTCACCTCTTTCAAACTCAGGTTGCAGTAATCGTCGCGTATCTGGAAGTACAGGCCCAGAATAGCCGTCAACTTGGAGTAGTCCTCTTTATTCGAGCTAAACAGCTGCATCAGGCGGATGGCCAGCATGAAGAGGCCGCCGGTTTTGCGCACAGTCATTAGCTTGTAATCGGACTCCGAGGGACACGTGAAGCTGTCGCGCCAATAGATCTCCATGCCCTGTCCACGATGCAGCTCCAGCAACTGTTCCGTGTACACCTTGGTGGCCTGCAAAAAAATGCGAATTACTGGACATTCCATTCCATGGATCTCGGGTTGCGTTCGCACCTCCGGGTGATCCAGCTGTTGCACCTTCTCCAGCGCCAGGAACAAAGCATAGTTAGCCGCATTTATGGTGCTGGCCACGCCGTATATGGAATGCGCCACGGGCACACCTCTGCGAAGGATCGAATTGTCTTCAATATCATCAATGCTGTAAGTTAGTATCAAGAACACATAGGTATATAATAGCTGTGAGTTGATTAATCGTGTACAAGGCAGTTACTTCTATTCAACCTTATAACTAACTACTTTTCTACGTTTTTTCATAAAGTGTTTAAGTCATTTTTTTCTAATATTTAAATGGGAAATTAAATTTGAAAAACTTTGGTTTCTTTAAGAAAAAATGGACCAGTTTTCAAAAAGAATTATAAAGAATTTTGTGGTTGTGGAATTATAATTTCTGTCAGTTGATTACAACAAGGCAGTTACTTCTATTCAACCTTAAAATTAACTACTTTTCTACGTTTTTTTCATAAAATGTTTAAGTCTTAATTTTGGGTAAACATTTTAATTGGACTGCTTTTCAAAAAGAATTATGTAGAATTTTGTGGTTGTGGAATTATAATAATAGCGGTGATTTGATTAATCTTGTACAAGGCAGTTACTTTTATTTAAATTTAAACTACTGCTAACTACTTCCCGAAGTTTTTCCATAAAATGTTTGAGACATTCTTGTGTATAATATATTTATGATCGTAAAATTCCAAAAAAATAGTTCATGGAATACATTAAAGTTTTTAAAAAGATTACAAAGAATTTTGTGGTTGTGGAATTAAAATAAAAATAAATATTTTTATTATGCTTAACTCTTTACTTATGCACTCCAAAATTGTATTCGCTGGGAAATACGATAATTTACTAATCAGCAGATGTTTTTGTGAAACCATTAATTTCAAATTACACCATATGCACACGTAGTGAATAAAAAATATGGGGTTTTAAATAGAATTTACCAATTCGAGCGTGTATAAAGTTAGGAGAACTCGTCACGTGTCCCCCACCGACTCCCCCACTAGGTGTTCCTCCCCTTCGACTCCCTCCCCATCCCCTGGCAGGCTAAGCATACATATTTATGAACATACGGTGGCCCCATAATAGATGTGTAAATTTAAGCCCCGCTTTAAGGCCTCCATCGCTTCAATAACTATGGTGCCCGGCGGGTAAAACGAGCTGGGCAGCTCAACATTTGCGTAATTAAAAAATGTTTGCGCTCCGCCAAAGCTGGCAAAGCCATTGGTAGGGAATATGGATGGTATGGGTCGGGATTGGATGGTATGATGGTATGGTATGAAGGCGTGGGCGTTGAAGCGACAACGCACAAAGGGGCTGGGATATGCAAAGGACAAGGGGTGAAAGGAGGAGGCAGCGGAGGCTGGAAAATGAGGAAAACGGGGAAAACAGTGGGCGTGCTGCGTGGCAAGAGTTGTGACAATGCCTGTCGACTGGCGACGGGCTGACTAACTGACAATGGGCATAAGTGCATGAATGACGGACGTGGGTCGGGGTACTTGGGCACTACTGACTACTGCTGTAACTGCTGGCATCGTTGTAAAACTAAGTTTTTGCCAATATGAAAATGCATTACTAAAAAGGAACAAAAAAAAAAACACCAAGAACATACGGGCCACTTGGGGGAATGAGAATGAGACTGCGAATGGGAATGCTGCCAAGGAACAATGCTGGGGATTTTAAGCCGAATTAAGGCCATTTCAGAGTGTTTGAAGGCGACAGGTGGCCGTAGGCAGGACACGATTAGCCCGAAAAAAGACATGAATACTTCCTTAGCTGCTGCCTGAAGATAGTCGCCACTTCGATTCGTTTTACTGACTTTAATTGAAAAGCGGCAGACACTTCAATTGGCCGAGTTCAAAGTTTAATTGTGGCGTTGCCAAGCCAGAGCTCTTTTATCCCATTCCTCACATTTTATTTTACCCAGGGGCCTGGAGAAAAATCTAAATAATTTATGCAATTTCGGATTCGACAATGGAATGCAAAGAAAATCAATTGTAAACAGAAAAACCTGCGGGCTCATGATGAAATTTGGAAATTGATTTGAGGCCATCGCACAGTGCTCTGCTTAAATAAAATAGCCAACAAACGTGCGAGAACATTACTCAATATGGCCAAATCTATTTGGGGGACCGGAGTGAGTCACCACCAAATGATAATACAAAAGTTTTATACAACATATGCGCGTTATGGAAATGAACTGCTTGCTGATGTTGATAAGAACTTCTCGTGCGAGCACATATGGCAAGCATTTCTATATGTTTCCTATATTTTTGGGGCAAGAAGAGATCCCCGTCATCACTTCCCCTAAGAACTTCACACTCGATTAGGCATTTAACTGGAATCCATCTAAACAAAGCAAATAAACTAAATGTATACAAATACAGGCTGTGCAAGTGTGAAGAAAGATTAAACATGCTGGGAAGGGGTAAAAACAGGGTGAGGGGTCAAACGGTTGGGGGTTTTTTGGGGTACAAACAAGAGTGCAGACCAGAAAAGCAAAGAATTAAATGCATGATTAGTTGACGTGCAATATCGACAGGTATTTAAGTACGGCCATAAAATTAGCACTCGGATTTTGTACGGTTTCTTAATGACATTTGTGGTTTAAATATATTTTTTTAGTGAAATAATATGCTAATTATGTTAATTAATAACCCAGTTTACTCAATTTTATACAGACATTTATAAGTATAATAATAATAATTATTTACAAAATGAACAATTGATTATTTTATAAGACAAGAACTAAAAGTTTTAAATAATTTGGAGTATTTAATTAAAAAGTCAGGCAAATATTTTTCCCAACTATTCATTTTAAATTAAACAACTCTTTTCAAAAAATCCCTAAATTCTAATATAATGTCATGTGTGTAGTCACCCATTACTTAGTATACAAAAACAGCCACAAAACGATAAAGTTCCTAAATCAATGCTGATATATTGGCATGCAATTTAGGGCTATTAATCCGACCACAGCTGTATACTATATATAAATGATATACTCACAGTAAACTGGAATTGTGCAGCATCTGCACAATGTCCCCGATCTGCGCCAACTTTTCGCCCGGTATGAGCAACCAGTGATTGAAGGCCAAGGCCAACTCGGAGCGGAATTGTTTGCCAGGAATCTGTTGTATGTATGTGAAGGGCTGCAGCAGAATCTGGATAGCGTTTGGCCATTTTTGTGCGTGGGCCACATGTAAATAAACCCCAAAAAAGGAGTGGGTGGTGTGGGTTGTGGGTTGACAGGGAATAAGAAGAGAAGAAGGCCGAGAGAGCTAGTTAGTTAGTGTCTTTCGGGGGTGCCACTTTCAAATGTCAAAGTTCAGGGGTCCGGAAGGATTAAGCCGTGGGATAAGTACCTCATCCTGCTCCTTTAGCGTTGATTTATCTTTGGTCTTTTGCAATATGCTGTTCAGTTCCTCCATTGTTGTTGTTGCTGTCGCTCCGCCGTGGCCTTGCGTGTATGTGCTTTTGTTGTTTTGATTGCGGGGGGCGGGCGAACCGAACGCGGGGTGGGGCGTGCTTTTTGTTTACCGCTGGGCTCCGCGACACGCGTGACTAGAATTGTTTGTGGGCCGCTCGTCGCTGGTCCAACTCGATTTTCGCTTAATCCGCACGGATCAGGGCAAATACACACCACGGAAAGACCAAAAACAGACTGTTATTGAAGTTCTTCCGCGGCCTGCGTATTAGAGGTGTACGCGAGTCGATAGACTCGAGAGTGCTTTTTGTGCAACTATCGATTCTACCAGGGATGAGAAATCTAGCGTTTGGCGGGAAATGGCCAAACATTAATTTATTCCGGTGTGATAGAAAAATACATATATTTTTTAACATACATGATCTTAAACAAGAAGTTAATCAAAGTTTTTACTTGGTATAAGCGAAATTCACGATGTTGACAATATTTTTGGTTTTTAAAAGCCCATATTTATGACTCACCCTTAACTTAATTCATTTATTTAAATTTAAGTTTTTTTTTAACAAATAAGCTACACTTTTCTTGTACATAATATTGTAATTATCCTTTTAAATCGAAATACACGGTGCCGCAGAAGGATCGTTTTATTTATTTTTTAACTATACGTGTTTAAAAGCTGGTCGATTTTCCTGTGCTTAGATTTGCATACTTTTAAATAAAAAAGAATTTTTCAAATTATTTAAATCTAAAAAAATCTAAAAAAGCCAATCCAAATACTCGATTTCTTGCATGTTATCGATTACTCTTTCTCCCCCATTGCCATCCCTATTTTGCCTGCGTGGAAAATAAAATACAGCTTTCTAGCTTACTTTTTGGTACATTAATTAGAATTCCCATAAACTTATAACGAAAATCCTGCAAAAATGGCTGCTGCAGCGCCCATGCGAACCAACTGGAACCCGAGCATAAAGCACAACGAGATGGAGCGGTAGGAACCGGGTGAAAAGTAACCAAACAAAGTCCGCCCATTCACATGTCCCCATTGTTATTACAGGTGGATTTGCATATATCCCGCCTACATCAACAGCAAGAGGACCCGCCAGGAGGGCCGCCGGCTGCCCAAGGAGAACTGCGTGGAGAACCCCACCTACATAGAGATCCGCGACGTGCTGTCCGTGTCCAACCTGCAGTTCCTCATGGAGAACATGAAGTACTGCCGCGAGAAGAGCAGCGAGCTCCAGTTCCGCGGACGTGTGCGCGTCCAGCTGCGGAATGCCGATGGGACGCTCTTCAACGCAGACTTCCCCTCGCGCGAGTCCATCATGCTGCACATCGCCAGCAAGATTCCGCAGCTGAAGACGCGCCAGAACAAACCGGGCGGCGAGTCGTACCACCAGCAGTCGCAGCCACAACAGAGTGCATCCGGCGGTGGCGGCGGCGGCGGTGGCAAGAAGGGAAAGGGCAAGCGCCGCTAATGACTTCTAGTGGCTTCTCGTTATTTGGTTTCTTTTGTAATAAACGCTGTAAACAAAGATTTATGCAAGTTCTGGGCCAAGTTCAAGTGCGGGAATTCGGCCTTGGCACGCCAAAGTGTGCCAAAAAAATAGTACTCAATTGGAGAACCCAGTTGGGAAATGTCTCAAGATCGCACGAAGTCAGCAGAAATTCCGGCGAACTGAAATCTAGAATCAACTGTCAGTCACGAACATCTACGATTTCACCTGGTCAGCGTTATAAAATCGGTTGTGCAGCGCAAATGGGCAAACAGTTTGAATTGGAGCACCCACAATGATGACGGGAAAGAGCAGCCTCTGTGGCTACACGTTGTTACTTCTTCTGGCGGTTATCCATCTCCAGGCGAATGCCGTACCCACCACGACCACAAAATCCCCATCGACGGTGGCCACGCGCCGGGTAAATCCCCTGACGGAGTCGAAGCTCGAGAAGAATTGCAAGGCTCTGTGCGAGCACTGCGGCTGCTTGGGCTTCTACTGCGGCGAGGAGTGTCTGTGCGAGTGCAATGATGATAACTCCGATACCGAGTGCATCCGCACCATGCAGCTGAATGCCAAGACGCTGAATCTCCCGTTTGAGATAGTCATCCAGGGGCCGAGTAGCAATCGCTTTGTGCGCAATGCCCAGCAGTTCGAGCAGAAGCGCGATTTGGTGGCCAGGAGTGCCTCCTCTTCGGGTCAAGTGCCTCGCAGCCGTCGCTCCAACATAACCATCTACAAGCCTTCCATTAAATCGGACAATCAACCTATAGCCAACACCCTGGTTACCGCTTCCAAAGCTTCGGAACTGGAGGTCACCAGGCACAAGAGGTCCGTCGATCACCTGGAGTGGTTCAATGACTTTGCCAGCTCCCTGGTGAGACCCTCGCCCCTGGGCACCAAGGCTCAAAAGCAGCCAAGGGAGTCCAAGCCATCGCCTTTCAAGCGCCAGACTCCGCTGGAGGAGCCGGTGCGTCGTGAGCCGTGGTTCCTGGAGCAGGCTGCTCCCCGTCTAACTCGTCCCGCTCCCCTCAAGAAGGAGCAAATCTCTCGGAAGAACAAGAAGAGTCCTCTGGCCCGCAAGATGGCCAAAAGTAAGGCGAGCAAAGAACCCGAGCGAGAGATTCGACCCCTCCGCGATGCTCTGCAGGTTGTGGAGCGGATTCCCCGGGTGCTCCAGGATACAGTGAGTCATCTCTCGAACGATCCCCGTAGTGGCGATGTCTTCAGCCTGAATATTATGCACGAGGCTTTGCCGCAGGAGAAGAATCACCAGGAGGAGGAGGAGGAGGAACGTGTGCCCCGGAGGCCAAGTGCCAACTTCCGTAATCAACGTCGCAATGAGATCGTTCCGGAGGCTGTGACCCTGGCTGCTCCAATGGACCTAGCACCTCGAGCTCCACTGGCACTTCCTGTCCAGCGAGGAGGTCTCCTGCTGCCCTGGTTGAGGCAGCGGCGTCTCATGCGTCTGCAGCAGGCTCGGGGGAATATGTAGAGGTAGTCCCGAAACTACATTTTAAACCTATTTAATATCCCTTACTTTTACCTTCATATTTTGTTGTATATTTTTAAGGCATCTTGGGCAATCACAAAATAAATTAGCAATTTGTATCAATCTGCAGTCGCAGTAACTCTAATGGCTTTTAAAATTTTGCAGTTTTAAATTTTAATTGTTCTATTTATTAAAGTTTGTTAGGTTATCCTTGCAATTTTTTTTAAATTTTTTTTTAATTTAACCTAATATTCTTATGGGATCTCTTAGGTAAGATTATTTTATTTCTGATCAGGTATAGAATTTTAAGTTTACCATGGCATACATAAGTAATAGTTAATAGATGTTGTCTAATTATAATTTTTTGTATATTCTGTGTTAATTTGTCCTTTTATAATAATAATATTCTAATGGGATCTCTTAGGTAAGATTATTTTATTGCTGATCAGGTACAGTATTTTAGGTTTACAATGACATATATAGGAAATAGTAACAATTATTTTATTTAAAAAAAAATTTTATCCTTTTTTAGAAATTTTACTAAAAGACAACTCCTGAAAATAAAACCGTTACAACCTCTGTATATCCGACAACTAAAACATACTTTCGGGCGTGGGGGTTATCTTTTTTTTTTGTTTTGATGGGGTCCTCTCTTTTTAGCTCCCGCTCTGTATTTCATCCGATTTGTTGGCAACAAGCGTCGTCTTCAGTCTGCCGCGACCGTTCATCTTCAGTGGTTGTCGCTGCTCCGCTGCAACAGGTAGTTGTGAGAACCCGAACCCAATTGGTAAAAGGTGCATTACCTTACCCGCTCGAAGCCCCACAAAGGGATTATGAAGTGAAAAGAGAGGATCCGCGGTGGGGGGTTACTTTGTCTTCTTACTGTGCGGGGAAACATATAGTGTATAGTATATAGCCATTGGGAGCGGAGAAAATGCGTTTTGGGTGATGTTGTGAGTGGTTAAACATTACAAAGTGTCATGAGAGAGTGAGAGAGTAACGACCCAGAGCCAATAAAAAACAAAGAGTGTATGTTTTTCAATGTGTGTACAAAAACAACCTAGTAAATTGTCGGCGCGAGCCAAATAATTATTTAAAAGCCGAAATAATTAGAAATCAAAGAGAACGGTGCCAATACAAAGCGAATTTTAAGCGAGCAAAAACCAAGCAACCAGAGATCAACGGTCGCCTATCTTATATCTAGTATTCAAAAGATGTGTGTATGCGTGTGTAGAATCTGGAGAAACAGAATGAGAATCTGGCTCTCCACAAAAAACAACCTAGTGCATCAATTGGAAACCTATATTCAATCTTAAATTGATTTATGAAGCCGTGACTTTCCACTGAGAAACTAGGAAGTAGAGAATAAAAAGTCTGCCTGTACTGAGTGATATGGCTAATAGCTGCACTTGTTGCATTATCGAAAAAGTTCCAAACACTTGTTGAGTTTTAATGGCTTAGTTTAGTAAAAATTTGGTTTAATTTTAAAGTTTTTTTACTGGCGAGAGGCGTAGTCCCTCTCTGATAAATAAAATCATGTAATAAACCGACGGGTTGCGTTCGAACCTTATCATGCCATATAAACAAAAACAAAGGCGTACTCACAGTGATAGTGACTTTTACTAAAGAACTCACAAACACCCTCACATGGCAACGGATAACTACTAACAGCTGGATTTTGCTTTATTCGGGCACCGACTGCCTTTATCTTCAGCAATTAATGTGATAAGTTCAACCAACTGTTGCCCATATCTTCGGTATTTCAGAGGATGATCACGCACCGGCTGGCAGATAATCCACTTAATATTCAAGGTTCTAGAGAACCGATTAGGGCTTTATGATTTCTCATTAATTTAAAGTTTAAATTAAAGTTCTTTCGATCATTTTTAATTTGATTAAATAAATCAGTTTTAAATATGGCCTGAACATTATTATTTATTATATGAACAAGTGGGTTAAATTAACATCCTTCTCGATTTTTTATGTTTAAAATATCTTATTAAACTGATTAAATAGTTTAGTTTTAAATATGATCTCAATTTGATTCTTTTTTATATGAAAAAGTGGGTTAAATTTACATCCCTATCTATTTTTTATTTTTAAAATGATTAAGCTGATTAAATAGTTTAGTTTTAAATATGGCACGAACTTGATTATTTATTAAACGAAAAAAAATGGGTTTAATTTAAATCCCTTTCGATCTCTTATTTTTAAAAAACCTTCTTAATGGTCCGTAAAACTTAATATTCGAAATAAATACAGTTAAAGCGGAAAGGAGAGAAGCTAATGTCTAAAATCAGACACATTAACTTTAAAAACTCCAATAATGTTTTCGAATCCAGTTACAGAATGACTCAGTGGCTTTGAGATCCATTAAAACTTCAAATATTATGAAAGTTTTTTCATTAAAACAAAAATTTATGAACTGATTAACTAGTTAGGATTGAACTTGGTAATTAATTATATGAAGAAATGGGTTAAATTAACATTCTTCTTGATTAATTATTTTTAAAAGACCTTTAAGACCTATTACTCAAAATAAATAATTAAAGCGGATATGAACAAAAGGAACTTATGTCTAAAATCTGACACATTCACTTTAAAAACTCCAATAATGTTTTCGAATTCAGTTACAGAATGACTCAGTGGCGCTGAGATCCAACATAGTCTTTCATAGCAATCTAACCCACCCACCAAGACACAAGTTATCCAACCCATCATGGAGCTGGCCCGCCGAGTGTCCGCTCGCTTCGAAACCAAAAGACTGCCGGAGGACGTGGACGATGGCCTGGAGACGCTGGAGGAGTACAAGCAGCGCTGGCGTTCCGTCCGCATCATCTACTTCACCATGTTCCTGATGGCCCTCGGCTTCAGCATCATTCTCACGGGCATTTGGCCCTACCTCAACAAGGTGGGAGTTGTATATAAAGCATTGTGATCCCTTGGTCCTTCAAGCCCATCTCTCTTCAGCTAGATCCCGCTGCTGGCAAGGAGTTCATGGGTCTCATTGTGGCCGCCAATCCGCTGGGACAGATGATCTTCAGCCCCATTTTCGGCTGGTGGGGCAATAAGCTGGGCAAGATTCGACTGCCGCTGCTCATCTCGTTGTCGCTGTTCACCCTGGCCAGTGGCATATACTCCTCGCTGGAACTGCGCCCGGATAACGTCAAGTACTGGATGCTCTCCTCAAGATTCCTTATAGGTGTCAGCTCCGCAAATATTGCCCTGTGCCGGTCGTACTTGTCGGCTGCCACGCGACTCAGCGAACGCACGCATGCGGTTTCCATGGTATCACTCGCCCAGGTCCTCGGATTCATCATTGGACCGACTCTCCAGGCGGTCGTCACTCCACTCGGCGACGAGGGGCACATTTGGCTGGGCGGATTGATGCACTTCAACATGTACACCGCATCCGGTTGGATCAATGTGGTGATGAGCATTGGCAACATTGTGATGTTTCTTCCCGGGGTCTTCGAGGTGAATCTCCAGCTAACTGAGTTGTGGTAAAAGTTGTTTTTCACAGTGATTTCCTTTCAGGAGCACAAGATCGCCGCTCGCGAGGTCATGGTCATTCAGGGCGGGACATCGGAGAGAGAGACTTGGAAAGGCATCAAGCCAAACTATTACTCCGCCTGGACTTTGATTGTCGCCTTCTTTGTTCTGGTCTTCAACTTTGTTCTGCTGGAGACGTGAGTTGTGTTGCCTTGTAGAATTATCAATGAATTATTTTGAATTTTTTTGTTTTATATGAATGAATTAATTAGAATTTTAAGTTTAATAGAATTGAATGAATTGCATTTTGAGTTTAATAGAATTGAATGAATGAATGGCATGAATTCCGAAATAATTTAAGGAAGAAAGGGCCATAATTTTGTGGTTAAATCTGCATGAATGTTATTTGACATTGATTTCTTAAAAATTTGCCACTTTTTGTTCTCAAAAGAAAGCACAAAGAAAATCAGGCAAATTCAAAATATTCATAAAAATTATTCATTCAATTCGAAATGAATTAGAAAAACATTCAATTTATTTTAAATAGATATAACAAAAATTGAATGATTCACGCAGGGCTCTTTTGCCTTGATAATGAGAAATCCTGGAGATGAAATGACTTTCTATCTCTACCCACAGATTAGGCACATCCCTGACCATGGACATGTTCGCTTGGACCGACAACGAGGCCCTTTGGTACATGGGCATCATGATGACCACCGCAGCCATTGTTTCCTTGATCACATTTGTCTTGATTGGACCCATGTGCAAGATCATTTCCGAACGTTATGTGCTCATCTGGGGCGGATTCTCGCTAATGTTCCTAGGTCGCGCGGTCTTCGTTCCCTGGGGTCCGGATCCGCCAAAATTGGCGCAGCCCTTCAATGCCAGCCTGAATCTGACCAAGGACGATCCCCTCTTCTTAGGCTGCCCCGTTGATACGCAGCCGTGGTGCAGCGAACTGCCCGCTTTGACTTTGACGCAGTTCCTCATTGGATTTGCCCTCACCTCGGTGGGTTATCCCATCGGTGTGACGCTCATCCAGACGATATTCTCCAAGGTTCTGGGGCCTCGGCCGCAGGGCGTCTGGATGGGCTTTCTGACCGGTTCGGGCTGTCTGTCCCGCTGCCTTGGTCCACTCTTCGTGGGTTCCATCTACACTCGGCTGGGCACTTTTTGGACCTTTTACGTTACCTCCTTCATGATGTTCGTCTCAATGCTTTGGCTGCAGTTCAGCAAGTGAGTCGAGTTATCTTCTTTATCGGGGATTCCCTAGAATTAATCAAACCTCGTCATCTTTTCTAGTCGATTGCTAATCCCTCCGACATTCGAGAAGGCCACTCCCGTGGAGCTGCAAGAACTGAACAAGCAGAATGGTGGCAAGCAGGAGGACCACTCACCCGAAGAAGAGTCCACCGTTTCGGTGAAGAAGGGCAGTTACCATTCGCTAACCGCCGACGCGTAGCTCTAAGACACAAATCGTTGCAATACTGCCCCTTAAACTAGCTTTAAAATACATGTTTATTTTTGCATATTTCTCGACTGCTTATGCTTTTATTGGTACTCGAATCTCTGTGGATGTATTGGGGGGGAGCACGTCGTTGTCTAGTCTTTTAGGCATGGTTTGCATGAAAGGAGGATGCGTCGACCAGTGTTTCCATCTTCTTGTTTAAGTATACGAATTATGGTTAGTTTAGGCTTAGTAAAATACGCGTGGTTCACCAAGGCGGCAGCCACAATTGTGAAAATGTCGTCGTCGTCGGCATCAGCATGTGCTGCTGTTGATGGTGTTGCTGATGGTAGTACGCCGCTGGCGACCAGAAGAGCAGCCAGCAGTCCCCATTCGCCGTCCTTTGACTGCCGGTTGTGTGATAGAGAGTGTGCCCCATCGGCTGGGACAATGACAAGGGCAGGGGCATGGGTAGTGCAACCGCCACTCAGCTGCTGCCGTGATAGTAAAACTCATCTCAGTAGGGCGCGTATCGGCGACCCGGAGGCGATGGACCACGTATTCCGCGAGACGAAATCATGCGCTCGTCGAAGGCGTCGCGACTAAAGTCCTCGTAGCCGTGTGGAGTGGGGGAGCTAAAAAGAGGGGAGAAAGATAAACATATTAGAAAATGTTTCAATTGCTTTAAAGTTAAGCTAAATATATTATTTTTCAAATGGAAATGTATATGCAGGCACATAAATATTTATGATATTTTAATTCAATATTTCGCTTTCTAGTTTCACCATTGAAACACGCTGACAAAGAACTTTCCAGGGCTTGATTTGCAAGCAAGAACAAAGAAACCTCTAGTCATTCATATATGCATTGTTTATAAGCGCAATATATTTTAAAGTAAAAGTGTTTACTGTTTGGATACTTTTTCTTGCAAATAAGAAGAGACTAACACATAAATTAAGAAAAAAATATTAATAAATTAAAAAAAAAAAATTAAAAATAATAATAATTAGTATTAATTAAGACACTACAAAAAATTAATACATAAGAATAAAGAGAATAACAAAAACATTAATAAATTAAGAAAAAAATAATAAATAAAAATAATAAAAATTAGTACAAAGACACTACAAAAAATTAATACGTAAGAATAAAAAGAATAAAAAAAATTATGAAACTAGGAAAAAAATAATAAATAAATACAAAAAAATTAATAACAAATATTAAAAAAAATTCAAAAATAATAAAAATTAGTATTAGTTAAGACACTACAAAAAATAAATACATAAGAACGTGAGAAAAATTGTTTTAATAATTTAAAAATAATACTAATTTTATATTATGAACCTAATGTTACTATTACTTGTAGCGCTGGGATATTAAATAAATTAAATTAAAATGAAGTACGCAAAAATGTGGTTTATAGGGTCAAGACAGGCTTCATCGAAACTAATTGCCATTCTCCACCCAACAGTTATTTACATTTAAGAAAACACATAACTTAACCACTTTGTCATGGTTTTAGTCATATAATTTCAAGTGCCACCTACCCGTAGCGACTCATTCCGTTGCTGCTGCGCGGCGGCGGCGGCGAGCGGCGGCTGAACATGGTGTCGTATCCGCGCGAGACGCTGCAGGAGCGCAGGCTGCCGCTCAGGGGGGGCGGCAGGGGCATGGGCTCGCGGCGCGAAATGGGCGGCGGCGGGAAGTCGCGCATGCGCGACGTCTGATAGCGACGCTCGTACAGATCGCGTGAATCCTCGAAGCGGCGGTCATAGTAGTCATAGTCCTGCGGGAAGGGAAAACAAAAGCTACATTAGAGGATGAACAAACTAGTACCATGCATGGGAAATAAGGAAATGGTTGGATGATTTGTTCAAGGGGGAATGGTTCAAATGGTTGCTGAATTTACCCTAAAGCCATCCATGATGCGGTCACGCAGGAACGCCGGCGGCGGTGGCGGATACGGGTCACGACCGTACATGCGATCCCTGTAGCCGCCGGCGCTGAGCGGTGAGGGCGGCTCCCGGCCGCCTCCGGCGCTGCCGTACAGTCGCGGACACTCTTTCGACCAATGCCCGGATCTTCCGCACCGATAGCACTGCTCCGGATCGCCCATGCCCGGCTTGGGGCGCACACGACTGGTCGACACTTGGACCTTGAGCGGCTGGCCATCGACGACGCGACCGTTTAGCTCCTTGATGGCATCCTGAACATCACCGACACAGTCCAGATGGACGAAACCATAGTTGCGCACAATGTCGCACTCGACGACGGTGCCGTATTTCTGAAACAATTCCCGCACCTCCGGCGCCCGCGTCTTGTCCGTAAGATTTCCCACGAAGATTTTCGTGGTCGGTGTATTCGGCGCACGGCGACTCTTGGCCGCCTCCACCTTGATGGCGAACTCGTTGAGCGTATAACCGTTCAGATTCTGTATGGCATCGCGACCCTGCTGCTCCGTCTCCATGTGGACGAAGCCATAGTTCTTCACCACGTCGCACTCGACGACGGTACCGTACTTCTCGAAGAGCGCCCGCAACTCGGTCGCCTGCGTCTTCTCGTCGAGATTCCCGATGAACAACTTGAACGTGCCGGCTCCGGGCATGGCGGCAGCGGGTTCCGCAGCGTGGTCGTCCACGGTTATATCGTTTCTAGCACTCTGGGTGGGGGAATCCCGAATAAATTCCTATCTACGCGGCGGCGGCGGCAGTGGCGGCGGCGCTGCGTCGTTTGTATGTATGTGAGTATCGCGGTTGGGCGAAGACGACGGCGGCGGACAAACGCGGTTACCTCAAGGGAAGAGAGAAGCTATTAGCTATTACGGGGCAAGGGAAAACATTTAGGCAGCAGAGCAAGGAGCGCGATTACCAGGTAACCTCTATATATCTTCCGTTTTTCTCTCTATTTCTTTATTGGCGTTGGCATTTTTTCTGGCCCTAACGCATACACAAAAAAAAGATGGCGGCGGCTAGGGTTCACATTTTCTCACGGTTCTCGTTGCTTTCATTGGCGTGGCTTTCAAGTGCGGTACGTGTAAATGGGGGACGGACTTACCTGATCGGAGGGGCTGCAAGCTGCAAATTAAAATTTAAGCAAGCAGCTCGGCTTTTTACTTATTTATTTCCCAGACGTGCGGCAGAAATTTCCAATCGATTGGCTCCAGTCTCGCAGTATGACCGTTTGACAGCTGCAAAAATGTGACCTGAGCACAAGCCTGCTGAAATACCAGGGTCTCACTGGTTATGTTAAATAATCCACAATGTTAACATGCAGTTAAAAATGTAAATATTTAAAAGCGCAGCGATCACCGTTAAACTTGCCATGATTCAATTAGCTTATATACCTTTTATCTATAAAAAAAAATATATTTAAAATTTTATAGACTTAGGGCCGTTTTCTCGACCGCCTGTTAAATTAAAAACAAGCTTTAAACCCTAATTTCCCATACGATTTCTAGGTTTTAGGCTTACTTTACATTTAACAAACTAAATAGAAGACTTGCCTTAATAAATTTAAATAATAATAATAAATAATTTTACATTTCTTAAATTATTCGTTAGCACTTACAAAATTAGGGTGACCCTTTAACGATCTCCGCACAACTGTTTCTCAGCAGAGTGTTGGTCACACTAGGCAGCTACAAAAAAGCGCGAAGAGTCTCAATTTGGACAAAGTTAATGCGAAATAAGGGAATTTGCGAGGGATCATGGAGACGCCGACAGGTAGTGGGTGCTCCACGCGATCCGCTCGCGTGGCCACTCCACGCCTCTCGGAGCGCAAGCGGCAACTGTTCGGCAGTCCGGGCGCCAGGCTGCGCAAGATCAACGATCGCGACCACGACGAGAATGAGGATGAGGACGTAGACAGTCTGGGTATCTCGCCGCTCAAGCCTCGCGTGGCGGCCAACAAGCAGGGCAGGAGTCTCTTCCCCAAGGGGAAGAGTGGCCAACCGAGGGTCACTTCCAACAGCAGTCCGGAAACCAACAAGGAGAACAAGAGAGCCACCCGTGGCGGAGTCGTCGTGGCTGCCACGGCGGAGCAACTGCCTCAGTTGTTCACCACCACCATGCGTCTGAATAGCAACAGCAGCAGCAACAACAGTCGCAACAGCACTCCCCGCACACCCAAGATGCGAGCCAAGCGCGCTGATTCATCGATGTCCTCGCCCACCTCCTCCTCCTCCTCGGTGGGATCGCCATCGCAGGAGATCAGGAGGAGCTGCAGACGCAGTCCTCGAACCGGGAATGCCCAGAGGAATCAGGAAGACCTCTCTTCACCGGAAACTTTCCAAAAGCGTCTGAGCAAGGTGGCGGCCATGATGATGAAGCGGCAGTTCTCCAAATCCGATGGGGGATCACCAAAAGGAAGGCACTTAAAGACCACCGCCCAAGTCCATACCATCAAATCGAAGAAGGCGAGCCCGGAAAGCAGCTCTAAACGAAGGAAATCTCCCATTAGAGTGTCGGATTCTGAGGATGAGCAACCACCAATAGGTAAAACCTTTAGGAAGAGTAGGCAGAGGAACTCCTCGTCAAAGGAAACAGACAGCAGCAGTTCCAAGCCATCTCCCAAAGTACCTACCACTAAACCAAAACCAGAGACTCGAAGTAGGAATCCAAGAAGTCCTATTGAAATGGATGTTATTGAAACCCCAAGCACCAGAAGAACAAAATCCCCAGTAAAAGTATCCCCTTTGAATAATGAAGAAACAACCTCAATGGAGAAAGCTGGAAAAAGTAGCTCAGAGATGGTTAAAAGCCCAGAAAATAGCCTAACATTACCACCTGAAGCTCCCGCTTTAAATGAAGAAGCTGCCAGTCGCAAGACCCTCAAGCGAGGACATTTAGAAACCTTATCCAGCCTAACAGCTTCTTCAACGGAGTCCGATTCTGGATCCCCACAAAGCAAGATGCGCAAGATGACGCTAAAGAGCAGCATACCCACCGTGGCCTTCTATTCTCATGGTGGTGGAGCAACTACCGCAAAATCCAAAAGCTCGCGCAACACACCCAAGAACCTTATTCGACGACCCACTAAAATCTCGCCAGTTTCCCGTCCCGTTTTGGGTATCAATAAGGGAGTTCGCCACAAAATACGCAAGCCCCACAGTCTGCCCACTCGACTGCCGGCCACCGATTTGGACAACATTCTCAACTCCCTAAACAACGAAAGGCTGAAGAACCTGATCACCACCAAGCGAGAGGAACGGGCCAAGGTCGAGGAAGTCCATCAGATCTTGCGCAGTGCCAGGGATCCCATCAAAATGGCCAAACCATTGAGTGTAATAGAAGCCGATGATGCTAATAATAATAATAATGTTAATCCAGAGACCAAGTGGCAAGAGATCTCGGCCGACTTCTCCGACCTCAGTGACGACGAGGACAAGGCGCTGATCGAGGATCCCTTTATAGAGCTAGAGCCCATCATACCGATAATTCGACACGAGCCGATCCAAAAATCGCCACCCGTTGAGCCGACGGATCTCAGCAAGCGCAAGTTCTTCAAATCGGGACGGCGAAGCAGCACTTGCATGGAGGTGCGGATCACGGACAACATCCGAGCCAGCGTCAGCCAAGGAAAGATCGCTTTGGTCCAAACTCCACGCCGGAAACCGCGACAAGTGCGTGTTAAGTCCTCCACGATCTTTTCCGCAGAGCAGGCTACCGTAGATGCGATTTTAAAGAACTTGGACGACACGGTGGTGGATGAGATTGTGGAATCAAAGCCGCCGCTGTCGCAGATTACGGCCATGAAAGCGGAGGACATACCCATGGAAACGGAGTTCCCAGCGGATATAATTGAGTATGCACCAGAAACTACCGATGCAATTATCGATCCATTCGCCGAGTTTCGTCAGCGTTTGCCTTATCAAACCGATGATCCCGAAGTCGTGGAGCAGCAGCAAATCCTACTCGAGTTCCTCATCAGCAACAACATTTGCACTGAGGAGAACTTTGAGATTTTCATCGCGAATCCGGACAACCACAAGGAGGAGGCCAATCGGATTGTCGACGAATTGTATTTGGTGGTGAACAGCGAAGAGGCAGCGCAGCTGGCTCAAATGGAAGAACCGCTGGAACCAGTGATGGATCAGGATCCTCCTACAACGGAGGAAGTCCAGCCACGGCTATTTCCCATTTTCACGCAGCGCTTGCAGCCCGTTGTCCAGAAATCCATGCGTCGTCGGCCGGATACCTCGATGAGATTGCTATCGGCGGCCGGGGGATCCAATCAATACCAGATCGACGCAGGTCAGAAGGCTTTTGGCGCCCGGCAGTGTCAGCAGTGCGGACTGGTGTACACCGTTCACGAACCGGAGGAGGAGCAGCTGCATCGCGAGTACCACAACTCAATCCATGTGCTGCGATTCAAGGGCTGGATCGACGAGGACATTGTTGCCGTTTATCCGGAATGGGCCAGCGATGGTCGGATTATACGGATAAACGAACGGTCACCGGCTGCGCGACTGGAGAGGCTGAGGGACCTCATCGGAGTGGTGGACAAGGAGCTGGGCTATTCCTCGTACATTGTGCCAAAGATCTTTGTGGCCTTCATGGCGGTGCGGAAGCAACAGATTGTGGGTTTCTGCCTGGTGCAGCCCCTGTCGCAGGCCCATCGGTTCATCCAGGTGGACGGCACGGATTACTTCAGTGAGGAGAGCTACCCGGCGAGGTGAGGAAGCTTATTTTTATACTCGTTGCTCGTAGAGTAAAAGGGTATATGGTATTCGTGCAAAAGTATGTAACAGGAAGAAGGAAGCGTTTCCGACCCTATATAAGTATATATATTCTTGTCCATCCGTCTGTCCGTCTGTATAAACGTTCAGATCTCGGAAACTACAAAAGATAGAAGGTTGAGATTTCCCACACATATTCTTGGGCTTCCTACGCAGCGCAAGTTTATTTCAGCCGAGCGCCACGCCCCCTCTAAAGCCCACAATCGCCCACTAACGATTTTAAAATGTGTTTAACGCCCACACCTTTAAAGACTTCAGAGAAGTATAAATGCAATTTTCGGACCATTTATTAAAAAGTTATGCGCAATCAAAAAATTGTATATATCCATCTCCCTCGCACTCCCTTTAACTATTAGATAGTCGGGACATCAACCCGACTATAGTGTTTTCTCTTGCTTTTATTAAATCACCATCTAACCTTTTGCTTTTCCAGTTGCGGTGTGTCACGCATATGGGTTTCGCCACTGCAGCGGCGCAGCGGAATTGCCAAGAAGCTGCTCAGAGTCGTCCAGTGCCACACGGTGCTTGGCCAGGAGATCGCCAAGGAGTGGATCGCCTTCAGCACGCCCACCGACGATGGCCGGGCTCTGGCGCGGTATTTTACCGGGTTGGATAACTTTCTGACCTACGACCAGTGATGGGGGAAAACGGCTATTGAATAGCTGAATTATTTTTGAGTTAGGATTGCTTCGGAACCTGGAATAGTTGATAAGTAAATGCGATTATGTTACAAGCGGCGAGAAGGACGCGGCATTTATTTTGTTTTCATTGGTGGGTCTGAATATGCCCGTTTTTTATGCAATAAATTTGGATTTCACACCTTTGGATAGCGTTAATTTGGAAAATATACAATTATTGTTTCATATTAGACTTTTTTAAGGGTGGGGCTGGCTAAATAGGTTCTGGTAAAGTCATTCAAAAGAAACTTGAAATAAAGTTTTTTCTCGCTTATTTAAGTTTATAAAGAATTTATATTTCTTACAGAATTAGTTTTAATACAAACATTTTAAAAAAAGGTTTTTGATTTATATTTTATTTTTAATTAAGTGCCCAAATGTATGCAACAAGTTATTTCTTGCATGCTCATTCGCGATCGATAAATTGTTATCGATCGCTTGCAACCCTGCGGCCTAGCCAACAAGTGCCACCACTAGCTAACTGAGCCAGGCTTTGGGCGTTGTTTTCGTAGCTGCAAAGTGGCTGAAATTAATACCTTTTGGGACTCTAAAAAGTTAATACACTTGAATGGGACTTGTGCCAAACTCAGTCAACTCCAATCTTGCGCAAATGGTGAGTGCAGTTTATGTTTTTAACTGGGTAAATCCGAGGCTGCTGGCCAAGTTTGCTTTGGTGACGCCACGCCCAATGTGACAAATAGGAATCCGAATCGGTGGCAATTGGTTTCGGGGTGCAAGTGTGGCAAGCAGCGTGGTGGTTGAACCATGGTTACCTTTTGTTCCCTCCTTTCAGACAAGTGAGCCTTGTGCAGCAGGCTATTGACCGCGTTTTCAAGTACCACACCCCTAAAAGACTATGTCCACAATCGAAGAGGAACGCAAGGCGTACGAAAAGAATCCCTACTTCACCGGCCACATCTACGGCAACTTCTCGCCGTTTTATGTGACCATCGCCATCTGCACGGTTGTCCTGGGCACAATCATCATACTGAACATCATCCTAGGCTGCTGCTCCAAGCACCGCAAGTACTGGCAGGACAGGCACACGGGCAACCGCTGGTTGGTTTCCATTTGGTCCGCCACGCCCCACAACCAGCCGCCACTGGATTTCACTGAACTGAAAGACGCCTCCTACTTCCAGCGTTTCCATGTGAGTGAATATAGAGATCTTCTTTGTTAGGTCTAATTGGGTCTTAAAAAATGCTCCCTGAAAATTTCTTGTCCGATATATCAAAAATTCTTAAATCAAACTAATTATTTTCTCTCTTGAACTCAAATAAGTTTTTAAGATATAGCATATTGTTTTGTAAATTATCACGCCTGTTCATATTTTTACTCTCGACTAATTTTGTCGGACTTAATATTTTGAAAGCGTTATAGAAATTAAATAAATTTCTAAATAATTTTCGTTAAGAAAAACCTTTAAAAACCTGTTAAATATTAACAAGTCTGCAAATTCGAATTCTGAAAACCGGAGAATTTATCATAAAAACCAATTAAATATTTCAAAGTCGAGATGTTAGTTTTGCTCTCCTGTTATAGCTATTAAAAAAATAACTTTCCTTTTCTAAAAAAAAACCAAAAATGGTTAGAAGAAAAAAATATATAATTTTTTTTTTTAATATTTAAATGATATAGTATTATTAAAGGCACATTTTTTACATCTTCCCGACCTTAAAAATATGATTTTATAAACATGATAAATCAAAAAACATTCTGAATCAAACTTTTTGGTCCTTCCAGCCCACTACTCATCAGCAAGTGTTCCCCGACGACGTTGTGATTGGCGTTGACGACTTGGAGCCCGTGCACTCGGCTCATCATCACCACCAGCAGCAGCAACACCAACGACCACCGCGTCCCGAGGGTCGTACTCTGCACCAGCAACGACAACGCGAGGAATACGTGGAGCTGCAGAAGCGCGAGAGCGACATCTAAGTTGTAATGGCTCTATACTTCCTTTATCCCGCCGTGGCCGCCATCGCCCTGTTCATCGTAGGCGTGATCATTGTCATGCTGCGCTATGGACCCCGTTTGTGCGGTCTGCGCCACCATGCGTTGCCGGACGACGACGACCTGCGGGGGAAGACGTACGAGCATGAGATTAGCTATGCTTAATCTCCTTCCGGGGTGTCCCAGAAACTTCCTCCAACCAAAAGTGCCCCAGAAACCGCTTCACATTTCAGTAAATATTTTAGGATCAACAGAATAGTAGGCTTGTTTCTATAGTCCGAGTTCTGGGGCACAACAAATTTTTCTTTGAAATTTTTTCAACAAACATCCGCAAAAATAATTTAAGATTTATGGACACTCCTCTTTATAATTTACATACTTCTTACACCAGCCGGCAATGTTACGAATTGCTTCTTATATATCTCCCTAAAACTAATCCTAGCTGCTGTAAGACCCCACTAACCCTTCTGCACCCAACAACCATAATTATTTTGCATGCAGTACAAATAGCTTCATTAGCAACTAGTTCTGTTCGAGCCGTTTCCATTCCATTAATCACAATCAGACAATGTGCCTTCAATGTAGAGACTCGTGAGAAAATTATACCGTCCAAGTGTCTTTTAGTGCCGTAAGATCGAACTGTATTTAAATGTAATGGTTTATACCCTTTTTGGGTAGTCTACAGATGCTGCATTTAATGTTGTCCAATATTTTTATAAAACATATCAGTGTCTTGCAACTACAACAGTTAATGCAAACTCTATACATTTGTATTCGTCCATTTAGTTTTCTAATATTGTATTCTGAAATGACATCAAATAAAGCTTCAAGTTACGGCAAATAAAAGTAAATCTGTTTGATTAAAAAATTAATTACCATTTCACTTAATCATAAGCAAAGTTTCTGTTAAGAAAATTAGTCAAACAATTGAGCGGAATATATTTCTAGTTTATAAATTTCACAGATAATAATTTTTAATCGCAATATGCTAAATAACAATGTCTTATTCAATAGAACATTCTACGATAGTAATAGAAATTAATACAAAGCATTCGGAGTAAGGTATAAGTACAAAGGAATCGAATAACTATAGATGCAGTAAGTTAAAGTTAGGATCTACTTCTTTTTAGAGGCCTTTTTAGGGTGCTTCCGCACATGGCGATCCGCTTGTTTTCCGGGAGCGACCAATTCATAGCGAAAGATAATGCAACGCCGGTCAAAGAAGGTCTTCAAGTCCTTGGGATCGTACCGATGACCCATCTGCTTCAAGTATAAATAGACTTCCTGCAGATCAATGGGCTCGTACATGAGAACACTCTCGTGCAGTTGCGGATTGGCGCAGAGAAGGTTGTGCCAGGCGATGTGGAGTGGCACCAGCGGCTGTGCCGTCTTCTTGGAAACGTTCGTTTGCGTGACAAAGGTCTCGAAATCATCGCAAAGACTCGGCGGAAGTGATTGGGAGAAACGCAGTAGCTCCTCGCCAGAGGCATCTTTAAATTTGAAATCCTTTTTCGGCTCAGTTGGCGTCAGGGAGGCTTCTGTTGTTGATTTCTTTAGTTTTGAGCGGGGTTTCTCCATCATTACGGGAGTTGATTTGGAACGGACAATGGGCTCTGTTCTGGTTGGCAAAGCCTGCATTATAGGATGCGTTTGATTGTAGATAAATTCTAGCATTTTCACGGCCTGTTTGCGTTTCAGTGGTTTTATGCCGTAGTTGTAAAGCCGCTGTAGAATCTCTGATTCCGAAAGAGTAGTGAAATCTGGCTTGGGGGTATTACAAACTCGTACGGTGTAAATATTTCCATCTACCTCCACCTGGTCTGGTACATCCAAAGATTGCTTCTTTGGCTCTGGAGTTGCCGTGGTTTTAATCTCCCCCTTTAACAAAAGATCCAGACCACTGGGCATGACATTTTCCTCAGCAGCAATAGCGGCGTCCTTTATGTTTTGAAAAACCATCTGATCGAATTCATCAAAGTCGTCATCAGAATTGTTTTCAGGCTTGCTTACTTTCTTCAGCAGTTCATTGAATTTGTGGCTACTCCTGCGAGGCAACGGCTTTACGGGTGCATCTAAAAACGAAGCTTCTGCCCAGTTGATTTGGCTATTTGATGGGGAGTCTCTTTTGACGGGGCTCTGGAGATCAGACAAACTAAACGGCTGGGATGGAGCAGCATCTAGAATGCCAAACTCAGCACGCTCCTTGCTAAGAGCACTCTTGTTGGGGGAATGTGAACTTTGTGACCCCTTTCCGTCCGTTGAGAAACCCATTAAAAAGGCATCCAGATCGTCTTCAGTTTGGAAATGTGGAACAGCACGTTTTTTGGTTACCGGAGAAGCGAAGCAGCTGTTTGAGCTGTCGTCCTCAACCTTAACCGTCTTATTGGCCTTCCAGATGGAGTAATTGATTTCCTCATCGGACAGCAGAACCACATCGTCGTTTTCGTCCTCGCTGTTTTGAGTCAAATCCACACTGGCATCCGATTGTCTAAAGGGTGAGGCCACAGGCGATACCCTCTTCTCAGGTGATAGGTTCATTTTCCAATTTAACAGGCTCTTAAAGCTGTGATCTGTTGACAAACTAATGCTCCTTTGCATTGAGTTCTTCGAGAAGTTCAATTCACTAAAGCTCGAACTGCGCTGAGTGTCATTTGGAGTGGTAAGAATATCCAAACGAAATGATGACTGCTCGGAACTCGTTGTGTCTTTTTCGGCGGTAAAGCAAAAGTTATCCTTATCTTCATCTACTTTCCATAGCGGAATTGTATCCACCTTTGCATACTTTAAGAACAACTCTTTGGAAATGGGACATCTTTCCTCCTGGGAACTGAAACTAGTGCCTGTTTCAGATGATTCTATTTTTGGGGTTGGTTCATTAAACTCTGCCATTTCTAACTCTTGGGTTAGATCAATAAAGTCATCATTGGGTTTGTCTGGAAAATAAAATGTAGTTATAATTTTGTTTATTAAAACTCTACAAATCACTTACCTTCAAAAGAAATCGTCGCCTGTGTAACGTTGAAAACAGTCTTTACTAAAGCAAAATTAAAATTCAGTTTAGAATACATTATCTCTCTCCTTAAATCTAAATTCTCACCTTCATCACTGGAACTAGAGAACACTTCATAGGTGGTTATTTGACTAGCTTCCTCAATGCTGGATTTAATTTCAAATTCTTTAACCGGAGAAGATTTTTCACTTATACTGTTGTTCTTGTAGACCCTCATGGAAAGTTCCTTAACTTCTTTGGGTTCGTAGGATATAGAAGGCGTTGCTATATCCGGTTCATCATCAGAATCTGCAAAGAGATCGGGGGAGGTGCAGCGCGTAGTTTGGGTGGGAATGCTTAAGCTGGCTTTTGAGGTTGTGGGTTCGAGGTTTTCTTTATCAACCACTCCCATCCTTGGTCGCTTATCTGGCGGTTCTTTAGAGGGACTGCTACTATTCGACGACATTTCGATCTCCACATTATCGCCCACTTTGGAGTCATCTTCGATCATGTTCTCGGCCACCATCTTTTCCAACTCATCTAGTTCCTCGGCCACTTGTTGTTCCAATCTTTGTTCCTCTCCAAAATGCTTTTCCAACTCCGCATAGACCAGTTCAAGTTGCTGCCTCAACTGGCGGGATTTCGGCGTTTCACGCTCTGGAGATAAATCTCTTCCCTGTATGGCAGCAAAATTCTTGAGAAGATGGTGTGCAGGCGTTTGACTAACTTCAACCAAGTCAGTTACGTAGTATACGCTTAAATCAATGGCACCTTCGCTCGGTTCTCGAAGGATTTGAGATTCTTTTTTAACTCTTAGTGGCTGAAGGAAAGAACTGATTACTGTGTAGGGCGTTATTAAACCCTCAGGTTCCTTCGTGCGCTTTTGTTGAGCCAGTAATGCTGACACCTTCTCCTCCAGCTTCTTCTGTTGCACTTCGGGATTGCGCAAAGTCAGGGCAGTGAACTTATTGGCCCACTTGCCACGTCGGCCTCCTTTTCCAGCCATTACAGGCAGCATCGCAAGGGATTTGTAATCTGAAAATTAATGATTATGAAAGGTATAAGCGGAATTTCTCTCTTAATAAGGCAAATAATTTCAACTAACCCTCCTTGGCGGCTGTGCGAAAGCCATACTTCTGCAGTTTGAGCCGTATTTTCTCCGTTTTCTCCACCTCATCATCCATGAGGTCCACCACTGCATCCTCCTCGTCGTTCAGGCGCAGGCGTCCCTGCTTCTCAGCCTCCGACTTCGATAGCGCCAGCGCCATTTCAATGTCATCCGGACTGAAGTTGTCGGCCATGCAGTGCTGGGCGGTTACCTCGGCGAAGATCTGCTCGTTTCTCAGGAAGTTACTGATGCTGGGCTGTTGTTTGCTCTTCCCGCGTCCTCGACGGGAACCACCAGTTGATGATGATCCACTGCTCCCCTTGAGTTTGGGTGCCTTTTTGGGCTTGGGTCCGGGTTTTTCGAACACATTGCTGGCGCGTATGGGTTTGATTTTGGGTGCCGGGGGATCAGGCTCTGCGGGAATGGCAGATGGAGATGCATCCTCGGGTGGGGCAAAAAAACTGGATAGTGATAATAAATCAGCAGATGTCTTGGTGCTCCGCGTCGATCTTCGGATGAGAGGAAAACAAAGTGTTTGGTTAGAGAACTACAAACATTTTATTGATGAACAAGCTGAACAAGAATTAAAGTTACCGAGGCTGCAGGTTTTTAAAGTTCGCCCGCCGCGTCTTGCGATCCATTATAGATTCCTCTGCTCCTCGCTCTCCTTGAGCGCCTCCTCGATGAATTTCGCAGTCCTCGGGGCGCCAAAGTCGAAGAGTCCCTTCCTGTCGCGCTCCTGTTCCGTTTGAGCCACCGCCTGGGACAACTTTTCGTTGGCAATACGCTGAATGGGCGTTAAACTAGAAGGGGATACAGGTTAAAACCCTATTTATCAGAAATAACTCCATAGATCACTCACCTCCAAATTCCGAATAAAAGTGATCCACCGGCCAACAGGGCGTAGGCAAATCGATTGCGGTACGTAAAGGATGGTGTGCCGTGGGTGCGTCTGGGCTTCCGCTTGGTGGTGTCAACAGGATCCATTGCAAATGCCTCTGGGTTATATAATTAAATACATTTTACCCGGTAAAAATCAAGAAAACATGCTTCAACTTGGCGTTGCTGGTCTAGGGTTGCCAGGTTTGCCGAATAAAATCAAAACAAGTTTAAATATGATGAAAACTACGGGAAAAATTATGTTAAATTCAGCAATTCAAGTTTCGATTAAGTTTATAAATAAAATTTCTTAAATATAGTTAATAAAGGTCTATTAAATTGGTGATTCAAATCATTGTTAAGGGTATTCCCTCTTTCATGGAATTCGTTTATGTTTGAATTTAGGTTGACTAGTTGCCGAAAGTTCATACAGCTTTTTAAATTTTAATTACAATTAAAATAAAATGAAGTTGAAATAAAAATTGTATAAAAACATTTTCAAAAGGAACACCCTTATTACCGTCCAGCTGTTTCAATGCACCTGCAGCCGAGTCGACAACCCTGCCCCCGAAGCGAGTTGGCAGCCCCCGCCAATGTATATGCGTAATTAACGGTAATTAACGGCAGAGAAAACAATTTAGTTTCATTCGATTCCGAGATTCCGAGCATCAACAAAGTGTGGGTGCACACGTCACTACTGATTTGCATAACAGAACGAACTTCGGCTGCAAGTGGAGTGTGAAAACTGATAGTCGACAACAACATAAGGCGTAATCCAAGCAGACAACAACAACTACAACTATCTGAGTTAGACAAAGGCCACTAGTGCGAGTACAGTAAACAAAAACAAAAGCAGCGAGATAAGCGAAGGAGGACAAAGCAGAAGAGTTCAACTCGCCCGTTGGCAGAAATTGATACAATTATTTTGCAGAAACGGCAGAAAAAAAACAAAAACAGCAGGAAATCAGAAGAGGCGGATTAATCATCGTACATTTTTCGATACGCCCATCGGTTCCCAGTTCCAATCGCTGGTCAGTACGGATTGAGCCAGCCGTGAGTTGAGATGGCGCGCGAGGACGAGGAACGCATCGTGGACAATGAGGAGGTCTCTCATCCGGCGGAGGAGGATGTGGTGGCTACCGGAGGACGCGGAAATCGCCGGGATAACGAACTAAGCCTGCCCTCCGGTGGCTGCTGCATGCCCTCCAGCACCAGTCACCGTTTCATGGCGCTGGTGTTCATGTGCCTCCTTGGATTTGGTTCCTACTTCTGCTACGACAATCCCGGCGCCCTGCAGAATGTCTTCAAAAGGGATCTCCACCTGAGCTCCACCCAGTTTACGCTCATTTACTCCATCTACTCGTGGCCCAATGTCGTCCTGTGCTTCGTGGGCGGCTTCCTGATCGATCGTCTCTTTGGGATTCGCTTGGGAACCATCATCTACATGCTGATCCTGCTGGTGGGCCAGCTAATCTTCGCCTGCGGCGGCATACTGGACGCCTTCTGGATGATGATCCTGGGCAGGTTCATCTTTGGCATTGGCGCTGAATCGCTGGCCGTGGCCCAGAATAGCTATGCTGTGCTGTGGTTCAAGGGCAAGGAACTCAATATGGTCTTCGGCCTGCAGCTTTCGGTGGCCCGTTTCGGGAGCACCGTCAACTTTTGGGTGATGCAGCCCATCTACGACTTTGTCAGCAAGTTCTACCAGGGACACACCGCTCTGGGCGTCGTCCTGCTGCTGGCCACGCTCACCTGTGTGATGTCCATGATCTGCGCCCTCATCCTCGGCTGGATGGACAAGCGAGCGGAGCGGATATTGCAGCGCAACACCAATCCGGCTGGTCAGATACCCAAGCTCACGGATGTCTTCTCGTTCAAGCCACCCTTCTGGATGGTCTCCATCATTTGCGTGGCCTACTATGTGGCCATTTTTCCATTTATTGCGCTGGGTCAGAACTTCTTTGTCGACCGATTTGGTTATACGCCGGCCCAGGCAAACACTGTGGACTCGCTGGTGTATCTAATTGCGGCCGCCTCGTCACCCATTTTTGGTTTCATCATCGACAAGCTGGGCAGGAATGTGACCTGGGTGTTTACGGCCACGCTGACGACGATTGGAGCCCATGCCCTGCTCACGTTCACCCAATTGACACCGTATGTGGGCATGACCATCATGGGACTCTCGTATTCCATGCTGGCCGCCAGTTTGTGGCCCCTGGTGGCGCTCATCATTCCGGAATACCAGTTGGGCACCGCCTACGGCTTCTGCCAGTCCATTCAGAATCTTGGCCTGGCCGTAATCACCATTTTGGCCGGAATAATCGTGGATCACAGCGGCGGCGAGCACATGTGGCTGCAGCTGTTCTTCATGGGCTGGCTGACCATCGCCCTGATCGCCACCGGCGTCATCTGGGCCTACAACAGCAAGCACCGCGGTAATCTCAACATGACGCCCCAGCAACGGGCGCAGTTCGTCAGCGCTGAGAATTATCAGAATTTTGAATAGAAGAGGAGAGGCGAACGGAACCCGCAGATCGGATTATTATCGGTTATTTAGTGTAGACATAAAGTTATTCCCTGCGGGCTACGATGTGATGATGATGTGTGATGTGCGTCTCGAGTCGCAAATTGGTATTTACTAACTGCAATTGTTTGTCATCCGACGGCGGGGAGATATACAATACGCCCTGATCGGCCCTGAATCATTATTGATGCGGATTCGAGCCCGATCAGGCCGGCTATATGCTATTTACGCTATGTATTTTTAGAGCAATTTATTATTACAGTTACCGCATGTTTTTGTGTCAACGTTTTACAAATTAAACTAAAATTAAATCGAAACCCAAAAACCAATTAATTGTCTAATATTAAACCGCAACTCATTTAAAGACTTGTGCGCCCAGGGCGAAGATTTGGTATATAATTGTAAATATTTATCTCATTCGATTTGTATCGATCGTTACTAGCATTTTTACTATGTCCTGGTGTAATACAAAGTAGTTAAATCTCCGTCTTGAAAACTATGTTTATAAAATGCCTCACTTGCAAATAAAAAGTATGTAAATTACAGAATATATTTCAATTTATCCAATGAGAAATAAACAAACGAATATATTTTCTTTTCAACTTTCAGTTCAATTGTAAATGATCTTATTTCGCAAAAAGCCGGCGTATAAACGTTGTACATATTTGCAAAAATTCCTAAGGCCCAATAAAAGCGAAGATTTATAGTAAAAACAAAATAATTATCTAAGTTACCGTTCTTTTGTTGTTTAAAACATCTTAACATCCGTCTTGAAAACAATGTTTCACTTGCAAATAAAAAGTATGTAAATTACAGAATATAATTAAATTCATCCAATGAGAAATAAGCAAACGAATATATTTTCTTTTCAACTTTCAGTTCAATTGTAAATGATTTTATTTCGCGAAAAGCCGGCGTCTAAACGTTGTACATATTTGCAAAATTCCTAAGGCCCAATAAAAGCGAAGATTTATGATTAAAACAAAATAATTATCTAAGTTTAAAACATCTTGATGTCCGTCCGCCGTTCCAGCACCTCAATGCACTGTTTGCTATCCAGGCAGAGCACATGCAGTTCCCGCAGAGGTTTTGTTTTCTCCTCCACCGATTGATTACTGCGCAGCGTTTCCAGCAGCAACAAAGCTGTGCCTCTAGCTGCCGTCAACAGCTTGCTGGCATCGTGTATTCTGGTGAAAGGTGTCAGGTTTTAGGTTTATTGTGCATAAAAGCATATTTCGGGATGACTCACCTCTTGAAGAGCAGCTCCGGTCGACGTGTATACTGTCCGAAGAGCGCAAATAAGTTTCTCGTCATGTCGTAATTGAACTGCGCTGCCCCCGCAGGCGAGAACTTCGTGTTCATCACCATGCTCTCGTGCATGAACTCATCGATTTGATGGGCTATCAAGCGCAGCGTCTGGTTGAACAGATTGGCGGACAGCTCACGCTCCAGATTGTGCAGCAAGGTGACGAGCACCTGGAACATTTCACCGCCACTGGGCGAAAGGATAAAGGGTTCCCTGCAGTTCTGCTCCGGCATTGTGGGCCACGCGTCATGGCGATAGCTCATCGATTTGGCCTTCATCTCGTTGGTCGCCTTCGTCGCCAGATTGCGTGTGAGTTGCCGCGACCAGTGTTCCAGCTCAGAAACAGCATGCTCAAACACGGAATTGATTTCCGGTGCATTTGGACCGGCGAGAGCCGCATGCAGGTGTAAATAATGCACATTTTCGCCCCATTCACGCAGCACCATTACCAAATAGTTGATGGCGTTCAGAACGGGAATGCTCGGAACCGCTCCACTGCTGTGCAGCTGCACCAACCGCCGGCGAAAGCTGTCGATCAGTTCCAGCTGCAGATGCAGGAACTGCAGTTGATGACCAGGCTGAATTAGCCCATAGTAGCGATCCTTAATGGCGTCCAGCAGTCGCATAAACTGATCCGCACACCTGGGGATTTTCAGATCGTCGTCGAAAGTGTTGGGATCAATTAGCTGGAACGGCGTCTCTGCCTGTAGAATATCATCCATTTTCTCCGCACAAACTAAGTAGGGAAATTATTCAACAAACTAAGCAATAAAGTACAGTGACCTCATCTCACATCGTTCTTCTAGAGAAATCCAGCGAAGCAAATACATGGGCTGAGTGATAACGGAAATGGCGCTGGGAAAACTGGCCGGATAACCAAATGTCTCTCTAAGCTCGGACTCAAAGGCCAGCGTCTCGTCCAGCAGATGGGCAAAGAGTATCTCGTCTTGGGCAATCTGTTCAATGTCCACCGCTAGTTTCTCAATGGTTAACTGCACCAGACCTCGCATAAACTCCAGCTAGAATAGATTAGCAATTAGCTTTCTTTATGATATAGTAGCATACTCTTTACTCACCCTTAAATTGTAGTCCAGCTTGCCCGCCTTCATGGCCGCTGGCTGGAATGTCTTGCCCACAAAGAAGTGCGTCTCCTTGCCCCAGTTGAGAATCTGCGTGTAGAACCACTCGGGCTTGTCCAATCGATTCGTTTGCCTTGCCCCTGTAAAGTGAAACGTGAATCGCTGGCGGTAGGGCGCCAGCAGGAGCTGCACCACCTGGTTGATGGGCTGGCACACAATGCTGGGCGTGATGCTAAGCAGCGGCGCATGCTCTTCGGCCGGGGATTTGATGAGGAACATGTATTCGGCCAGCAGCTGGGCCTTGGCAGTGTCCCGCGTGGGTGAATAGTTGAGGGCCTGCTGTTCCAGATGCGCCCAGCGCATGCTCTTCAGCACAGCCTCGAATTCGCTGGAAAGCCGCTTGAGGAGCAGCTTATGCCAGTAGATGGCAGTGCGTTCGGCAAAGGATATTAAGGAGTGCGCCTGGACGGCCTGCAGACGTCCCACCACGCTGTGCTCGCAATCGTTGCCCTCGTAGAGGGTTAGATAGATATTGACCAGCTTGGCCTCATCCTTGCCGTTGATGGCATTGCCCAGGGCGGCGCTGATCTCCTGGATGTCCTGGACGAGGCGCAGATACTGCGTCAGGCGCTGCAGCTGCCGCACATTGGCCACATCCTCGGCGACGCTCTCCAGGGCGGGCTGGCACTCCCTGAGCTTCTTTCTCAGCTTGACGCCGAACTGGGCCAACTTTTCCAGCTCAAAGTCGATGCTCTCGCAGACCTGTTGCTGGCACTGGAAGGCGGATTTGTAGCAGGACACGTTCTGGGCATCCTCGTAGTCGAGCTGGTGGTGTAGGAGTATTAAAAACATGAATTTTTCGTATAGTTTTTAACCTTACCGTTTGGGACAAGACTTGGAGGCGCTCCTTGTAGTGGGCGACTAGGTGACTGGCCCGATGCAGCTGGCTGGCATCCTTCCCAATCTCCTCGTTCAGTCGCGCCACTATGCGCAGCTCCATTTCGCTCAGCTTTGCATGCATTTTGGCGCAGCAAAGGCTAAAACAACATTTAAATTAAAGCTAAACGGGCCACGAACCACGTATAAAAATAAATAATTGGAATAGTGTGACCATGTTGTAAAAGCCGGAAAATCAGATTCTTACTGCCTACTTTGCCACTGCCTTTAATTAAATTCTTTGTAATTTTAAATTATAAAACACATGCTCTACTGTAATAAATAATTCTTCAGTAATTTCGGCTCATAAACCTAGTTATTTTATTACCTTCCGAACTTTCTGACCTCCCCTCGCATATGCGGTCTCACACAAGCCAGTGTGGCTGCTAATAGCCCTACGGTCACACTGCAGAAGCGGGCATTTGTTTAAATTGAACAGGTGTGGCGTCCTTTTCGTTTGAGGTCTTCTTAAGCTAAACTTGGCTGGAAAATGTTTACGCCCAGGCAAAAAGGACACGGAAATGGGTTCATTCCCTCGCCCCAGACCCCTCTGAGCTTCAGCCGGGAGCTGCGGCAAGTGCTGCAGGAGAGGAACCTCCTAACCGCCAAGTCGCGAAGGAAAGGTGAGCAAAATAAACGGGCGTCGCCAGGTGTTCGGGTCCTAATTGTTACTATTTTCCTTAGTTTGCTCCATGCTGGACAGCAACAGCAGCAGTCCCATTGGATCACCCAATCCGGAGTCGGGGAAACGATTGGGATTCCGGCGGCAGGCCATCCAGGAGATCATCTCGTCGGAAAAGGCGTATTTGGGGCAGCTGGAGCTGCTGGTGAACTTCTTTGTGCGGCCCCTCAAGGAGCAGGCCATCATCGATTGCTCCAATCACACCCTGCTCTTCGGTCAGATCGAGATGATTCACAATCTGAATGGGGAGTTCCTGAAGGAATTGGAGGCGAACATGGAGAATGTGGCGCAGGCCTTCCTCAAAATGGCCCCCTTCTTCAAGCTGTACTCGGTGTATGCCTTTGACTATCGCGGTGCTCTGTTCGTCATCCAGGACTTGATCAGCAAGAATCCGGTGTTCAGAAAGTTCCTGGAGCAGACCGAGAGTCGTCCGGAGGTGCAGCGCAAGCTGAACTCCCTGATGATTGTGCCCATCCAGCGGGTTCCCAGATACAAGCTACTTCTCGAGCAGGTGCTGCTCTACACAAGTCCTGCAGATGCGGACTACAGATCTTTGAAGGGTATGATCTAAGAAAGTTATCCTGTTATCCAATTAATAAGTTAATCCTTCCAGAATCCGTCAAGGAGATCGAGGCCACCGCCAGTCACATAAACACCTGCGTGGAGGAGCAGGAAATCACCCAGTATCTGATTCACTTGCAGAACTCTCTGGTTAATAGAACCCCCAATATTGTGAAGCCATCGCGACGCGTCATCAAGGAGGGCATCCTGCAGAAGATCACCCACAAGGGCACGGAAATCAAGCGGTACTGCGTTCTCATGTCGGACATATTCATGTACTGCAAGATGATCAAGGAACGAGCGCCCAATACCGTGGTGGAAAACTCTCTCGAGTGCTGCTGCATTTTTCCCCTGAAGAAATGCAAGGTGTACGAAATGCTGCCGGGCAACTTTAAGCTGACGTGCCAAAGTGATGGCATCATTTTTGGCAGTGGCGACGTGCAGCTGTCGCGCACTTGGGTGGGCTTCATCCGCGATGCCATAGATCTGCATGTACAGTGCCGGAAAACACTGCGAAAGGACTCGAGCAAAAGGACGCCCATACGCAAGAAGGACATGAAGAAGTTCGGAGCCGATTATGTACTGAGTCCCAACAACAAGCGCAAATGCGTGAGTACTTAGAAATCCAAGTGATAAGTTTAATGTTAATGTTTTATATTTATTACAGGAATATGAGACTGTTTTTCGCAACAAGAATCGCAGCACGGATTCCGAAGAGGAGACCGAGGAAAGTGCTTGCTTTCCGCGCAAGCGAAAGGTGCCCAGCGGCGCCTTGAGAACTCCAAATTCTAATTTAATGGGAAAGCCCATCGCATCCTCGTCAATCAAACGCGTAGCCCCACCACCACCTCCTCTTCCTGCCAACGCCGTGCAGCTGCGGCATCAGCAGGAAAGAGCTGGGGAGTCGTCCTGCAAGGAGAATCGCATCTCCAAGTTGTACAAGAAGATAGCTACCGGTGACAAGGTGGCCAATGTTCGGGGCATTCTCAAGCGCAGCAATGTGCCGGTGCCCAACAGCGACCACGATCCCAGCTATGGATTCGCCAGTCGCTACTCGGACTCCAAATCCTATTTTAGAGCCCACAATGTGGACAACACCATACCGACATTTGTGAAGCGAGAGGATCTGTTTAATGGCGAGAACATGTTTCCGGTACACTTAAGGAGCCACGAGGAGATCTGCTCACCGCCGCAGAAGAAGCGGGTCAAGTTCGACGAAACCTTGGATGCAGTGTCTCCGGTTCTGGACCAGAAACCCTTTGCATTCGCAAGCGATGGACTTGCCGAGCAAAAACCCACATCATTGCGTGAGCGAATTTATGATTTCTTTGCTAATCTATTCTAGAACTAGATGACATCAAACTAAATCGTATACATTATTCATTATTCGCTTACAACATTTATACACATCAATAAAATTATTAACAATTCTGATCATTAAGATTGTCTCAAATGGCAGATCTTTTGCATAAAGTCACCCACAGCTTCTTCGCTAATCTCCTCCAGCCAACTGCCATTTCGCTTAAAGTGCGAACCAATTATGACTGCTTGGGCATCCTTGAAGTAGCTACCGATGTTATCTTTGGTAACGCCGGAACCAATTATCAAGGGAACCTTTACCCGGCCCGATAGCTGCTGCAGATCTTCCGGACTGGCTGCATGACCCGTTGCTGTTCCCGTGATGATAATGCCATCGGTGAGGAAGAACTCTGCCGCGTGGGCTGTTTCTAGGAGACTGACATCACCAGTTATCGCATGGGAGCTGTGTTTCTTCTTAAGATCCGTAAAGATCAGTACATCCTCGGCATCGATGAGCTTGCGGTATCGCAGCAAATCCCCCGCACAGGCATCTGTGTAGCCCTCATCGGCCACATGACCAAAAACGAATCCCTCACTGCGGATGAACTGCAGCCGACTGGCTTTGGCAATGGCCAAGGCTTGTTTATTGCCGCAGGCGAGGACCTGAACACCACACGGAGTTTCCTGGGGGATCACATCCCGCACTGCCTGTCCCAGTCGAGTCATGCAGGCCACTATCTCGGGGCCAATGAGACGCTCTGGTATGTAGGGAATATCGTGCATATTCTCGATGAGCACGGCATCCTGTAGGGGAAATTCAGGAGTTTTAACTGGAATTTATTTTAACTATTGTATATCCTACCAGTTGATGTTTCTTGTAGAGATTGGCCTCGTATACGGCCTTCTCAATCGTCTCCTTCCAGTTGCCGGCGTATCGTGGTGTTCCTGATGTTGTGGTTCCGGATTAGTAGGAAATCAGTTCGGTTGTTTGCGCTTTCTTGGAGCTTCTCTCACCTGGCAGGGCATTTACGTGTATCATGCCGATTACTTTGCATGTTTGCTGGTTGAATACTTTCAGAAAACGTTGCATTTTTGAATTTAATGATTTTAAATGGAAGGTTATGGTAAATAACAAAAATATTTTTACCGGCAAACAGCTGATAAGCATACCAGGGATGGAATGAGGTGTTAGAGAATTTGTTTATGATTTTTTTTTGCAATTTAATTTGCGTAATTTAAATATTAATAAAAAAATCAAAAGGAAAATTTTTAAATTTTTTTTAAATTTATAAATTTAGTTAATTTTTTAGTTTTTAATTAATCTACTTTTTTGAATTTTCAAATAACAATGACCCGGAAGTATTTCGTATAAAATTATTTTAAATTTTTGGTAATAACATTAGATTTTATTTTTATTTAAGACCCGGAAGTATTTCGAATTAAAAATATTTTGAATTCTTGGTCATAATATTGTATTTTATTTTTATTTAAGTATGTAATTAAAAAAAAGGTGGTTAATTTTTGTAGGAGTATTCCGAGTCAGAGAAGTACGTTCTGAACAGTAGTGAATTGTTTGAGCCAGGATTCAAAACAAAGACCTCACGAAAAGGCACTTTAAATAAATGGGGAGTGCAAACGAAAACAATTATGACACTCGGGCGGAACAATAAAGGCGGCTATCGCCTGACATGGCATGGCAACAGAAATAGGACTGAAAATAGCCGGGCAACAGCAACCGGGAATAGGAACTGGGGAAATCCGCCTACAAAGTCGCCGAACGGAATGAAAGGCTTCCCATTTGGGCTGTTCACAGCTTCTGTTGTTCCTGTCGCCACTCTATTACATTGTTTCAGGAGCGAGGCGCCCGTTGTCCTCGAGTTTGATTTGGTCGGGATGGGGTCTACATATATAGAAGCTATATGGGATGGGCATAAAAGGGGACTCGTGCCCACTTCTGAATGCCAGTGCTTAGCGGAAACGGCGTCGTTCGTTCGCTGTGCGCGACAGAATTTCAATTATCACAGCGTGCCATTTTCCCTTCGGCCTCACCTTCGATTTCCATGAACACCACAACCCACAATCCACACCCATTCCATTTTCCCCATTTGTTTGTTTGCTCGGCATTGTTTTCCCGCGTTTCGATGTGTGTGCATTGCAAGTCCTTTGTGCAAGTAACAATTGTGCTTTGTCCTGTTTACAATATGTAAAAACGATTGTTGTAATGGACTCCACTCATGCGGGTCCATTTGATCGAGTTCCTGTGTTTGAGCCATAAAAATGTGCAATCTAATTGAATTTTGTTTGGCAATTGATTGGCCAACAAGGTCAGGCACTCTTTAGCACGGTGAAAAATAGGGATAACAAATATCAATTACTCAAAAATATCTAATTTTTACTTATTAAAAAATGTTCATAAAGTGAAAATATAAATCTAAAAAAATAAACCTGATGGAATTTAATTTCCTAGTGGTTTGTTAATAAAATCGAATTTCTTTCTCAAATTCCAGCTCGTTTTACCGCCTCCCAAAGGACCTGAACAAACATCCCAGGCAGAGTGGAAACTCTTTACCTGTTTGGCAAACAGTATAAATAATTTATAATCTGAGCCGAGCGTCCTTTCGCACTTCCAGCCCACTTCCGCCCGCTGCCCTCAGCTCCCATTTCCCAGCTGGTCCGCAGGACCTGTGTCCTTTGGTGTCGACTCACATGTGTGTACCCACTTTGTTCGGCTTGTAGTTGCAACAAGTTGTTTCCGTGTTTGCCTTTTGTCCCCTGCCCTTGATTATGCGTGCTGCAAACAACCTACATCTGTGTGTTTGTCTGCGCCGCACGGAGGTGGTAAACAGAAAACATAATGTGCAGGATATCCTCCCCCTGCCAAAACCCCCATCAGGACCCTAGTTTTCTAATTAGCTGGACGAACGGAGTAGAAGATAGAAGCACTAAAAGAAAAATGTAAGAATTAAATACACTAATTTTTTATGCTTATCTAGAAAAGGCGTACAAAAATAAAAATATAAATAATACCTACATAAAATTATTATTATTTATTTTTATTTTAGAAATTTAGATATAATTTATAAAATTAGGTCTAAGACCCTTGACTTTTATAGATTTTTATAAAATTTAAGTCAGTTTGCCATTAAGTTCTTCAGTCTATTTTACTTAACGAGTTCAGGTTTTACTGAAAACTATTAAAATTTCCCCTTTTTCTTTAGTGCTGAATATAGCAAACTTTAATGCTGACGAGGCCAAAGAACCAATTACTGACCAACTGATGAAAGTTGGCCAAAGGGAAAAGCTTCTCGAATTCGCACTAATTAAGCTGGCTGCAAGTGCATAAAATATTACGTGGTGTGCAATAACAAAAGGCTCTTCAAAAGTCAAAAACAAGCACAGTTGATAGCCATGTGGACATGGCCAAAACAATTCAATTATTTAGCAGGCAGCAGGGTAAACTTTTTATAGCCTCTAATTGGAAAGTTGCCGTCAGTCGTTCAGCCTTCAGCCTGCAGCCATCATCCTCCTTCCTTCGGCTGTCACCTGCAGAAGATTGGGCGACAGGTGAGGCGTTCCCACTCCCACTCCCATTTCCCTGACCGCACAAACTTGCCGACATTCATTTGACAGCAGACAGTCGCAGGAATACAACACAAATCGCTGCGGCCTTAAGAAACTCTTTTCGGAAGTCAACCCAACGATTTTCCATTAATCTCCGCGTAAATTACATTTTCACACCTAATACCGCTCACCTTGAGGAGGCGAGGAGGCCCCTTTATCATTGTCGAATCAGCGGAGACCATTTTACAAATTAGCATTTCAAATATTTGGCCCACATTGCGACGTTGATTTGCCATTACTCATGCGCCCCGTTGTCCGGCGAACCAAACGATGGCCGCCGCGTGAGAGAATTTGATAAATTCGCCATTTTATTTGGCATTTGAGCGTTTTCATTAGCTAGTGTAAATGCAATTAGTCAATAAATTGAGTGAATATTACCAATTTCCATGCGAGCGGCAACATCAGACAGACGACGGGCGAAATGTCGAAGGGCAAGGACGCCGAGGGTCCTGCAAAATGTGCGTGCTGCCGCTATCGGCGGTCATAACTTGTGGACGCCACCGTCAACGCATCGATCATCATTGGGCCAAGGGAGTGTATAATATGGCCAACACGCAACCGACGACCCAACTGGGCCGCTGCAAATTGGTAAATGAGCGAAAACATTGCCGAAATGTTTGCACAGAGGGCGGCTTGTAAGCTGCCAAAACTGCGAATCGATGGTCCTTAGTGGGTGGTCAAAGCAGCTGGGTTGTGTTCGTTTTTTTGGCCAAAATATCCTTGAAGGACCAGATTTATAAATATTTTGTTCAGACCTAGGGCAAGTGCATAGGTTTTTAATTCAAGACCTAGCAACTCTTATTAACTCACATAAACTAGCAATTAAAAATAGTTCAGAGTATTTGCTTATAACTAAAGTTTTCTAGGGAAAAAATAAAAGATTAGATTCAAGATTAGCTTCTAAAAACTTAGGTCAATAAAAAAAAAGTTTACTGTCTGTAAACAATTTTTTTTTATTTTTTTAAAAATTTTTTATGTGAGTTAAAATTATGGTTTAAATTAATAAATATTTTAATAAATAAACAATTTTTAATTTATACGTTTTTGTTGCATTTTTAAAAAAAAATTCTTTGAAACGAGAAAATGTAAGATACCCTTAAGGCTTTAAGTTAAAGCCCTAACTTCTCCAGAAGCGAAATAACATTATTTTTCCAGACTTCAGTTCTTGCATCGCCATAGTATAGCCAGCTTTATGGCTTTTTCCATAATGAGCGCTAAATTTTAACCATTTCTCAGCGGTTGGTGCTGGTGCTTACCGGGCACTTCGTTTAATGTTGTCTGCTTTACAGCCCCAGCAATATTCCACTAAATGATTTAGGTGACAAAAGTTCGCAGACAACGAGAGCAGCCGAAAAAAAGAGAGACAAAAATTCAACTTTTTTGGCAATAAAAATATAAATATGCCACACCGCGAAGAAGGAGGTTGGCTGGCTGGATGAAATGGAACCGTAAAGTGAAATTGCAAGCGCTGCATGAACAATTAAAGGCGAACAACACGCATACGCCACGTGTGCACAATTTGCTGCAGCTGCCTAGGGAGAAATAAATTACTCAATTCGCCGTTTCGGCTGACAGGCAGGCAGGCGGCAGCCAGACAGGCCAGCAAATAAAGCCATATAATACGAACGTCGAATTTTCAAGAGAACTTTAATTAAACTAAGCCACAGCCGGAGAGTAAGCGACGTTGTCGTGACCTCAGGTGGCAAATATATATACGGATGGCGCACCCACCAAAGTCGGACATTCAGTGGTTGACCAGCGAAAATAAAGAGGAGAAAAACCCGAAAAGCAGACAGCTGGATTCGGGGAGCGGCCAGTGGCCCAGACATGGCTAGTTGGACTCTTGGCCGACTATCGCCCCGCTTTATCTCGGCCAGCCAAAGATTGTCGCAACGTGTGGCGCGCACCTTGAACTGCCCGCAAATGTGTGCTATGCTTTTTCATTTCGCTTTTATTTATTTTAATTTTTTTTTTTTGAAGAAAGATGGTCTTGTGAGTAAGCTAAGGTCACTGATGGTAGATTATAACTGAGAATTCCATTCCCTAAGAGTCAAAACCTTTTCCTGCTAACTTTAACACAGCTCATTTGCGCATTTTTTTCTGGGAACCTGTGCATTAATGCCTCGATTACTGGGAAAAATAACGAAACCCTTTTCAGCCGAACTCTTTAGACAACTTGCTGGCCATCAGTGCAAAAAGGCATAATTAGTGAAAGTGATCTGTATCGGCTGACTTGGCATTTCGAGCGCACTACTTTGGCATTTTCCTGCCATTTAATTTGCATTCCATCTCCCCAAAGTCGCCTCCTTATATTGCTTATAAATCCGCTGTGGGCCCCGGCTTATCTTGGACTTGGAATGCAGCTTGGTTTTAAAATAGGTATTGCAGAGCACCTGGCTTTTGTCTTTGCGTTTGCCAGGAGCCTAATGAAGCTGGGCGAATGCATTCTGCTGGAATACCTCAAGGATATCATTGGCATTCCATTCGAGAGGGCTCGGGTATTTAAGGCATTTGCTGGCTTATTTTCCTTTTTAATCAAGCAACGTTGCGTTGTGTTGCCTTGTTTTGCGTACAGCCAAGCAATGTTTGCAAATTTAAATTTAAATTAAATAAATGTACAATTATTTCAGGCATACTTCTCTATGAACTAATTATTCATTAAATCTCACATTAAGTTCCAAACTAATTAAGTTATTTTCTTACGTAGCTTTGAAATATATCAACTAAAATCCGGTTAGGCCTTAAGTTAAAGCCTCTAAAGGGGTACAAACCTGGCTTGTAGGTCATAGAACGCCTGTATATGTGTATGAGTGGGGCAACCAATCAAAGTTCAAAAGTTCACATCATTGACAGCGAACAACTTTGGCTGCTTTGGCCCAACTCAAATTAAGAAAAGATAGCAGGCAAGCCAGAGAGACGCACAAAACTTTTATCATTTTCACAGTCCAAGAGAGCAACGAGAATAGTTAGTTACGGCGTACTTTCGCCCCATTCCATAACCATAACCCCCGGAATCCTTCGACAAGGACCCTTGATATTGTCGCTTATTTAAGAAGCTTAATTTTTTGTTGCCACGTTGCCAACGGCAACAGCAGTTGGCCCTTTGGAATCCAGATGGAATCAAGTGCAGTGACAATCAATCACTGCCTGGTGAAATGTTGACTCGGGCCAACAATGCATTATGCAAAAACGTGTCGCATTCGCACCTCGATGCGAACACAGGCCTCTCCATCCGGACAAATGCCAAAGTCCCAGGCCAATCAGGCGCAAGGTATGACTGCAAATCTGTGGGCACGGAAAATGCCTTCAATCCCGAAGGTTCTGCCTCCCAATGTTGCTGCCACCAGCGAGGCTGAATCTCCTGTCTCCATTGCTGAGCGCCGTGTACGTGGAGGCATGAAATTGGGTCACCAGGCGGGAGGCGGGGTTCCGGGTCCTTGTGGCGTTACGTTCCGCACGGATTCAGATTCGGCCAGCCCGCAGACGCACAAATGGCTCAAGTACCGAAAGAAAAGAGGTCAAACATCCCAAGGAAACGTCCAGCAATTAAAGTGGTAATTCAAACTATTCCTGAATAAATCAGAGTGTAAATAAAAAGTTTAATTTTGTAAAAAAGCGATAGAATATTGAAAGGTGTATATTGGAAGGTGCTTTTTAGCAAGGCTCTTAAAAGAGCATAATTTTTTATAAATTAAAAATGAAAATTGCTTACAAAGAATGTTTGAATATTTTATGTGCATGCTACAAGTTTGGTTTAATAAAGTTTTTTCTCATTGATTTTTGTTATAGCTAATTTTTTGTTTTAAATCTAGAAAATGTTTTCATAAAAATAATATAATAATTTACAAAATTTCCGTTTTACTTAACTTTTTTTAAATTTTGTTTGTAAACACATACACATAGGTATTTAGTTACTTCTACTACTTATTTCAAATCAACCGCTTACAATTATTTAATAAATTCAAACGATATTTTATAAACTCAACTAACCTACTATTTCAATCCCTAGAAATTCGTGATACAAAACGTATAGCTATTTACATTAGTCACCATCTTTTCCTAAAAAAATTATAAAATTATTTAACAAGCTTGCAAAGATATTTCAAAATTTGTTCTTTGTGTATTCTGCATTTGCAGGATGTGGCGAACAGGTGTGGGCAGTAGGTGGTGGGTGGTGTTCCTCGGGTGACGGTGGGTGGTGAGTGGGTGAGTGGCCAAAGCGCAGGAAGGAAGCCAACGCGCGCTAAGCGCCGTCGCTTGATGGAGCTCATCATAATTTTTGGGGCGCCATGGTGGAAAACACAAAGGAAACAAAACAAATCGAAGTCGAGCGGAGCGAGCAAGAGCAACATGTTAGAAGGAGAGAGGCCGTGAGAGAGCGAAAGCTTTTCCGCAGCTTTTTGAGTTTTCGGCGCTAACCTTCATCTTGAACTTCACGGAGAGGGGAGTCCAATGTGGGTGACTGGGTGGATTCTATGTTTCCTTTCTAGGCCAAGTCCCAACCCCTTCCCATGCGTTGGCCATAAAAACATATGCAACAGGAGGGAGTTCATTCATGACGAACCCACACAATCAAGCAGAGGAAATCGTAGTAAGAGGTGGGGAAAATGAAAAAAGGGTTTTAGCCAAGACAGTGTCTTACACTTATTGTTCCTTAAAATGTTTTAACTAAGGTGTACTATTATTTATACTAATCAATTTAATTTTGCCTTGTGTATTTTTTGATATTAAATTTTTTATGAGACTGTGAATCGGAAAAATGTTGTAAAAGCTTTTTAAAAATTCAATGGAACTTATAAGCATAAACTTATGTTAGGTATTTTGAATTTATTATAGAAAAAACTTCCAGATTTTTTTTTAAATAATTTGAAATTCAAATATTTTTAACGGCTCAACTCCCCTACGAGCTTTGTGGAAGAGAGTTGGGATGAAGGACCCCACCGAAAACATCGCACTGAACTGACCCCTCTCCGAGCTTTTCACACAGTCTCTCTCTGCTCTCTCTCTCTCTTGGCACGCACACCAACGCCAGCTCTTATCAGAGGACAACGGCTGGCTGGAAGGCGAGGACTCGGCAGGACTCGCATTAAGGATAGCACAGGAGCAGCAGCAACAGTGCGATGGATGCGACACGCTTTGGCTTTATAAGGTGAAGCCCGAAACTGGAGCAGCTCAGTTCGCTGTTGGCTGGCGTCGCTTAAGGTAGTAGCTCAATTCAACATTCCAACATTCAACTTTCAACCAGCGGATCCAGAGGAAGTCCAGAGTCGGCAGAGTCTCCCAGAAGTCAAACCAAACCAAACACCCATCCAATCCAATCCTCCTAGACCAAACCCAAGAACCAACCGACGGCAGTGTGAAAGTGAGTGCGCGAGTGCCAAATGAAATGAAATGAAACGAAACGAATAAGCCAAGCTAAGCAAACTCGACCCAACTAAAACAAATTGGATTGAATTAAATTGAGAGAGGTGGAGCAGCAATTAAAAGCAAATTGCTTGCAGCCAAAGGACGAAGGATAAAACGGGGGCAAAACGACGGGATCCGCCCGTTTATGTCACGCTGCATTTGCACATAATTGCAAACTGTTGCGCGGCCTGCAGTTTCGCTTTTTATTGCCAGGCTATAAAATAAAAATCCATTTGCCCGAAACCATTTTGCCCACTAAAAACCCCCGACAACTGTTGCACATAGGACACCATACCATATAGGACTTAGGAACACAGAATACCGAACACCACACTGCACTTGGGGGGCCACAGGACATAACCATTTCTTTTACGATCTCAGCCTTGGTCATGCCCCATTAAATATGCTTTTGGTTGTTTTGTTCAAGTTGAAACGGAGAGCGAAAAACGAAAACCGAAATACGAAATACGAAAAGTGCACAACCGACAAATTATGCTAAAATAAATATTACAAAAAGCAGACTAAAAAACGAAAAATAAAAAATCCCAAAAGGAGGAGCAACTTCCAGTCGAAATTTGCATCAGAAATTCCGAGTTCTGGTCAAGAACGAGCAGCGTGTCAATTTATGCAGCCATAAAAGTTAAAGGGGAACTCGAGAGCACCAGAAAAAATATAAAACAGGAAAAGGAGTCTCCCCATTCTGCAGGTGAGTCCTTGAATCCGTTCTCACTATTCACAAAAAATTGTTAATAAATCGACAATCTGCCAGCGACATTTCCAATGCAATTAATTACAACAACCAAAGCATTATTTTTAATTATTGATGCCAGTCTTCATTATTAATTTAAAACTCGTAAATTCCACACACACACACTTCTCGAAATTATTCATGGCTAACTTATGCATGTGCGATATATATATTATTAACACCTGAGGGCCATTGGGAAGTTGGGAATGTCCAGCTGAAAGTTGATTCAGGGCTAATAACATCGGACAGAGGGCGCGAAATTGCGAATCGGGGGAATAAAATCAGTTTTATTATCGCAATAAAGTATTCATGCAATTTTTGTGAATCAATATTTATGTTCAGTCTCGGCCACCGATGCATTTATTAGGATAAATCCCGGAAAGTCAAAATCGTATGTGCGTATTGGGCGTATACGTAATGCGTATTTTCTTTAATCATGGCAAACAAATATTGGCGAGCTGGCTGTAATGTTTTGATGATGTTGCCTCGGGCCACTTTAATGACCGCCGCCTTATCGCGCCAAACTATTATGGCCACGTACACGAGTATTACGCGTATTATACGGAATGGAATATGTCGTCCAATTTGCTGCCGTATATCATTTTACCCTGGTGTCTGCGAAATGTGCAGCTGTTGTTTTTATGGCCTTTGGGTGGTTCGCTGGTTGGGGATCCTAGTGGGATATAGAACAACAAACAAAGCGCCGCACATATGCCAGCATAAACGTAAACAAAAACAGCAACAGGCAACAGAATATCCGCAGTTAATTAAAACTCAACTCCAATTTGGCCACTGTTCAGCCGCGGATCTCTAATTAAATTTATGCTAAATCCGTGTCAACAAAACACGAGCACACGTGCACTTCCATCGAAATGCAAATTTCGAATCGAATTAACCAAAGTAATCCCATTGTGGCCCACCTGGCGTATGACTACCGCGATTCAAGTGGTGCCATCTGTTTTGTTTAGCTTGCTCCATTACAAGGGCAAACAATTAAGATGAAAAGGAATCTGTGTAAGTAAAATGGATAAAAATCCTTCTTGGGATACCCTTAAAAGTGATTAATATTATGGATAAGCAATCAATCCTAAAAATTATCCTTAAAGCAGCGTAAACTTTCCATCGATTCCAAAAATAATCTTCAAAGGTTGAAGTTGAAATATATACCCATTAAAGATATGTACCCCTACCATCAGTAAGGGTATTGCTAAAAGGCGGAGCCGTGAACAAACGAAAAGTGCGGGATGACAATGGTTTGGGGCCAGGCTTTCATGTCAACTTTGTTAATTAAATGAAGCACTTAACATCGAGACATATTTCACCCTTTCGCCGAGCTGCGTTTTGTTCTCACTGTTTATTTTTTTTTTTATTTTTTTACATAATTTGGTGTTCCAGTTCCATTTTAATGACTGTCCAGTTCCGAATGCCTCCTAACTTCTTATCATAATTTCCATTTTACTTCCGTTCGCCGAGCGCCACTTGTGTGCTTTATGGCTCGTCCTGGTAACGCCCCCACCTAAAATCCCGCCACCCCTCATCCCCCGAAGCAGTGTCCTTGGACTCTCCAATTGAATGTGGACAACTTCAAAGGCTTTTTCGTGGGCATTTCATTAAAATCACTCTCGTCCGCTGTGACTTTTGCCTTTTTCGCTGCTGTTTTGCATAAAGGTTACAAACAAGCTGTCTTTTAATTTCATTCTTCGACAAATGATTGCAAGAAAATTGTTTATTTTTGATGACAGCACAACTTTGCTTGCTCGTAATTATTTTTAGTTTATTGCTGTTGGCCAATTGTTTTTTGTTTTCGGAACATTTCAATTGTTTTTGACATCTCTTGTTTGTTTGCCAGCTGCAATTGTTTGTGGTTTCTGTGGTCAGAGTTTTAGGGAATGGGCTTTGAGCAGGAGAACAAAAAAATGCACACAAATTTGCACAAAACAAACAAAATGTTTAGCAGCAAAACCACAACTTTATTGCTTTCAAATTTTTATTTCCAACGGTATTTTTCTAAAATGGAAGAAGAACAAAGAAAAATCTAGTAAAGGCAATATATTGCGCAATATTAGAAACCATAAAAATGTTTGTTGTTTTCTTATATTTTAATTTATTTTGTTTAGAAGATATTTTTTAAGCCTGTTATATGCCACAATTTACCAGAATTTGTGTAAGCCAAAGTAATCTGGATAAATCGAAAAAGAAACTTGTTATTAATTTTTATTGACATGTGGCATATAATTTATTCTTTCATTATTAATTTCATTTTAAATGAAAGGCATTAGTAATGCGATCTCCTTTGGAAAACTTTCGTTAGCCAAAAGGGACTTTTTTGGTCCTTTTAGCATTGAACTACTAAGTTTCGGCAAGGTTGCCATGTCAATAAGCTCACTTACATTGGCTATTCAATTCATATGGCTCTAATATGCGACAATAAGTATTCTCCATAAGCTCGATATGTGAGTATCGAGTATCCTCCCCTTCGATTCGACCCCTCCCCAATTTCCGATGACCTCTGGCAGAAATGTCGCAAAATACTGTCGCCTGCTGTGTTCCCAAATATTTGTGTTATGTCGCCGACGATGAGCGTCAAATCAGAATTCGATATGTGCGACAGCCAAAAGACGGTAGGAAATGTATGTGAGCAATGAGAATGCACAGCCAGATCGAATCGAAAATACCCTCTTTGCCACATCAAAGAGTCTTTGAAGGAGTTATTAGCATGCCCATTGAGTTATGAAGGGTATGACAGAAATGGGCAATTAACCTTATCAAGACGCTGCGTTCCAGCGATCCAGCAAAACAAAAAATGTCAACGGAGATGTGTCCTCAACGTCGTTAGGATGTGGCAGTGAGGGAAGGCGACAGGAAAAAATAAATAAAACAGGACGAGAGAAACCGAACCTAAAATATACGCCATTAGGCAGACGGAATGCCAAAGCAAAGGCTATGGAAAAAGCCTGGAGAAGGTCCTTCAACGGGGTGGCAAAAGGCAAAGGGAAACCCAAAGCAAAAAGCAATTTCAAATATTTTCGTTACCTGCTTGTAGAAATTTTTACGTTCTTCTGATTACGGGGCAAAGCTTTCGCTACCTTCCATTTTATTGTTGTTGTGTAATTGTGCGCACCAAAAAAATAGGGGAGACAGGAAAAAAAGCGTACATAAGACGACGATGAAATGGGTTAAGGGTAGGCAAGCAGAAGAAAAACCTGGAACCACCCACGAGCACTTAAAGCCCGACTCCGAGGCTCCGTTCTCGACATTTGAAATGCAAAGAAGCATTGCATACTTTCCGCTTCTAGTGGAGCAGAATGGAGGCAAAACATTGCATATTATACCCGAGTGAAGGAGGCTACGGCGAACAGGTGCACTGGCATTCTGATGCAGCACAACAAACAGAACGAGAATGGCAGCGAAATGTTCCTTCCCTTCGAGGAACCGGATTTGTCAACCCACCTGGCAGGACGAAGAGGTTTGTTTATTAACCATGGCATACTTAGCAGCTGAATGGAAATTCTTGGCAAAAGTATGCTGGCGAAGTCAAGGGCTGTCGAGGGAAACCTTCACTTATAATTGAGATTTGTCTTAAAATTTGTGCATTGCTAGCAGAAGTTGTACACGAGAATGTGAGTGGAGAAACATGTTGGCTGTTATTATCAAATAAATCTATAGAAAAGTTGCTTGTAAGTTTTTGAAAGGAGCGAACTTTAGAAATATGAAGTATAATTATGCAGAAATCTATCTTTTAGAAATCAAAAAGGATTTTAGGTGATTTTAAATCAATTAAAAAGTTGACTAAAAGTATGCAATAAAATTTTTTTTACTGGAAATTCCCTATATGATATCCCCATTCAAATTCCACCTTTGCATCTTTAATGTTTATTTTTATCGCTGAGACTTAAGAGCGTCATGTCCATGCAAAACCGGAATTATCCTGCGAAAGAGCTTTTTCTTCGGGACTATAAATAGATACAGCTTCAGCTCCAACTGTTGCGCAGTTGAGGATAACTAAAAATAGATGGCAGCTGGGGCTCCATATCGCTCCATCGGCATAAAACCCAATAAATGCCGCTGCAGACAAACCCGAATTACTCGACACGTTCGACTGTCCTGCACAAATGTTGACGTGTTTTAGTGTAAACACACGCGGCTGCCGCTACGCGTAAGCACTCACATACATATTTGTGTAGCTGTTGGATGTTTATCAGCTTGTCGCATGATTGATTTATATGCCTTCTGGATTATTAATGGACGGGGCCAAGTCAATTGAAACGACTCCGCAGGACTTGGCTCATTCATTATTGATACCCTGCATGAAAGTGACACACACGCGCACTGGGGGCAAAATTCCAGCGTTATTGGACATCAATTTGCTTTTTTATCATATCCAAATGGTTCTTATTTGTGACCCTCTGTTGCTCTTTTAAACATTCTAATATATTTAATGCTTTCGCCTTCAAGATGATTACAAATCTAGAGTGTTTTAAAAGAAAAAATTGCATTACTTTCACAGACTGACACCTGAACTATATTTTGTAAACTACTAACAAGATGTACAAAATAAATTGGGCTAGTGGGCAAAGAAATAGCTGGTTTTTTTAAATCACTTTTAATAATTTATAAATATGTGTCTAGAAGTATGCTGTGAATAAAAAATAGTCTTCTTTTTGTAAAAAATCACTACACTTTTGGGCTAAAAATATTTTGTTGCATACTTTTCGACACCTAAAAGTGATTTAGTGACTAATGCTGCTAATCAATTACTTTCCAAAACTCCTTAGAGATTTCAGCAATAGTATGATAGTCCTTATCTTTCAGAAACGCTACTATAACAATATTTACATTCTATTGATATTAGTCTGTTCTATTCCATTTCTATTTCCACGGCAAGCTAGCACTTACATTGTTATGTTTTTCTCTCTGCACACACAAGAAAAGAGTGAAAAACGATGGGGAAAATTGTA